AAATTTATGTAAGAGTAGTTTTCACCCTTCCACTATTTTTTCTTTATTTTTGTGAAAGTCAAATGTTAAAGCACTTAGCAAAACATAGACACCCTAAATCTCATTCAAGTCAGAATAACGGTTCTTAAATATCTTGAAAATGTGTTTATTTTTTTCTCAGATTCTCTGATTCTCTCTGAAGTCTGATGCCATCTAGCGGACAAACGAAGCACTTTTTATATAGAGGTAAATTGTATCCAATGAACTTATTTTGATTTTATGTAAGAGTAGTTTTCACCCTTCCCCTATTTTTTCTTTATTTTTGTGAAAGTCAAATGTTAAAGGACTTAGCAAAACATAGACACCCTAAATCTCATTCAAGTCGGAATAACGGTTCTTAAAATATCTGGAAAATGTGTTTATTTTTTTCTCAGATTCTCTGATTCTCTCTGAAGTCTGATGCCATCTAGCGGACAAACGAAGCACTTTTTATATAGAGGTAAATTGTATCCAATGAACTTAATAGGGAGTTTTCGTTGCTTTAAAAAAATTCAACGGTACGGTTAACGGATACGTAACCATAACCGCTATTTTGACAGATAAAAAAACAGTTTTCAGACTTTCGGTTCATCGGTTCGGAGCCGACATACGATACGATAACCGAAAACTGACAGCTGAGCACAGCCCGTAGCGTAGTGTTTTGATTTTTGGTTTTTGTATTGTTATTTGATTTGAAAGTGCTTTATATGCCTTTATTGGGTATCGCTATATAGGATGGACAATTTAATTTTATTGGACTCTAGTGATGAATCGGATTTGGAGGATGCTATGCTGTAGGAAGGGTTTGAAAACAACATCGAATATCGAGCAGAACTTTATGGGGAGTTCAACCTAGAAATATTATCTGACCAAGAGTGCAAACCTAACTTCCGCTTTGAAAAAAAAAAGACATTCCTCGATTAGTTGAAGCACTAAGAATTCCCAACGAGTTTAACACAGATAAAATAAATAATCAAAACATAAACAAAATAGAATGAGGTTAGGTTAGATCTGAATTTTTCAATGTTGTGTTTCTACTGCGCTAGTGCGCATGCGTACCGCTATGTTAACGGCTTTGGCTAACGTCCGTAAAATATCGGCAGCTAGCGGTTACGATATACGATAATCGAAATTGAAATGTCAAAGCTGTCAATTAGCGTTAACCGGAATTGCAATTTGTAAGCAACGAAAACTCCCTATTTTGATTCCAAAAATACGTGGTAGTTATGGAACACGGAATATTAGGACACCCTGTATAGCTTTATTACCTATAAATCGGAACAATTGTTTTTTTAGTTAAAAGTTTACTGATTATAAGACACATTTTTTCAAGATCGATACACCACTTTGAATAAGAAGACTAAGGAAGGAGCATAATGCTATCCATGTATTGTATTCATGCATGGTGGGCGGAAAAAGCACTCTAGGGTGGGGATTCTTGACAATTCTGTTTAACGATTCATTTGACACATTTGAATTTGATTTGAAATTTTATGGATTTGTCAGTCTTTACGGAGCTTATTTTATGTTATTTATTATTTATTCTACTACTGATAGTTATATAAATAAGGTAGTAAATCTAGATGGAAATTGTGGCAGAACTTAAATTAACAGTGACACTATCGCGATTTATCTCTTTGATTTATCTAAAAAGACTCTAAAATAGTTGGTTGTGTAGCGTACGGTAGATCTCGGCAAAAATCGAGTGAAATAATGGAACAACTTTTCGCTAGTAAGTGACTATACCTATAATATACATACGTGTAGTAAACCGATCATTTATGAAATTCACTTAAATTAACTAATTATATATTTTTTCTTGCATTTTTGCTTTTATTTATTACTTGTCAAAGATTAGATGTCAAAGAATTTAGATACGTCAATTTGAATTACCAGATTTACCTGCTTCAGTAGCGTATCGGATGTTTGTGTTAATAAATAATTATGATAATCTATTATCTTATCTATTTTTAATAGAATTATATATTTTTGTAACAATTTTAATAAATACCAACATTTATTCACAACGTCAAATAAAACAACATATTATTGAGTCTACCCCTAATTATTATCTTATCTATTTTTATTAGAATTATATATTTTTGTAACAATTTTGATAAATACCAACATTTATTCACAACATCAAATAAAACAACATATTATTGAGTCTACCCTTTGAATAACGGAATTTAAGTCGGCCATATTTGAGGCCCATCGCGGTGGACCTAGATTTTTGATATGCTCCTTCCTTAGTCTTCTTATTCAAAGATACCTACACCCCCAAAAAAAGTTTATCGCCTTCCTACAAAAATTCATGTTTTCATAACACTTAATATATCTAACTAGTAACCCAGAAATAACAATGTATAGAAGCCAAAATAATCATTTTCATTCCACCAAACTATCGAAAAGCAAGGAAGAAAGCGGAGGAAGTCTCGTGAGCTAAATCTAGTTCAAAAATAAGTGAAGAACCGCTGCTTGAAAATGATTGTTGGTCTCTCTACACCCCATATCACCCATAACACTTTCGCCATCGAACCTATAGGGTCGTTATTTAATCTATTTTGTTTGCCGATTGGCAAAACAAGCCCCTGGCATGACCTCCAGTGAGGATTATCGTCGAATGCGTCAGTCAAGAACATAGAAATTCGATACTGACGTATGCTCCTGTTTGAACAGGCCCATCCCTCACGGATTTATTGTCGCCCCGAGGTATTTAAAAGTTTTTATGGGGTACTTATGTTTGCCCCGTCGCTACGTCGATTGAAAACAGCGAAAACAGCACTTTTAAATGCTGAGATGGATTCTAAACAGTAGAAAAAATCTATAACTTAAAATTAAACCCTTAATTTCATCACGTTCATAATATAATTATCCCTAATATGAGGATCTACAATTATTTTTTTGAACTGGGGTAGAAGCTTTATAGTAGCCTCTCCAGCGCAGCGTTTGAAATAAATTGCTTAAAATACCTACAAATATCTAGGCATTTTAATATCAAATGAATACTTAATAGAAGAACGTGAGCTGCATGCTGAATGTAGAAGAAGTTTTTCTATTTTCAACCATTTTTTATTATGATTTTAGCGCCCGCTGAAACTGCCACATCGCCCGAGTTGGATTTCTAGTTATTTAATTTATGAGTTGGATGTCTCGGCATCTCGGCAAAGGTCTTGGTTTGCCCCGGTGAATCGCTTATATCCGGGACTACCTAATAAATATTTGTAAATTGCTATTGCAGGTACGAACTATGATCATAAAATATGATATAAAAGGAAAGAATGTTATTATGCAACCAAATATACAAATAAAACAAAAATATATTTTAATTTTCCTTAACTAAAAACAGTGATATAAATGGAGTATTTCCTACTCAAATTTTATATTATCATGATACTAAAGGATATAAATACAGCATTTATATCCTTTTACACCTTTTTATTCAAAGTCTTACACGCTAATATAAAATTTGACTATCTCCATTTATTTCACTATTTTTGGTTAAGGGCACTCTTAATTTTAATTTTCCTTTTTTTATAGGAAAACGATTAAATGGGAAGAATTGAATGGGAATGGAAACAATGACCAATTATTGTATTTTGTGTTAATTTATAATACCCCTACTCTACTAAATATCTAGCTACATTGTACTTACAGTTAAATAGCTACATTGTACTAGTTATATCCATATTTACAGTTTTATGATGGCTATTATTTTATTTCAACGTGCTACCAATTGATTCGCTCCGACTTGAGTACTTACTATACCTCGAGATGGCTCCAGGAATTATTTATCTTTACAGGCCTAGAATATGAAGATTCACAGTAGAATTTTTGGTTTTACTACCTATTAGAAACAAACCTACCCCCCTACATCAAGGGACATACAATTATGCCTTGTTCTCGGCCATGATATTCCTTCCATTCTATATCCAACATCCAACTTAGCAGACCTTCTGGTTCACAACAGGGCCTAGACTGGCCGGATGATATTTTAACAGAATAGCCCTTGATATCTCTTTCACACTTTTATTTAATAATTAAATAGGAGGGCTGGATGGTATAATTTCTAGAAAGAATAGCCTGTGAAATAAAAACTTCTGCATGGACATTACCTTTCTTACCTTTGTCTGCTATTTTTTAATAAAAAACAACTGTTTAGTTTGCACAAAAATAAAATTAACAATCAAAAATATCTTAAAAAATGATCAAGCCTTGTACTACGCCGCGTGCCGGTTTTTGAACAAACAACAAACAAAAGAATGAGGTTAGCGGCGTTGCCAATGTCAATTTTCTAAACTACCCAAAAATCTAAATAAATTCTCCAATTTGGGGAGAAAAATGTCCCTGATTCACCAAAATTTCCCCATATGATTATTTTAACAAAAAAAAAATTTAATAAAAATACAATATTTATTATATATGTTAGAGAGATTAAACTGTAAATTACCTCCTTGTTTTTTAATCCCTTCCCTAGTAGTCATTAAATAATTTGAGGTCACTAAATTTTCTTTCAACTGAAGCATTTGCAAAGGGAAGCACAAGTAAAAAGCAGATTATAATTTTTAAGTTGGGAAAGATATATCGTCCCGCTCCGTTTTTAAAGCTAAACATTTTACGCCATTTTCAATCAGCAATAAAATGTTGAAACTCCCCTTATTTTCGCCCCCCATTGCTAAAATCCCCACAAAACTCCCAATCGGCTCCGGATTCCCCAAAATTTGGGGAATTCCCCACAAATTGGCAACGCTGGAGGTTAGCGTGTTTTTTCTGAATATGCTAAGACTAACGGACTAGTGTCGAAACACAGATAGCTAGATGGACGTATTTCGGCACTTGCGTCGATGCGCTACAGGTACATTTCAATTGCAATTTCATAAAGATTTTTGATAACAGATTCTTCTTTGTGTATAATCATTTAGTTAAATACATCTCTGAGATAAATTTATTGTTTTTTTTTTCTGAAAACATGAGCCCGCCAAATAAACTGTCACCATACTGTCACTTTGTGGACGCTTGCCACAGCTAACCTAAGAATTCATAAAACAATTTTTAAGGCCGCTTGTTTTTTTAACTACAAAACAAAACATAAAATTGAGAAATGAGTGATTTGATTGATCAGGATGAAATGCGAAGATGTTTAAAAGGTACTAATATTTTTTAGTGAATAAAATCATATGTACATGGCTTCAAAAATTAGCTTTGTACTTAGTTTTCCTATTTTCTTCCTTTAAAAGTACTGTTTATGTTTCTAGAAGCGCATATATATGAAGAGAACATGAGTGAAGACTTGATGACCAGTTATTACAAAGCTATTAAAAACTCAGAGAACTCATTAAGGGATGAAATAGTAAAAATCAACAGTGATGAAGATGAAATAGAAAAAACGTTAAACGAAAGTGCAAACGAACTATTAGAAGCTATTAATAATTCGGAGACTATAGCACCATCAAATAGATTTAAAATAAGTGAAACTGATGATGAAGATTCACCAAGTACCTTGACCAAGCACAGTTCTTTAGTAAGAGATAAAGGTTTGAAAAATTTAGATACAAATGAAGAAGAAGAGGAAGAAAACAATAATAGTATAGAAAATGAAGGTACTGAGAAACCTTTAGATGTGAAGAAAGTACCAATAGGTTTTAATGACATGCCACAAAGTGTGCATAAAGACAAACCTCCATTAAACATAATTTGTCATGAACTACGATTTGTTAATGTACAAAATAGTAAAAAGTTTTTAATTTCAAGTACACAAATGCGAGTTAAGATGCTTTATGAGTATCATATAGCTGCTAATAAACTGAAAGCCCATTATGCAAGATTATCTCCTAATATGGCCTCTTTAAAAACACCAATTCAGATCACAGAACATCGTGAAAAATATGAAAATCCAATCATAACATCACTAAAAGGGGAAGAATCGCAAACAGCACAAGAAACTTATGTTAGTAGATCAGGCAGATTGACAAAACGAAAGGTATTTGCAATTTTTTATATCCTCTTGCCGATCCGGTTAGAGGATCAGATTAATATAAGATATAAGATTTTCATAACAAATACACTTTCTGCACTTCTAAAGCTCTTTTAAGTAATAAAATAGCTTTAACTCTACATGGTGGTCCTAACTGTATTCTGGAAACTTCGCCAGCATATGCTGCACATAAAAATAAGTAAAAGAGTTCATATAAACTTATGTCCTAAAATGCTTTGTTTAGGAGATACAGGGTGTAGAAGTTTCATTTTTATTTCAATTTTTCTGAAATGAATAATTAATGCCAAAGTTTCTGTAATACAGTTTGGACCACCCTGTATATTATCTTTCACTGGAAAGAATTTGTACTGAGATTTGTTTTTTGTATTTTTGTTGAAGGTGTACACAGATAATTATCTATCTGACGACTCATGTGGTAGCTCCAAAAAAAGTAAGCTAGAGAGTAATTCCTTCTCAAAGAGTTCATCCAAAGAAAAACCAACAAAATCAACATTAAAAATGCTAGATTATCCAGAGAATGATATAGTTCCATTACGAAAAGAAAGTCAGTTAAATTTTACATTGAAATAATTCTATTAATAAGGATTTTTAAACGATTTGTAGATGCCCTAGATGAATTTGATCAAGTTAAAAACACACCTAAACCTAAAATGTTTCAGAAAAAATCATTGAATGATGAGATTATGTCGAGAAGCAGCTTATTTAGAGATAGTGTAACACCAAAAAAAGCAAGATCTGAAATGATTGTTGCTGCAGGTATATTATACACTCACCAGCATGAAAAACCGCTACCTTAAGATTTTTGATATATTTTGTTCTAGTGGATCGACTTTGATGATTTTTTAAGCAATTTATAGCTAAATTATTTGCCTTTTAGTATCTTTTTCTAAATTAAAAATGAAAGTTTCCATCTGTCAATTATACAAGATAAAAAAAATTATGATATTTTGGTGAAAGTTTGAAACACCCTGTGGAATATGTTAACAAAGCAAAGGAATTTAAAAATAATTTTATCGTCTAAGTAAGTCTTTTCTCGATAGCTTGTTTTTTGATTCATCTTTTTATTGGAGATATATTAAGCTTTTGAATAAGACAGTAACTTGATTTACAGCAATTTTAGCATTGATTTTGGGTTCTTATCAACACACTTATAAAATAGTGCTTATTGTTTTGTAACGGCACTGTCATTGAGATGTCATATTATTAATGTTTATTAACGTTTACTCTATAGTCTAAGAGCCAGCAACGTTTTCGAGAAAGTATTTTAAAGACGTCTGGTTTTTTGATATATCTTTACTATGCTCTGGAACAGCATGCGGCCAATTTAGTCCTATAAATTCTAGTATTGAATATAAATCGAACATGTCTCCATAGCGCAGTGCGTAGAGGTTCCGACTACTAACCGAGGATTCAGAGTTCGAATCCGGGTCAGAGCAAAGACTTTTTTATTTTATTTTTGTTTATATTCTGATAGCAAAGTATTAATTTTTTTTTTTGAATCAGCAGAATTATTTAATACTCTACTATCAGAATATAAACGAAAATAAAATAAAAAAGTCTTTGCCCTGACCCGGATTCGAACTCTGAATCATCGGTTCGTAGTCGGAAACTCTACGCACTGCGCTATGGGGACATGTTCGATTTATATTCAATACTAGAATTTAAAGGACTAATAAAAATATAGGATCTTCTTTCAATGCGCAGTAGGGACGCAACGTTTACCAACAGCCAGACGGGCCGCATGATGTTCTAGAGAGCATAGTAAAAGATATAGGTATATCAAAGAGCCGTTGCTAACTCTCGTACTACTAGTAGAGATGGTTTTAAGTTCTAAAGTTTCAGCTATTGTTGCTTTAATTGATCATGGTAGAGATTAACTTTTGGACTTAAAACCACATCTGCTAAAGTAACTGCCCAACAGACAATATGATTTTTCAAAAACAGTGACATTAACCACATCTGCTAAAGCAACCGCCCAACAGACAATAATATGATTTTTCAAAAACAGTGACATTACCTAAATCATAAACACTATTTTATAGGTCTGTTGACTAAGACTAAAAACAAAGGCATGGTTTTAATGTAAATAATATGAAAAAATGTTAGTTTATCTCCAAAAAAAAATAAAGCTATTGAGATGAACCAAAAATCAAACTATCGAGAAAAGATACACTTAGATGATAAGATGATTTTAAATTTCCCAGCTTTGTTAACACACTCCCCAGGGTGTTTCAAACTTTCACCAAAATATCAACATATTGTTCTCCCTCGTATAATTTACAGATGGCAACTTTCATTTTTAATTTACAAAGAGGCACTAAAAAGTCAAATAATTTAGCTACAAATTGCTTAAAAAATCATCAAAATCGCTCCACTAGGACACAATATATAAATCTTCAAAATACATGAACATTTTAAGGTGCCCGTTTTTCGTGCCGGTGGGTATTATATTTGTATTAATTTTTAATATTGACTATTTGTAATAACATTAATATATCAAAACATAAAATAGGTATATCAGAAGCTGAAAAAAGCAAAGACAGACAAGATGTGATTGATAAGTTTACTAATAGTTTAAATATAAATACAGAAAGTCAGGAGGATGACACTGAAAAAATTATCATTGATGATGATATAGAAGTGTTTGAGAGGAAAAGAGTTGTACCACCTTGTCCAGGGCCAAGAAGAGGTATCCACAGTAAAAGAAAGACAGCCACAACAGGTCAGTTTGTAAAAATTATTAAATAAATAGTACACATTTTTATTTATTTTTTTAGGTCTTGCGCCTCTAAACATCACAACAAAAAAGACTAATTCAAACAATTGCGATCCTAGACCTTCCACTTCTTCAGATATCTTGTTAAAAAAGAGGGTGAATTCTCCAAAGTACGTAAACTCCTCAATCTTATTTTTTTTATCCAGTAAGAGAAAGGGTTAAAATATTTTTTTTTATATTTTTTGTTATTTTTACACAGAATCAGTAATTTAGAAGAACGTCCTACATCAACTTCTACACCATATGATAGAAGTGCAAAGAAAGTAGCAAATATGACACCTTGTCCTCTGTGTTCAGTTTTATTTCCACGGAAAGAGATTGAGGTAAGAGCTTTTAATTAATTATTAAAACTCTTTAGTACCGTATGATCGAAAACGGCGCCCAGTTGGCTTGGAAACGACGATCGATGACATTTCCCATATAACTTTACATACCGAGTGCGTCTCAAAAGTAGCTCACTCCTATAACTTTTTTACTTTTTCAAATAAAAACACGAGATTTGTATGTTAGGGTGTATTCCATTGCTTACCTTGGTTAGGGTTTTATGGTTCGTTTCTATCGGTTTCCTGAAAGTTTTCTTATTATGGAACACGGTTCCTGAAAAATTCGGTTATAACTGTCACCAAACTAACCAGCGCGAGAAGGCTGGTTTTTCTGGTTTTGTTTGTCAATCAATGTCATTTATGTGACAGAAATCAAGCAAATATTGGAAGTTCGAGTGAAATTCTCATTTAATTTCTAAAATTTGTAATAATATTTTGTATTTACATCCAAAAGCAATGGAGGTAGGCAGTAAAGGTAAATAAATTTCATTAACTAAATAGAATGACTTTTTAGGACCATTTAAACTTATCATGCAGCCATTGTTTCTCAAAGTCGGGAACATTTAAAGAAAACATGAAAAACAAGACAACAAGTAAACGTGAATGTTTTGTAAGCTATAAAATTATAAATATTAATTAGATTTGTTTATTTATTATTGATCTGTTTTAATATTGGACCTGCAAATCTTCACTTGAGCTGTCTAACGAGTTATCAATAAAGTACAATCACAAAACATCCCCCTTTAGAACTTTTATCTGTCATGTTAAGAAATGAAAGTAAATAATAAAGCACCTCTCGTGTTTGTTCGCACGCTAAAAATTTCAATTATTGCCTGTATATATTTTTTTAATTGTAAAGTAATATATTATATTTAAATGGAATATATTACATAACAATTATGTCAATTACAGGATTACAAGCTTGTTTTCTAACATTTTTTAAATAAAACGAATTATAAAATTTCAATATATGTATATTTGTCATAGGTATGAAAAAAGTAAAATATAAAATGGACAAACGCTTACTTGCATTGCAATAAAACTTCCACTTTTCGTTTTGCAATCCAAACGCAATTATTTCTATTTCACAAATAAAAATATCCGACATTAAAATCACTGAAACTTCAGCGGCTGACAACGAAAACTGAAAAATATAACGGCACTTTTTGTTTTGGACCTGCATATCAACATAACGCTGTACCATTATGTTTTTGTTTTTGAAATAATATAAAATATCTAATTATAACTTGTAAATTTTAATATTTTAACATGATTTTAACTATTTCTGACATTAACTATCTTTTTGTTATTAAGATGACATTTTAGACGGCAACTGACATATATGTCATAATATTTAAATTTTAAATATGTAAATATAATTTAAATTAATATAATGCAACTTTATACTAAGAAAACATTTATACATTCACAAAATACAACAAAGTATAATAATATAGTCTGAAAACAATGAATATTGAATTAAAATTAAAAAAGTTAAGTGCGACCCCTTGTGTCAAAATTAGATGATTAAATTTTCGCAATTTTTACACCATTTGATGACCGGTGGCGCCTCTAGTGTTTGTTTGGGCGGTTGGTCTTTTACTCCCGCTTATGGCCATTAAAGAAAAAGTTCTAAAGGGGGATGTTTTGTGAGTACAATTTATACAACAGTTTATCAATAAAATAATATAACAGTTTATCAATAAAGTACTTTTCAATATTAAACTCCATTGAAAAGAAGAAGTAAACGTAAAAGCAGGGAATAAGTACATTAAAAATGCATAAAAGATAAATTTTATAATAGAGGTATTGAAATTTAGTAAACACTAAATTGACACACAACATTTGACGTTTCCAGTATTTTACCAAACCGTTCCGTATCAAACTGATGTTTTTCAGGAACCGCTCTTTACCGTAGTTTACCGGTCTGGTTCGCCTGGTTTTGCAACGGAATACAGCCTTAGTATATGACATAAATTAGGATGGATTGACGTATTCAATTGTTTTCGATCATTTCCTGGTTTATCGGAAATATCTACAAGTTTTGAATTTTAAATGACAGCTTCGGTATTTTTTTACTTTATTTGACATAAAGTGACACTCTGAATAGAATGACATATACCGGGTGCGTCTCAAAAGTGGTTCACCCCTATAACTTTTTATTTTTTCAGATAGAAAAACGAGATTTGGTATGTCAGTATATAACATAAATTAGGATTGATTGATGTATTCAATAATTATTTTTGGTCACTTCCTGTTTTACCGGAAATGACTACAACTTTTGATTTTTAAATGGAACCCTCGGTATTTTTTACTTTATTCAATAGAAAATGTCACTCTGAATAGAATGACATATCATTTGTCAACTTTTGACATTTTCGCATATGGTTTATTTGAAATTGTAACATGCGGTGAAAATTTGACTCGAAATATACCAAGTGTGTGGTATCAAATTATTCGTAAAAAATGCTTTTTCCAAATATGCTAATGTGCCACCCTTGATCCATTTGAAATTTTTTTTTTTATTTTTTATCGAATAAAGTAAAAAAAATACCGAAGGTGCCATTTAAAAATCAAAAGTTGTAGTCATTTCCGGTGAAACAGAAAGTGACAAAAAAAGAATTAAATACGTCAATCAATCCTAATTTATGTCATATACCAACATACCAAAACCCGTTTTTTTATCTGAAAAAGTAAAAAAGTTATAGGGGTGAGCCACTTTTGAGACGCACCCGGTATATGAATATGTCAACTTTTGACATATTCGCATATGGTTTATTTGAAGTTGTAACATGCGGTTTATAACGACAATTGGACTGGAAATTGGATACCAAGTGTATGGTACCAAATTATACGTAAAAAAATGCTTTTTCCAAATATGCTAATGAGCCACCCTTGTTCCATTTGAAAAAATTGAGATATGAAGAAAGATACGAAAAACATTAGACTATAAATATATTTTGCAAAGGCTCCTTGATTAAAAATTTAGTGTCTTAACACAGCCATAGATGTCTTTTACGATTTTGTCTTTTTACGATTAGTGTCTTAACACAGCCACTCTAGATTGAAATTTAAAATACGATTTTTGTAAGTAATTTTGTAATTTTGTGTTTGTAAGCGAAAATGTCAAAAGTTGACATATAATATGCCATTCTATTCAGAGTGTCATTTTCTATCGACTAAAGTAAAAATATACCTAAGGTGCCGTTTAAAAATCAAAAGTTGTACTCATTTCCGGTGAACCAGGAAGTGACCAAAAACAACTGAATACGTCAATCAATCCTAATTTATGTCATTTACTAACACACCAAAACCAAATATCGTTTTTTATTTGAAAAAATAAATAAGTTATAGGGGTGAGCTACTTTTAAGAGGCACCCTGTATAAAAAGACAGCGATCTTCATTTCATAACCATCGCTGACACCGTTTTTTGGATCATTGTACTTGTAAACCCGTTAACACATTAACTTTTTTATTTATCTCTCACATTGTCAGATTTACATGATTATTTTTACCAGAGATGTGACTTATTTCAGATAAAATATTTGAAATATAAATATAAGATTCAAAATTTGTATGTTCATCTTATAAATGAAATACGTTTTAAAATTTCATCTTGTATCTTAGTATTTTATAAATAACTAGTTGAAGCCTGGCGCATCCGCCACATCAGGAAAAAAAATACTTTTTATTTTTTGTTTAATTAAACGAAAAACAAAAAATCCGTCGACGACAGTTTTTAGAAGAGCCAATTAGCTAACTTTTAATAAAAAAAGCAACTTTCTAGAGCAAGTCATTACTTCAGTAGAGACGACACACACAGATAAACATTAGCATTTTATATATGTAGATACTTAGTTTGCTAAAATACTTTTACTAATTATATTACCTATGCAATTTTTTTACTTTACGACATTCAATCATAATATGGACCAAATATAATATCCGTATTAGGTGTGATGAAATATATAAACATAGATGAATAAAAAACTTCGTATTTATTATTTAATATTAAACCTAAAATAGAACACAAAATAAACATTATACACATTATAACATTTTTATTCTTCTGTATCTATCTAGTATTAATGAATGGGTTAAAGAAAAGCACCCATTTCATGCTTTAAAATGAAATGGATGCTAAGATCATTTAAAAAACATGTCAAAGATCTTGTCCTGACTGAGACACGTAAAATTAATCGGTATGGAAAACAAAAATTGGATGCTTTAAACAACACTAGGGAATTTTTAAAAAGGAAGGTAAAAGACCAATCTTTCTACAGGTTTTTAGAGGACTCTAATTCCTCTGTTGCGAGTAGCGGCAACATGGGTCTACTGGTAGTACCGCAAGTTAGAAACACTGCAATATTTAAGTTATAAAAACAGTCTCAGATTTGCACGATTTCTGTTCATATAATTATTAATTATTGACAAAGCTAAATAACTTTAAAAATAAATATAAAATGTTTTCTTTCAAAAAGTATTTTATTTTAATAAAAGTATTTAGAAAATACATATTTTATATCTAGTAAATCAAATGCCTTTTTTAAAAGTATTTTGTAACTGCTATCTCAAATACTTTGCTCAGAAGTATCTTGTAACTTGTATTTTAGATACTTTTTATGAGTAGATAGATATCTTGTACATCTCTGGTTTTTACGGATTCCGTGGGTCCACTAATTTAAACTCATGATAAAATACTTAACGAATTTATTATCTCACTTTATACACACAATAACTAACTATTTATAAAATTCCTTCACCAAATTGTCCGATTCACAATTTCCAAACGCGGTATATTCAAACTTCAAACTGCTCCAACTGCCAAGCACGGCCCTTTATATACCCCTACTGACTGTTTCTCGAATATTCTACAATTCTCGGAGAGCGTTCTACTTCATACTGGAAAAATCTATTGTCTGATTCGCTTACTTGTCGACTTGTTTAAGAGATGGCGCCTAAAAATGTCTTTTACCTTCTGGCGGATGCGCCATTTTTCTTGACACGTTGCGGTTGTGTAGGCAACAAATTTTAGCGCTACATACACCTTGACAATATTAATACGGTATGATTGAAAAAAAACGGCGTCAGCGATAGCTATGAATTGAAGATCACTTGTGTCATTTGATAGACTCTGACTGGCCGTCGAAAGGCGCGTGGTCATCGTGAAACAAGAAGAAGAAGAATCACTTGTGTCATATTTTATATGTAAATTTATATTTTATATGTTTTTTTTTTGATCATACGGTATATGTTAATAGCTTTGAATAAAAAGCTTAAGGAGTGTATCAACAAATTTAGGTTGAGCATATTGGTATATTAATATAATTGTAGAATTAATAATAACATAAAATAAAAAGCTCAGAAAAGCTCAACAAATCCAAGGTCTTCAAAGTCCAACCTTGCAACAAATCTATAACAAAGTATCAAAAAAAGTCAAATTCAAACGTGTCAATTGAGACGTCAAACAGAGCTGTCAAGGGAGGGTCAAAGATATAGAGGTATAATGAACAACCATTGCGCATCCAAAAATTCATTTTTTATCATATGTCCATGATGGCCGCCATGTTCTACAGCAATTATTCCTTGATCGGCAGGGGATAGATAAGTAATAATATCAGCTGAAAGTAAAAACAACTTTATTAAAATAGACAAAAACAAAGTAACATTCATATTTAGTAAGTAAAAAAATAAAAACAAAATATGATCTTTGAAAGACTGAATTTTATAAAATCGAGCCATTCTAGATTGGGCATTTAAATTTTTCGAGATTTTTGGTATCCCGGGATTTCGGGGATAAACATACACCGGGATTTCTTGATCTCGGTTTGAAAATCCTAATTATGATACTTCAGCTGTAAAATATATCAAAACAACGCCTCCCTTAATACCGCATATCGTCGCATGACTCTCTTATGTCGACTTATCTGCCAATTTTCTTCTTAAAACGAGTTTAAACTAGATTAAAATTTTTGTTTAAGGAACATGCCGCTACTTGCGGTGAGGATATGTTTGCGCAAGTAGCTTCTACAAGACTGTCAAGAATATCATGCGAAATATGCGATCAAGTCATACCTCTCACTACAGAGTACGAAGTCCACGTTAAACAATGTATAGCTAAACAAAACGGATTATAAATTTTATTTTCAGTGATTTTTTTACCTCAAACAATAAAAAATTAATTTAAAAAATTAGATTAATTAATATTTTTTCCAGTGCCTTATGTGTGGGAAATAATTTTAAGGCAGTATTTCCTGTAAGGTATTGTTTGTTTATATTATTATTAGATGTATGATATATTTTTTATTATTGCTGTATGTGAATAAATGTTTTTTCTTATTTTTAATTTCATTGTTTGATTTATCACAAAATAACACAGGTCGACAAATTCAAACTTTTCATTTCTAACATTGATGACAATAGCTGATTATAATATATCGGATTCTATACTGTTATAATTAAAAATACCAAGCAAAACGTTCTAACAGGTACAGTTTTTTGTTGATGGAGATAAACAATAAATAGGAAAAAATCACATTTTTATTTAACAAGTATGTATTATATATTATATTACATTATCATATTAAATTAAAAAATTATAATAAGTTTTATGTACATTATATTGCATAAAATCAAAGTGTACTTCATCAATATGACTACATAATAAACGATAAAATACGCAAACATGCTTAAAAGCGTTATTTTTTTATTTATGTGACGTTGGATCTTTTGGTTTTAAAAACCAGCAATAGTCGCTAATCATAACTGGATCCCAACGATCAAGGGCGTTGGGATCTTAAAAATAATCGTGTGAAATCTCTCTCTTCTTGTTTATCACTGACTTCACCGAGATTTTCGGGAAAAAATTCAAATGCGAGTGGAGAAAAAGAATTTTCAGGGACATACGACATCCGAGTGAATGCTAGCCTCTAAAACTTCTTGTACGGATAATTCATAGTTTTCTTCTTTTTTAATTACCTCAGAACCCTTTAACTACATTTACAAGGAGTTTCAAGCTCTTAGTTCTTTTTGACTGAGTTTCTGTTTAAAGGCTAGCTCTTTAAGGGGCTTTCTTATTTGAGGCCAAATAAAAATACCCTCTTTAAGCTTGGCATCACTGATTTGGAAAAAATGTTTTTAAATGTTTAAATCCTTCATTTTTAGTGTCCGTGGCCATTACAAAATTTTTTTATCAGTTCCAACTTAATATAGAGGGGTGGAAGTAGCAGGCTTTGGATCAACAAGTGGTAGATATTTTATGTACTTGGACCTGGTTCAAAAGATGTTCTTGGGGGTGATTCTTTTTTACAAAATGTTCCTTTGTTGCCCGACTATCCCACAAATATAAAAAATAACAGTACTTCGTAAAACCATCTTGAAGTCCTAGTAATATACCTATAACATGAGGAACAGGCCATGCAAATGGCAAGTTTGGATACTCAATTTTGTCTTTCTGTTTCTTTGAATAAACTTTAACATTTGTTAGACAGAAATAGTAGTCATTAAAATGATTAGTAGGTTCTCTCCACATCATAGAAACATCAAATGGCATAGTTTTTCTCTGGCCTCTCAGCCTCTGAACCAGATTCACACTACAACTTATACAGCACACATGACGAACCCAAGACTGATCTTGATCCCCCAGTTTACAACCGAAATATAAAAAGGAAGCCTTTCTAACTTCTTGCGAAAGTGTGGTTTGCGATCTTGTGGTTTAACAATAAATCGATAACAAATGTAACAAAACTTATGTGATAAATTTTCGCAAGATCGAAGCACAAAAGTTGCCTTCTCATCTCAGACATTTTTTCATTATAAAACTTTCTGTGCGAATGACAGACTAATATAAACTAATAATTTTATAGTACGGTCTCTTTTAACCAAACCAAACAGCCAGGGTACTATGTGCCGGGCAGCCATCCATTTGGTACCAAACTTCCTGATTTTCCCTAACGGCATCATGTAAAGCAGGTAAAATATGATTTTCCAGTAGTTCCAAATAATATTCTGCATTTAAATTTCGCGTAAGAAATAATGGCCCGATAATATTGTGTCCGAATATCCCTGCCCTAATATTTACTTTCTGTGGATGTTGCGTCCTTGTTTTTTGTTTCGACAAACCTGTGTTGGTTTTCTTTGTTCCAATATCGATCATTTTGAACATTGGATTCATTATTTAAGGTAAACGTGCATTCGTCAGTGAAACATATGTTTTTTAAAAATTCCCTATCCGTGTTTGCTCTTTCCATCATATCAAAACAAAACGCCTGCCGCCGTATTTCGTCCCCATCTCGTAGCTCTTGGTGCTTTTCATATTTGAAGGAATAGTATTTATGTCGTTTCAAAATTCGAAACGCTGTAGTGTGATCTATTCCTATTTCATCCTCAAGTTTCCTTGTGCTGATCTTTCCATCGTTCTCTTCCACGCACAATAAAACTTCCAAGTCGGTATCATTTCTTGCATCTTCTCTTTGTTCCTGCCTTGCTTCACATCTGCAGTTATTTATTAGGGTACCTTTGGTCTCAAATCTCTGGATATTCCTTGCGATTGTAGATTTTCCAGGTATCGGTCTATTCGGATACAGAGCAGCAAACATGTCCGACACCTTTTGATAACTATTTCCTTGATAATACCATTTAATCATCAATACTTTTTCTTCGGTAGTGTAATTCATGGCTAATATTTTCGATGTAGGTATGAGTTTTTAATAATAATAATAAAGCACTAAATAGATAAATTTCTGAAATGACAACTTCATTTGTCAGTTGACATGCAGTTATCTTTTACCTTGACTGGTACAGCTGTACAAATATAGGAAGAGACTTGGGGATAGCACCGGTCGCGTGTTATTTTATATTTCTCACGTCTCTAGCTATACTTGTTAAGTTTTACTAATAAGTAAATACAGGGCCATAAGAAAGGAGAAATATTTAAAAAGAAATCGGCGATAACTCGTAAACGGGCTAATCAAAAATATCTAAAGTTATTCTTTTGAATGTGGGTTTTAGTGCTCTTCAATAAACCTAAATATAATTATTCTCTAAAATAATTAGGGAAGCCAATAATTGACCCCAATAAAATTTACATGGGATTTCCTATGTCCCGCTCGACGATGCAACACCCGGTATTTATCAAAACACATCAAATACCGCTGAGTGCCGCTGATAATAAATAAATTGTATTTTAAAATATCTGTTTTTCTAAATAATTGCATTTATTGACATTATTTAAGTATTATTTCATTATGAATTTCAATTATTAATGAAACATTATCAATCTATACATGGAATACCACGGTAGATAAAAAAAATCTTATTTTAATATATAATCTATTTTCGTAAAGCAATAAATAAAATACTTGAGGGCACCAATGCCAGATAATTTTATATTGATTGATTTATAATTATCTCCAATAAGGAGTTCAAACAATTCGAAATTGTTTCAATTAAATAACAACTGCTGTCAGTGTCGCAGTGCGCCTTGGACGACGAACATGGAGATTTTTTCTGCTTTAAGCATTAAGGTACTGGCGGTTCTGGCGCTGTTGGCCGGCACATGCAGCTCGAAGGAGAGTTTTATGATTTTAAGCATGGACGGGGAATGGATTGCGAAAGAAACTATTGTAGGTATGATATTTAATTTTAGGCCAGTAAGCGAGCGTTTTAGGGTCCGCATTCTGAACACCTGCATCGATTGACCTGAAATTTTAACAGTGAATAGAGATATATATATAAGAAACAAAAGTTACATAGTAGCGACTGTGGTAGCGATGTGTGATTTTACCCTGGGGTGAGTAAAAATCAATAAAGAGATGAATTCTAAGTAAAAAATGTTCTGTAACATTTTTCCAGAAAATTAATATTTTCCGAGTTATTTAGGATTGAAAATGTTGACTTTTCATCTAAAAACTGCATATTTTTCTGCCATTATTTCCGTGGGTGTAATAATAGCCGAGTTATCACTCTGTAAATGTGATTTTTTATTTTTTGTAAACTAAGTTGCAACCTTTTACCGTAAAATAATGGCGAACGAACACATATTTCGAAGAAAATGAATATGACCGTTTTTAAAATGCTTGAAAATGCTTTTTCAAAAAAGTTCTTAGATCAAAAATTCGCGGAGTTATGATAAAAATAATATTGTCATCTCATTTTTTGCAAAAAAATTAACAACAAAATCTATGACTAAAATCATAAAAATAAAAACTAAGCGTAATACATGTACATTTGACTATATTTAGGGACTAACAATGGACTCTACAAGTTCGAGCGGTTTAGAATTTGGAAAAAAAGTTGAAAATAATGGAAAATTTTATTTTTTTATTTTTTAAAAATTTTTATTTTTTTTGGCATATCTCAGAAACTAAGCAAGATACCTAAAAAAGCAACAGAGTAAAATTGAAGGCATTTATTTGCAATATTTTTGCTCTCTTTCAATTTTCTGTAGATCTCTTTATTTCGGTGATATTACGTTTTTTTAGTTTGACTTGCGTGTAAGGATACCACCTTCTGTGAGCCCTTAAAACCCAAAAATCTCGTCAAAATGAAGAGTTCGAGACTGTTCAACTATAGAGGTTAATTTGTAACTCGTGTAATTTCCTACAAATTGATAGTTTTTATTTTTATGATTTTAGTAATAGATTTTGTTGAGGTGACCATTTTATTTTTATAATAACTCCGCGACTTTTTGAGCTACGAACTTGAAATGACCTTTCAAAAAATGCATTTAAAAGGTCTTTTCAAGCATCTTAAAAACGGTCATGTTTATTTTTTTTTAAATGTGTTCTTTCGTCATTATTTTACGGTAAAAAGTTGCAATTTAGTTTTCGAAAAATAAACTATTCTCGGCTATTATTACACCTGCGGTAATCAAATCAAATGAATTCGAATGTTACAGAACATTTTTTACTTAGAATTCATCTCTTTATTGATTTTTGCAATTAAAATGGGTGATTTATTTTTCACCCCCGAGAAGGAGTGGCACTCACCCCCAGGGTGAAAGCACACATCGCCCCTATGTAACTTTTGTTTCTTACATATGTATATCTCTATTATCTGTTAAAATTTAACGTCAATCGGTGAGGGTGTTAGAAATTCGGAGGTAATACCCTATTTTTATCCTCGCTTACTGGCCTATTTAATCAAAGAGATAATATAATTAATTTTATATTTCTAAGGGTACGAATTCAATGCTACCGTTCCTGGTGGAATTTATACTGATCTAATGAACGCTAATATAATCGAAAATGTGTTTTTTCGATACAACGATAACAGTTCTAGATGGGTCGGGTACAATAATTGGACCTATTCAAAAATATTTACAGGTAAAAATTTCAATTAATTTATCTCTTATCACAGACATGCAATAATTTTTAAAGTGAAACTTCTTTACGCGCGTTGACAGTAAAAATGCAAGACCGTGACACACGAGCTAACGTCAGGAAAAGTGGTAACGGCAGTGTTGCCACAGCTACCCCATTAGGGGTAGATTTATCCCTTTGTAAAACAATTTAAGTCGCTCTGGGTAACAATCTGTGCCATGCGCGGCTAAGAGAACTATAATAAACTTGAGATTCTACATGTGTACCAATATCCTCTAGTTAGGTGCTTAGGATCTAAACTTTCATGCATATTTTCATCGATAGATAACTTCTGAATAACGCACTGTAGGCTAAAGTGGGAAAGTAAGTGGTAATAAGTATAATGGTTTTAAGCATTTTTTAGCTTCCAATCTTAAAAAAATGATAATATTTTATTAATTCTTATTAGAGGAAGCAAGAATAGTACCTATTAAATCTTTTTAATACATTTATGGTATACCGGGTGTTTCTCAAAACTGGCTCACCATTATAACTTTTTTAGTTTTCCAGATAAAAAAACAAGATTTGGTATGTTAGTTGTTAGTACATGACATAAATCAAGATTGACTGACATATTCAATTAGTTTCGATCACTTCCTGTTTCACCGAAAATGACTACAACTTTTTATTTTTAAATGGTATCGCCGATTTTTTTAGTTTATTTGGTAGAAAATGACATTCTGAATAGAATGACATATCATATGTCAACTTCTGACGTTTTCGCATATGAGCCACCTTTGTTCCATTTGAAAAAAAAATGAGATCTATTGCTAAAAATACGACTTGGGCATATTTGAAGCGGCCAGGACAAGACACGAAAAATATTAGACGATCAAATCTATTTTTCCAAGGCTTCTTGATTAAAAATTGGTGTTTTTAACACGGCCATGGCACTTTGGATTGAAATTTAAAATACGATTTTGTTTTAAGCGAAAATGTCAAAAGTTGGCATATGATATGTCATTCTGTTCAGAATTTTTCTATTGAATAAAGTAAAAATATACCGAAGGTGCCACTTAAAAATCAAAAGTTGCAGTCATTTCCGGTAAAACAGGAAGTGACCGAAACTAATTGAATATGTCAGTCAATCTTGATTTATGTCATGTACTAACATACCAAATCTCGTTTTTTTATCTGAAAAAATAAAGAAGTTATAGGGGTGAGCCCATAGACTTAAAATAAAATATAGACTGAGCTTCTCATTCATAAATAGCTGGAACATGCGGTCAGACAATATCTTGTTATTGTTGTGTTATTGTTTTAGGTTATAACGAGTGCGACACGAGCGATAGATAGGTTGTCTCTGTCGTAACGGTCGTTCCCTGACGACTCTGCCGAGAAACACAACGCTGTCTTTCGTTTCTCAAGTACACCTGAACTCTCCGTATCATAGCCCGATAATTTTTTTATTTTAATGAAGCTATAATTAAATTAAAAATATATCGTATTTAAACGTTTTTATATTTTATTAAGATTTAGGACAGGTTTTTTAAATAAAAGTTTAGAAAAAACGTCTTAGAGTCCAAAAAGGATAAAAATAATAAAATACACGTTATAGAAGAAATTTTATAATCGAAATTACGTAATTTTTGAAATTAATAATAAATTATTAATTTTAGTCAAACATTTTCAACCCCTAATATTAATCAAAACAGGATTTATTCCACAGATATAATAGAATCGGCGACAGGGAGAGAAAAAAATGATCGTTGTAATTTTTTTCTGGTTAAGTGATGTCTTATTATGTAAATTAGAGAAAACATAAATCTGTTCCATTAAAGCAAGGAAGGTGATAGGAAGTGGATAAAATGAAAACTACATTTATTTAACTCGGTACTGTCTTTATTATACCGGGTGCGTCCCAAAAGTGGCTCATCCCCATATTTTTTTTACATTTTCAAATAAAAAAACAAGATTTAGTATGTTAGTATATGACATAAATTAAGATTGATTGACGCATTCAATTGTTTTTGGTCACTTCCTGTTTCACCGGAAATGACTATAACTTTTAATTTTTATACGGCACCCACGGTATATATCTACTTTATTTGATAGAAAATGACACTCTGAATAGAATAACATCTCATATGTCAACTTTTGACATTTTCGCATATGGTTTAATTGTAATTGTAACACGCGGTTCATAACGACAATTTGGCTCGAAATACCAAGTGTGTGGTATCAATATATTCATAAGAAAATGCTTTTTCCAAATATGCTAATGAGTCACCCTTTTTCCATTTGAAAAAAATGACATATGTATGATTAAAAATACGATTTGTACATCTTTTAACCTGCCTAGACAAGACACGAAACCTATTAGACGATCAAAACTATTTTTCCAAGGCTCCTTGATTAAAACTTAGTGTTTTTAACAACACCATGGCACCCTGTATTGACATTTAAAATACGATTTGTTTTTAAGCGACAATGTCAAAAGTTGACATATGATATGTCATTCTATTCAGAGTGTCATTTTTTATCGAATAAAGTAGCAATATACCGAGGGTGCCTTTAAAAATCAAAAGATGTAATCATTTCGGTGAAACAGGAAGAGACCAAAAACAATTGAATACGTCAATAAATCCTAATTTATGTCATATACCTACTAACATACAAATCTGTTTTTTTATTTGAAAAAATAAAAAAAAGTTATAGGGGTGAGCCACTTTTGAGACGACCCGGTATTTTAAAAAATATTGTTTCATAATGTAATATCATTTTAAAATTCTTGTATGTTATTTTAGATTCTGAAGATAATTTTACAATAAACCGGAATATATTTTTAATAAAAACATTATTAATTATTAACAAGGTTATAATTATGATTTTGTTACAAAAACCTTTATATAAATGATTATGTAAGAGAAAAAAATCAGATTTTACATTTTACTAAAATATTATCTAAATAAGCGCCTTTCTACAACAACGCCACTGACTCCCAACGGGTAAATTGAGAGTTGCCTACCGGTCGAAAGTCGTTTCAAGACTTAAATGGATTATTTAAGTCAAATTTCTTGCAAATTTGGCACTGGCGAACCATATTTTATAGTTCTTGAACAGAAAAAGTCAATAAAATAAACACTTAAGGACTACAAGCTAAGAAAATGCGTTAATACAACCGGGGAGATAGCGGCAACAAAGCTTTACCGCACACGTGCGACTCGTACTACAAGGTAATAAATGAATGAACAGGCGATCTCGCCTCTAATCGGTGGTGCCATATTGTAAAGAACTTATCCTTTTCAAATAGTGTCCGACTTATAATTTAGTAGTATAAGGACTATTTAATACATCTATGGAATATTAAAACCTACTTTATAAAAATGTAGTATTAATATCTCAATATATGTGTATAATAAGAAAAAAAATATTGATAATATTAAAGACGTGGCAACATAGGCTGGATGAGGAAGGCTCGGTCGACTGTACCCAGAAGTAAACATGTGTACAAAAAAGATTGTTTGACTGCGTTGAGATGTAAATAGTGTAGTCTATATTTTATTTTAAGTCTATGGGTGAGCCACTTTATAGACGCACCCGTATACTGGGTGTTGCAATTTTATATCACACAGTATATTATTTACATCAGAATCCTGCATAATAAACCTTAGTAAATCAATTTGACGATTTTCTTTGGCCGTAGAGCGCTATATTTTAAAATCTTTCTCATGTTAACATGTACATTTGAAGTCTCTAACATTAAAAAGAGTACTATTGCAAAAAGAATCTGTCATTTTTAATTTCTCAAAACTATTATAGGTATTCAAAAATCTAATTGAATTGTCAGCACTTTTTGTCCCTTTAACATTTTTCTTCTACCAAAGTTAAAATATTAATAAAAAAAAACAGTGCTTACTTCAAGCAATCACTTTCCAGCGCAACACTCAGTGCTTTTAACAGCATTTTTCAACCTGTCAAGCAAAATGGATCGAAACTTGGCAGGTTGTCAACTGACGTAAACCAAATTTTGTTTTCCACAGCCTTCTATGTTAGATTAGAAGAAGAATAAAACGATTTTATTATGGAAATTAAGCATAACCATACGAGTTTATTTATTTGCAAAAGAAAAACTACGAGATTTTTACTTTTTACCACTTAGATTCCAGCCCTGTGTGTAACGTGTCTAGGCAAAGCACAGTGGCGGATAAAGAGGGGGGCCCATGGGGCCCGGGCCCCCCCTAAAATCTATAAATTGGGTTAAATATTAGGCTTTTGGGTCAAAAATGGCGCCCTAAATAGCATATTCTACATTACTTTTTATTTGGCCCTCCCCTAAAATAAATTCCTGTATCCGCCCCTGGCAAAGCATCTAGCTCAGTTGCCAGCTTAGAATTAGAATTATTAGGGTTAAAAATCTGACACCGTCATGCTTATATCAAACCAATAATCAACGAGAATATTCGCATAACTTAACAAAATTACTGTAAACCGCTATAAATACGAATTGTTGGTTAGGTTCAAAATTGTTTCTCTACTTAAATAAATTTAAGCGTTAACATTATTAGGCATCTGCATAAAAGTGTGTATTTTGGGTGGAATTCCACTAAATTTGTAGACTATTGAGAAAACAGAACATGTGCAGATACAGAAATAAATTGAAAATAATATTTTTATTAAAAAACATTAAGTCACTTTCACACTCTAAGTCACTTTTTTAAACAAACAACCTTCAAATTCTTCAATTTATTAGCTGTTAGTAAGAAAGTTTCACTTCAAATATGCGCACATAGTGCACACACAGTTTTTTTACTACTTTATACCGTATGATCGAGAAAAAACGGCGTCCAGTTGGCTGGGAAATGAAGATCGCTCTCATTTTATATGTAAATTTATATGGGAAATGTCATCGATCGTCATTTCCCAGCCAACTGGACGCCGTTTTTTTTCGATCATACGGTACTATTGTTGAACTATTTTTATTATTACTTTTATTTTTAACACAATTTTTAATAGTTGATGCCGACTTACTAAACTACATCCAAGTAAATCTAGTATTCGAAGGAATAGATACCATAGCTCAAATTATTCTTAACGATGTCTTCATCGCCAATACAAGTAACATGTTCCTGAGATACATTATAGACGTCAAGGACTCATTAAAAGTAAAAAAATACACCCCAAAACTTTAAAAAAATACTGATTTTTCTTTCTTAGGTTGGCACCAATAATCTTACAGTTTTCTTTGAAAGTCCCGTTGAAGTAGGTAAAAAGCTCAATGATGGACAGCTAAAAGACTATAAAATACCTCTAGAATGCCCAAACGAAGCATACAGAGGTGAGTGTCATATAAACATGCTTAGAAAGATGCAAGCTTCATTTTCCTGGGATTGGGGTCCCGCATTCCCTTCTGTAGGTCTATGGTAAGTGTATACTCGTCGTGTGCAACCCGCAATATTCTAATCCTTACTGACTTTTAAGATAAGTGTATTGTTAGTGCGTACTTATTATTTACAACTATTTTTTTAGGAAACCTGTATATCTTGAATCTTATAACGAATCCCTTATACGTTACGTAGTCACTGACGTAATAGACAAAGACGATGACACCTGGTCATTAAACGTGGACACTTATTTCGCTAATAACACTAAGCAGGCTGTGAAAGGACAGTTGAAGTATGATATCTCCTTAAATTTTCTTTTCTTAAAAGTCTGGTGTTGGCAGCTAGGGTTTCCGGAACAGGAGCTGTTTTTCGGAACCGGAAATTTCGGTACCGCACCTTTTAGGAACCGGAATTTCCCGGTTTTTTAGGTACTGACTAATTTTTCTTCAATGGTAGTGCAGTTCATCAATCAGAAAGCAAGGGATGGTTTTTCAAAGTAAAATGGATAAAAAATTGAGATTTTTAATGAAAATAATATCAAATTATTAAGTAATCAGTGAAAAAATTAACATGAACACAAGTAAAGAAAGAAGTATAGGTAACTTCAATTTCACATCAAATAACATAAACCAACTTAACTGAATTTGAAACAAAAACCTTAAAATATTGAATTAAAAATACAAATATCTATTAAAACATAACATAATAAATATCATAGGAACTTCAATAGAGAAAAGAAGCAAGAACAATAAGAAGTAGCTTCATTACTTATTTAGAAGAGTTTTATTTCGACCGCTAGAAAGTATCAAAGGACTTTCTCACGGAACAAAAAAATAATTTTTTAATTATTGTTTCCGAGGCCCGGTTCTGTGATGGCCAAAAAGATCTGAACCCTAATTGGTAGTATTAATTAGAGTTTCCAGAACAGTACCTACTAAAATATTTTCGTTCAACGATTGTGGAGTTCGTCAATTAGCAAGCAAGAAATAATGGTTCTCAAAAGTAAAACCGATAAAAAATTGAGTTTCAAATGAAAATACAATCAAATTTTTAACTCATGAGAAAGTAAACATGAACTTTCGGTACCGGGATTTCCAGGTTCTGAACCCTATTAGCTACCTACTATGACAAGTTTGTACTTTCCAGATCACTCATAAATATAGTAATCAATAGTAAATATTGACGGGTTGTTTTTGGTTGCAGCGTTGCCATTGATACAGATACTTCTAAGGTTACTGAAATTTATGTAGTTGATGTTAAAATTGATTCAAACAACGAAATTGTTCATTCTGCCTTTATTGATATACCTAAGGTAATTTAAGGTAAACTAACTGGAGATAATTGAAATTAAAAACAAAATTATTATTTAACTCACATAGAACCAAGTTAAGCAATGGTGGCCTAATGGTTATGGTTCCCAATCTTTATATCAGCTTCAAGTTGACTTCCTCGCAGAAGCTGATGGTACGGCTCATTCAAAATCACAAAAAATCGGTTTTCGGTCAGTTGAACTTGTTCAGGATGATTTGGGTAAATGCAGATAACCATTCAAAACAAAATATCAATGTTGTTTTTTGTTGTAGAAAAAGGAGCAACATTTTACTTTAAAATCAATGGAGTTCCTATTTTCGCTAAAGGTTCTAACGAGATTCCTATTAATGTCCTTCCAGAGGTTGGACAAGATAAGGACACTATTAGATATCTTTTACAGAGTGCTAAAGATGTGCATATGAATATGTTAAGAGTTTGGGGCGGTGGTAAGTGTTACATTAATCAGTAAAGACAGAACGGAAATAACAAAAACATAAAATGAGACTATAAGTGCTGTTTCAGATGGAGCGGACCGTCCGCGACTTCAAGCAAGTACCATGATATGAACAATTTAACATGGGGCCGGATGATTGCTTCGTCGGAGCGTCCGCGCGTGTATGGGCTACGTGGTTAAATACACTTGTGTCTAGCCCTAGCAGGCAACTATTAAGCCCGACCAATCAGGTTAGAGTTTCTGACAAACACAAATGAATTAACACACTTCAAATAACCACGCTAACCAACCTGATTGGTCAAGCTTAAAAGTTGACTGCTAGGGCTAGACACTTCTGTTAAATACGCTATTTTATATACACGCGGACCGTCCGTTGCGGAGAAAGTGCTGCGTTGCAATTTATATCGATAAGCGTCTCTGCAGCTTAATAATAATGAGAACCTTTAAAAGTATATTACAGTTGAGGGTTGGAACCTTTGGTGTTACACAGCAAAATAAAACACTAAATCACCACAATACACCAAAACACGTTTACTTTTACACTGGACGCGCGTTTCGCTAACCATGTTAGCATCATCAGCAGATCAGTGGCGGATCTAGGCGTCGGCAAGATGGGCACCTACCCACGACGCCAGGCGCCGAAATCAATAGGTAACAACTCCTCCAAAGGCCAACGCTTTCGACCGCGGAGGCATCTAAATTGCTGAATTAATTACAGAGTTTCTTAGCTGAGTTTCAAGTAGCAAAGATCCTTGCAGAGGCAAGGAATATTGAGCCTGTTCTCCCAGAAAAACGGACGAGGAAAGTAAAAAGATTTTTCGATGAAAATGCTTATGACGAAATTGGTACATTAACCCAAGAACAACAACTCAAAATTGAAATTTTTTAATCATTGGATAAAATAAATGAGCAATTTTCCTGGAGGTTTAATGCTATGGAAGGTGTTGTCGAAGATTTTTATTTCCTTTCTGGAGTCACTGGCATTATTACTACTAGAAGAAATAAAAAAAACATGCTGCAGATTTAGCAATTAAATATGCTAACGACTTAGATGCAACAGAGCTGTATCTTGAACTGGAAAATGTCAAGAATCACGCAAGCTTGTTGCTTCCAAACATGGAAGCAGCTAGCTGTTTAGATATAATAATAATAATAATATGCTAGAAAATTTTGCTTAATTCCGAAATTATCTGAACTTGCAGACCGCGCTGCGAATATTTCTGACCATGCCAGTCATTTCTGTGTCATGTGAGCGGTCGTTTAGTAACTTAAATTAATTAAAGATTTTAGGCGTTCAACTATGACACAGGAGAGACTGACTGACTTGGGAATATTAAGTATAGAGTATGAAATAGCCGAAACAATTAACTTTAATAAAGTGATAGATGAAATGGCTTGTCTACACATTTTTTGAATTGTGAGGGCGCCAAATTTTGTCTTTGCCCACGACGTATTTTACCCTAGATCCGCCACTGAGCAGATGATTTAAAACTCAACTTTGAGTTTTTAAAACTCAAATATAAATTTCAACTTTAAGTTTTAATCATCTCTTGATGATGCTAACATGGTTAGCGAAACGCGCGTCCAGTATAAAAGTAAAAGTGTTTTGGTGTAGTGTGGTGATTTAGTGATTTATTTTGCTGTGTAACACCAAAGGTTCCAACCCTAAACTGTAATACATGTCTACCCGTAACGGATTTAACAGCTCATCTGAAAACAGTCCGTCGGACATTAAAAAAACACGCGGACGATCCGCTCCCTGTGAAACAGCAGTAAGAAATTAAATGGAAGCTATTTTTTGCTGAATAGGTGTTTACGAATCTGACAACTTCTACGAGGTAGCAGATGAACTAGGCATTATGATCTGGCAAGATTTCATGTTCGCCTGTTCCCTATACCCGGTAAAGCAAGATTATTTGAACAGTGTAACTGCCGAGGTTAACCATAACGTTAAAAGAATTTATTCCCATCCCAGTATAGTAATCTACGCTGGAAATAACGAAAACGAAGGTGTCCTAGCCGACAATTGGTTAGTTTTTCACCAAAATTACCCTAATATAATTTTTTAATGTTTGGTCTAATTGGTTAGGTACGATACTAAAGGAAACTATGATTTATATAAGAAAGACTATGTCACACTATACATCGACACTATTAAAGCTGAATTCGATAGAGTTACTAAGAATAGAAGTATATACGTTAGTTCTAGTCCTAGTAATGGTAAAGAAAGTGAAAGTGAGGGTTGGGTGGCTGAACAACCAGGAAGCAGCCTTTATGGGGATGGTAAATTATTAAAAAATACATATATCAATTTTACCATATGAAACAACCTCGGTATTCCAGTTCACTACTATAACTATGTTAAGGATGCTTGGAGTTCTACATCTTATCCAGTTCCAAGATTTTGCTCCGAGTTCGGGTACCAGTCTTTACCATTTGAATTTTCTTGGCTCACAGCCACCAATAACTCGGCAGATTTGAGCATAAACGGCGAGTTTATGGACTACAGACAACATCACCCTTTAGGCAATGCTGAAATGGAAGTTTTAATTGTAGAAAATCTTAATTTGCCCTCGAATAGCTCTAACTATGACAGCGGATTTATATACTTATCACAGGTAATTCAAAGAAAAAAAGGATTTCCTTAATACTATACCGGGTGTTGCATCGTCGAGCGGGACATAGGAAATCCCATGTAAATTTTAATGGGGTCAATTATTGGCTTCCCTAATTATTTTAGAGAATAATTCTATTTAGGTTTATTGAAGAGCACTAAAACCCACATTCAAAAGAATAACTTTAGATATTTTTGATTAGCCCGTTTACCCCCGTTGATTACCCTCTTTTTAAATATTTCTCCTTTCTTATGGCTCTTTATTTACTTATGAGCACCAGTCAAGGTAAAAGATAACTGTCAAATGAAGTTGTCATTTCAGAAATTTATCTATTTAGTGCTTTATCAAACAAACAAAGAAAACCAACACAGGTTTGTCGAAACAAGGACGCAATATCCACAGAAAGTAAATGTTTGGGCAGGGATATTCGGACACAATATTATCGGGCCATTATTTCCTACGCGAAATTTAAATGCAGAATATTATTTGGAACTACTCGAAAATCATATTTTACCTGCTTTACATGATGACGCTAGGGAAAATCAGGAAGTTTGGTACCAAACGGATGGCTGCCCGACACATAGTACCCTGGCTGTTCGGGAATATTTAGACAATAGTTTTAACGGAAACGTTATTGGCCTAAATCATACAGTAAATTGGCCAGCAAGGTCTCCTGATATTTCGCCAAATGATTTCTTTCTCTGCGGTCATTTAAAAAACAGGATATACAAGGATAAAAAATACCCAAATCTAGATGAGTTAAAAAATGCTATTTCTGCCGAATGCATTAGAATTTCAGTTTACCAACTAGCGAATGTAAGAAGAGAATTTTATGATCGCCTGGACTATTGTCTAGCAGTCGATGGAGGAATATTTGAACATCTTCTTAAATCCTAAAGTTCTAACAATTTAATAGTACCTAAATTAATAAGTTATTGAATATTGTAATAATACTATAATTAACCTTGTAATTGATTACTTTATTTTACTTTAATTCATATTAATTTGTATTTATAAATACATCTTTAAGATTTCCGATGTAGGAATGAGTTTTCAATAATAATAAAGCACTAAATAGGAAAATTTCTAAAATGACAACTTCATTTGACAGTTATCTTTTACCTTGACTGGTGCTCATAAGAAAATACAGGGCCAAAAAGAAATCGGCGATAACTCGTAAATGATCGAGCTAAGCAAAAATATCTAAAGTTATTCTTTTGAATGTGGGTTTTAGTGCTCGTCAATAAACCTAAATAGAATTATTCTCTAAAATAATTAGGGAAGCCAATAAATTGATCCCATTAAAATTTACATGGGGTTTCCTACGTCCCGTCCGACGGTGCAACACCAGGTATACAGGGTGGTCCGAACTGTATTTCGGAAACGTCGGCAGCATATTCTGCGGATAAAAATAACTAATGCCCACTTGCACCGTTTGTATAAACTTTGTTTAAAAAGGCTAAACAGTGATTAACTATAATAAAATATGTATAGTTAATCACTGTTTAGCCTTTAAACAAAGTTTATACAAACCGTGCAAGTGGGCATAAAACAGTTCGTATAAATGTATGTCCTAAAATACTTATGCCCACTTGCACCGTTTGTATAAACTTTGTTTAAAGGCTAAACAGTGATTAACTATAATAAAATATGTATAGTTAATCACTGTTTAGCCTTTAAACAAAGTTTATACAAACGGTACAAGTGGGCATTAGTTTCGAGATACAGGGTGTGAAAGTTGCATTTTTATTTCGAATTTTTTCAAATAATTTCTAAAGTAACGTCAATACTTGGATGAAAATTGGTGTCGGGGAGTTTTTTGACGTGAAAAATTTGATTTTGATGTCAGTATGACTCCTATTTGTAGGAAGCGCCACCTAAATGTGTTTTATCTGTTTTGAAGAGTAATAACTTTTCGTCCGTGCCTGTATAAAACTACTGAGTAAAAAAATATACATTGACGACGTTTTTTACGTAAAAAAGGTCTCTTAGAGATATTTCGAATTGAAATTATCAATACCTGTTATCATTACATAAATTAAACATGTTGAAAAAAATAGTTATTAGACTGAAATCATAAATTTCAAATGTTTTTGTGCCAAAAGTTCTTTATCATCATTTTTTTGCAGAAAAATTTATGATTAATTTAAAAAAATAAAAATTTCCCAAGTTTATTATTTCAGTCAAATAACTATCTACTCGACATGTTTATTTTTGGTCAATAATGACATGTGTTGACTATTTCCATTTTAAATATCTTGAGAACGGTTATTCATAGCGATTTTTACCAAGAGACATTTTTTAGGTATTAAAAATAAAAAAGAAAATAAATTATTAAAAATAAAAAAAATAAAAGTTATTACTCTTCAAAATAGTTAAAACACATGTAGGTGGCACCCCCTACAAATCGGAGTCATATTGACATCAAAATCAAATTTCTCACATCAAAAAACTCCCAGCCGCCAATTATTATCATCCAAATATTGATGTTACTTCAGAAATTATTTGGAATAAATCGAAATAAAAATGAAACTTCTACACCCTCTTTCTTCGAAACTAAGCCAATTTAGGACATACATTTATACGAATTTTCTGTAGAATATGCTGCCGAAGTTTCCGGAATACAATTCGGACCACCCTGTATATATATTTATATATTTTTTGTAGGTCTTATATGCTCAAGCTATAAGAGTCGAAAGTGAACACTATCGCAGATATAGAAGCTACTTAAATGAAGATGGCGAAGGATACACTATGGGGGCGCTATACTGGCAACTAAATGACGTTTGGGTAGCCCCTACGTGGTCTAGTATAGGTAATGAATCCACAATATGAAGGACTATAAGAGTTTAGTGCAATTTTGGATTACAGATTATACTGGTAGATGGAAAATGTTACATTACTTCGCCAAAGACATGTTTAGTCCTGTTATAGTTACAGGACATTTAGATTGGGGTAGACAACTTAACTTATATACGGTAAATGATCAGTTAAATCCTGTAGAAGATGTCACAGTTATTCTTAGAATTTATAAATATGACAGTCCTGATTTCAAGCCTATGTACGAAAATCGTACTAATATGACTTTGGTAAATAATGAAAATTACTTTTTTTTTCTATATATTTTAGTTTTTTTTGTTGTTTTTAGAATGCTGCAGGATCTCAACTTATTCAGACAATCAGCGTTGACAATTTCTTAGTCGATCAAAACTGCGGTGAGGCATTGAATGCAAGTCTGAACTGTTTCTTCTATTTTATTATTGAAAAACAATCGAACACAGGCACCAGTGTAGCTGTCAGTCCTGAAAACTATTTCTTTCCTGAAAAATTAAAACAATCTACATTGGCATCGCCTACGGTTAATGTATGATGGCTTTTTTAACTGTTTTTTTTAACTGAATATACATATATATTGTTTTCTAGATAACATCTATAAAAGCAAAGGATACAAACACTTATGAAATCACTGTGACGACAAATAATATTGCTTATTTTGTTTGGCTTGATTCCCAATCGATAAAAGGCAGGTTTTCAGAAAATGGGTTTTTACTAGTTGAAGTTACTAGGACAATTTGGTTTTACAGCGCTCAAAATACGACAGCAAGCGAGTTAGAGGCTGTTCTGACTGTTACCCATCTTAAAGATCCACGTTGGGCATAATAAATTTATCAATGTACAGATTTTTAAATATAATTATCTTTAAATAACTGTTTTTATTTACTTCACGCATATTTTAATCAAGAAACAACTAAGTAATGACTGTAATACGTTCATCCTTGGTTTTACATATACAGGGTGATTCACAGCCATGGTTAGACGTTTCTGGAGAACCGGTGATAGGGATTTTTTGAAAATTTTAATTTTTGCGTAAAGGCACCTGCTCCATCTGTCTAAATTATTTTCAGCAATACAGTTTTGCCGCGTCATGCGTCATACTAAAAGTAGTAGCATTTTTGTTATTTTAACTGGAACACCTGGTATATTATTATATTTTTAACTACAAATAACTATAATTTTACTTATTTCATATCAATTAGTTAAAATTCTCTACTGAGGGATACAAGACTCAAACTGACAGTCTTGTATAAAAAAAATATCTTAAATTTTTACTATTTAAATAAGGGGGGCAATATGTTTCGGGAATCAAATCCCATCCTCAGGCCCAAAAGCAAACTGATATCTTGAAATTTTAAGGGAGATAAGTTCCAATTTCAGCTTCAAGAATATCCTTGATTGTAATTTCATCCTGTTAGTGTACGGTACTTTCATATCTCATAATTATTACAATTTTATTAACAATTTTTGAGAAAACGTGCAAAATTGACAAAAACATGATCTTGAATAAGCATCGATTAAATGATAAATTCGGCATATTGAAAGCTGAAATGTGTCTTATAGTTTAATGAAAAAAGCGGATGCAGACAGGAAGCGAGGAGCATTCCCGATTGATCGGCAGACATCGGGTTGTTTCGTTACATTGGCAAACCATCAATGCAAAACTTGACCATAAAAATGTGTAGCATTGTGTGGCTATCCATGACTAACAACTGTAAACTATCCAATAAGATATACGTTAGCCAAATTTTAAAGCATGATTACGGGCATTGGCGTAACAACAAGGGTTCCCGGGGGAGCCGGACCCCCCCAGGTACTGCTGGGCACCCCCCAAAGAAATCCTGAATTATGACTCTTGGTTAAGTATTAATGTTTATTTGCTTGTGATGCAGTAAAAATGACGTTCTCTAGTTTTGTTTAGTTAATATTATTTTGTTGTGTTCAGAAAATGTGTTTGGTTTGGTTTGGTTTGGAGAAAATCGTTGCCATGACAAATATTTCAACTTTATGTATCAATTAGACTTTATATTTGCTAAATTTTTAAAATTGTCATCATGGTAACGAAGTTCGACAATTATACAGGGTGTTTCAAAAAACATGTGCCTTTTCTCGTGGGGAGGTTCCTCACGTAAAAATAAGAGTTATTTTTCATATCAACATAGGTTCGATTCTGCATATTTTTCTAAAAAAAAAACATGTACGCCATTGACTTTTTTTTCTTTTGTTAGCAAAATAGTGTAAGCTGTTCAATGCCGATTAAATGTCATATCTTAATATTTTGTCGATTTCGGCCTTCTTGGTGTGATAAACGCAATTTTATTAATTTGCCTTGGTCCAATAAGTTTAATAGCAACCTTTAAAAAAATTTAATATCATTAATTCACGGAAGTTTTAAATAAGCATTTATTGATTTCTCGTCAAAAAATATGAAAAAAAGTTCCTATAAACATGTGTATGGAAATGCAAAGTTTTAGAGTTACAGAGGATGTTAACTTTTTAAAATTAGGTTTTTTGTAATTTTCTTAAAAACAATTATTTTTTTATTTGAAATGGCTGTAGTTGGACTAATAGTAATAATAACTAATAGTAATAATAATAAATAAATAAGTTTAATAATAAATTAGGTAGAATATATAATTTATTAATTTAATTTTTATTTTAATTTTATTAATTGTGATTAATAAAACTGCGTTTATCTCATCAAGGAGACCGAATTCGACAAAATATCAAGAGATAACTTTTAATCGGTCAAACAAGTTGCGCAACAAAGCGATGCGCAACGTTCCGTGGCACAACTGCCTCACCAAGTAAAATTTTGATCAAACTTTTTATTAAAAGTTGTGCATTGTTTGAGAAACAATCATGTCCTCAATTGCCATTGCGGCAATTATTATCTTATATACCCTAGATGATGTCGATGATACCAAAAAACGAAAAAGAAAACAAAGAATTTGGATGAAAGAACTCAAATATTGCACAACGAAGTGCAACACACACATACACTACACAACGCGTTGCGCAAACAGTCCTGTTGCACAAAAGAATTCAAACATTCTTGAAACTCATCAAACAATTGCGCAACGCATCAAACACTACCATACATTGGCAACTCGTTGTGCAACAGCCTGCGTTGCGCAATTTGTTTGATAATGTATGGGCCGTTTAAGATAGATGGAGCAGATGCTCTTATGTATCTTTATGTAAAATGCAAATTTCTCCATTAACGTCTAACGTACCAACGCCGTGAATCACCCTATATATGTATAATAGTTATCAAGATCTATCAAGATAAATCTGAGAATTTAAAATTAATCATAGAGTGTGTATTATTACTGTTCTAAGAAAAATATGTGCCACGGCACTGTTTGAAGGTATGGTAACAATCAGGCAGGGTTCGGAAGTAGTTAATTAAGACGTAATTTGCCTGATTAACTACGTGTAGTTTTTCTTCAAAAACTACGTTTTTTCCCGTTCATTAACTACATGAAAACTACGTTAATAAACTATGTATTGATATTATGAATAATTTTCCTTTGTATGAGGTGTAATAGAGATAATATGATGTAAATATTATATTTAACGCCATATTTCTTCTGTTTTCTTAAATACATTATGTGTTTTTAAAGCTTCAACTTATTATAACCTCACCTCAAACCTTTGATATTTGAAAGTTACATACATACGTTACATAAACTACACCCTCTACATAAACTACATTAACTACATGTAATGCAGTTTATGTAGTTTTTGAAAGTAACATGTAGTTTTCCGAACCCTGCAATCGGGTAACAATAATTTGGTCTTGGGTGTTATTAGTCCTTGTATTTTTTAGCTTTCGACACTGGTAACAAAACATCGATGTTTTTAAAACATCGATAAACATCGCCCAGCACTAACTGACACTAACCTCACGGTTGACGTTGTGGTTGACGTTGACAGAAGATTTAGTATAATTTATGGTATAATTATCAGTAAACATTTCTAAACAAAGTCCACATTATTTATTTAAATAAAAACTGAAAAAAATGAAAGACGATCAACCTGACCAAGGAACGATACGAGATCATGTACTTCAACTAGTGAAACAAAAAGAAAATATAGAAAACGAAATTAAAGAATTAACTGGTATTTTGACACAAGTAATTTTTTGTGAAGTTTCAAATAAAAAAGTCTAATTCTTTTATTTTAAGAATGGAGTCGGAATGAATGATCCCCTTGTGGACAACGAAGGTTATCCTATTAATTCGATTGATGTCTATCAAGTGAGACATGCTAGGCACCGAATAATATGTAAGCATAATGAAGTTTTTTGTTAATTTTTTACCCGTTTTTTATAAGGTTTACAAAATGATCACAAGGCTCTTATGAAACAAATAGAGAATGGACTACATGGTTATTACACGGCTTCTTCCTCACAGAGTGGAATGGATACTCAACCATTAGATACAAGTCAGAGAAATATTGTTATACACAAAGATCCATTTGCAAAAGTTACAATAGTTAGTCAAGGATCCCCAGCTGACTATGCTGTAATTATTCTATGCTGTATTCTATTCACCAAATGAGTTTTTACTAAAATATAATTTTTCAGGGAATTCTTGTTAATGATGAGGTGATCGAATTTGGTTCAGTAAACTCCACAAATTTCAAAACTATAACAGATATAGCAACAGTAGTACAGCATTCAGAGGGAAATCAGATCAATATTAAGCTAAAAAGAGGAGAAAGATTTTTAACAGTGACTCTTATACCTAAAAAATGGTCGGGGAGAGGTTTGTTAGGTTGTAATATTGTAGCTCTATAAAAAATATAAACATTTTATAAAATATAATCTGAAAGTTACTTTTATAATAATTTGTTAAAAAACAATAGCTATTAAACATGCTTAACTACTTATGTACTCTATGTATTAAAAAATAGTTCTAACAAAATTCCAAAAACCAGGAACAAATTGGAAAATTATCACAATTATAAGGAGATCGATTTTTCTTCATTAACTGTTGTTACCTTTTGATAGATCTGCTTTAATTCTTTTAAGTAAAGATGGCATGTAGTTGATTTGTTTGTCTACACATTTTGTTGCGCAGTCTTCAAAAATTTTTGCAAATTTATCCATCTATAAAACAAAAGTTGTTTTTTCCATTTTCTTTTTGCTGTAATCTTACCTCTGACTCTTTAGGATTAGGACCTATTTTGACTTTAACCTCATCATTACAATCCATAACGCATCTCTGTAGTTTATTCTGCAAACCCTCAAGCTCTCTTTGAACATAATTTTGAGCCCAAGATAATGATACTGAACAGTTTTCTACGCATTTTTGAACTCCTTCTAAAGAAACTACCTTATTATCACAACATGTCGCCGCACATCTATGCATATCTGCCTAAAAATATTGGTTCTTTATGCGTAATTAAATCGATTAAAGGTGGCTATATTTGTACCTGCATTTTTCTCAAATATTGCAAGTCTAATTCGTTAATCATTTTGGTCATTTCTTGTTCGATCCGCTGGCGCTGTTGCTCGACCATTTTTAATAAAATTTGAAATCACTGTTTTAAATAATAAGATAAAACGTGATTTTTTTTCCTCAGTATTTTTTAACAGAGATAGAGGTTAAGAATATATAACCGTACTTTTTATGAAGTAACTTGAACCCAGAGACATAGAGAAACTAAAATCGTTATGTCCAGAGCAAGGATATATAGAATAAGGATATTCGAATGGCCCAAAAAAAACGTGCCGTATTTTGTCGAGGAAGTCGATTTCGTCACGACCAATGGGCGTCGAGTATTTGAAATTGAAAACCATTTGAAAACTTATAAATTGACGGTAACCTATGTTTTTTTCAAGTTTTTTGACTCATTTCACTGACAGATGTGATGAGATTATTATTGTAATTTATAGATCTAAACGTTTTTTGAAAAAATAATGTATTTTAAAGTTATTTCCTAGAGTTTGGTTTGGCCTTCTATATTCTGGTATTTGTCTACTAATAAATAATATCTTATTTTGTATTTCGATGTATGGAAATCCGCAAGTTCAGGAAGAATTAGGATATAACCCCAAAAGTTATGTCAAATCATCGAGCTTGACATTTGAACAATTATTTTCACATTTATTGTGTCTTCTGTTTGACAATTTCAAATTGGCGCGCGGAGCTTTCCTACCAATGGTGTCGTTTATCACCTGTGACGTAGTGACCAACCTGTGCCATAACATACCTTGTATTCTTTGTATCATCATGAAAGCTTATGATTATAAAAAGAAGAAGGTGACAGTTTTTTTAACCCCAAAAATTTACAAAATTTATTGTTATTAAAGAATAAAATGTTGAAAACTAATCGTTTATATTTTCAGATAGCCAAGAAATTGTTTAAAATTGATCAGATTCGCTATATAAATGCTACTGTAAAACCTTTAGAAAATGTCAAATCCGAATTAATATTAACTGAAAGATGTGCCCAGAGACTAAATAATATAACTAAAGAGAGTCCCAAAACGTTTTTGAGAGTGTCTGTAGAAGGAGGAGGATGCTCAGGGTTTCAATATAAATTTGATCTTGACACAAAGTTGAATGAAGACGATAAGTAAGTTAAAATGAAAGTAGTTGTTTGTATTACAATATTGTTTTAGGATATTCAAGAAAAATGGGGCTCAAGTTGTGATAGACGAGACATCTTTAGAGTATGTGAAAGGATCAACAATAGATTACCAAGAAGAATTAATAAGGTCTTCTTTTAAAGTATTAAACAATCCTTTAGCTGAACAAGGATGCTCATGTGGAGCATCATTTGCTGTAAAATTAGATTAAAATAGAAGACATATAAAATATTACTATAAAATCCTGTATATAATTGATCTAGTTTAATGTTAAGCATGTATATTTTTTCTGTAATGACTTAAAACCAAAAATTTATATAGATTATATTTATTTAAGAAGTTTGTGTTATTTAAAAAAGGGGGCATATATATTTCTTCACATTATCTGTATATTGCTTATAATATATTGAAAGTTAATATATACATTAAAAAGAAGCAAACCCTAAAACAGATTAGGGAATAATAATTAATATAAAGTACAATACTTAATTTGAATATCACAAAATATTTCTTTACAATTTTTGAATATATTTTTTATATTTTTACTAGAAACAACTCTAAAAGCTCTTACAATAAATTAACAAAACTAAATTTAAAATTAGTCCTTAAGGTATTGTTAGAAGCAAACCTTAAATATTTGGAATGTGAAAGATTTTACACTGGTCCAAACTTAATAAACTTTAGATTTTTTTTCTTTCATTTCTTATATTGTCAACACTACTTCTTACTTGCAAGTTTATGTTTTAGTATTTGAATTTCATCGCATTGTTGAGTGATTTTTTCATTCTGTGTCGCAAAATGTTCAGTCATGGCATCTAATTGACTCTTATAATTTTCATTAGTTGTTACAAGTTCTTCATAACTAATTTCTAGTTTTTTTTGAAGTTCTGTATGCTCAGAAATAAAATTTTCCAATCTGAAAATTAAAATAGAGGAATTAGTAATGTCAAATTTGTTAAAGTAAAAATAAATATACAAAGAAAAGAAAAACAATATACCTTGATTTTAAAGCTTGGTTCTCTGCAAAAAGTGATTTGGTTTCAGCAAATACCACTGCTTTTGATTCCAAAGTATCTCTTAATTGAGATTCATAATACTCTGACAGACGTTCATTTGTATTAGGTTTGCATCGTAATAATTCACATTCACTCTTCCATTTTTCTGCTTCAGATTTCCAAAAATTATAATCATCATTCTCCTTACAATCTTGTTGTTTTATAAACTCCTTAATTTTTTCAACTAAAGTTTCTTTATCTTTTTGTAATTTTTCCAATTTATCTTTGTGTCTATCATCACTGCTAGTCAACTCTTTTTGTAAACTTAACAGTTTTTCTTCCAGCCAGATAATTTTTTCTTTAAAACTTGTAATTTCTAAATCCTTGTCTGATATCTACCAAAAAATAAGTGTTACTATACCAAAATAAAGAAATTTACTCCACCTACACTGCTTAAAAGATTAGCGTTCTCTAGAATTTTCTTTTGAAATTCTTCGTCTAAAACACTGAAATCGTGCACTTGTGTTGTATCTACATTCTTTTGCTTTCCTTTCTTACTACGACTACTTATTTGTAATTCTTGTTGTAACACTGATATTCTTTTGGTCAACTAGAAAATGCAAAATAAGTAAGTTTTTTTCTACATTATCCAACATACCTGCTCATTACGAAATGTGAGACTTTCCATTTCTTGATCTCTTTTTCTAATTGTTTGTTCGCCATTTCGAATAATTTCAGTTAGCTGCGAATTTTTTGCTTGTTCATCCAAAACAGCTTTCTTTAATACTGTAGCTTGAGAACGTACCTACAAAATAGTTTAAAAATAAATCTTAATTAACTTAAATAATTATTTCATATTTTCGAATTACTTTTGAATATTCCGCGGCAAGTTTCTGATATTTACTTTCAATTTCTGTTTGTTGTTTATCCATTTTATTAACTATTAATATCAGAGACTGTACTGAGATCTGAGATTTAAATAAGTAAATAAATTTGACAGCTGCTAAATAAATTAGGATAAAAAAGTTTAGCCAAACAGACCAAACAGGCCAAATCTTGTCAAATTTTTAGTTACGACTTAGACAACCAGTTATACACAAACGGTATTAAGTAATTAAGTAGCATTTACATGAAAATATAAAATCTTGGCATAAGACCAGGGCAAAGAGTCTCTCCTGAGAACTCTCTCCTGAAACTCTCTCCTGAAGAGAACTCTCTCCTGAAAAGGAGAGTTTGAGAAGACAGAAGAAGAAGGAGAAGCAGTAATTTTAATTTTTTTATGTTTTGTGTTTTATATGTTGGTCATTATAACGGTTTCTCTCAATGTCATATCAAATGTCAAAATCCAGGAAATTCTGAAAATGTCGACCCTACGGTGTACCTATACAAATTAATTAATATTTATTTTTACTAATCTTATAAGGATTAAAGCAGGTAAATTCCTACATATTTCGTTTTTACATTATACAATAATTTGATATTACAATGGTGTGCTTTTAAAAATGTATATGTTGTGAAGCGCGGGAAAAATTTCTTAACTTTGCTTTGGCTTTGTTTATGTATTCTGTTCAATTTGCTCGTTTTTCTAAATTCAGTATTTTTTAGCATTATGTCTGATGACGCCGATGTAGAAAAGATATTGGTTGTTATTAATCATTTTCAAAAGGTTTTGGATACCTTAAAAGATATTGATAATGTAGAATTCGTTATTAATAAATTAGGTTTGGAAAAGAAACAGGAATTATTAAAACAAATTGATAATATCGCTAACGAGTGCTCTTTAAAAATCTACAACATAAATGAAAAACTTAATAAAGCATATAAAAATGCTAAAACTAGTGATAATTCTGATGGGGATTTAAATGATACCAGTTCAAGGATTGAAGTTGTTAATTCCCAAACAGATCAAGGAAATAGTACTGAAACTCAAGAATCTTTATCTAATAATATAAATAATGTAGTTCACAACAACACAAGTAGTGAAAATGAAGATCCTGTATCTGATTCTGATGTTATTGAAGGATCTCCATTGAAACCTCAACATAAAAAAGTTGTTGATAGACTTTTAGGTTCCAAGTCAGTATCAGAAGAAATTCAACCCAATAAATCAAATATTATTGATGACGATAACAAAAATAGTAACAGTGAAGAAAATCATGTACAAGAAGAAACAGCCCCTGAAGCTTTAAAAAGTAATGAAGTATTGGTAACTAGTCACAGAGACAATGTAGAAGGTAAGTAAAAAAATAATTACTTTGTATTTTTTATTCCTTTATTTTTTATAGTTCAGAATAATACAGCAAATACCGATAATGATGTAAATGAAGAAGAAAATAAGAGGCCTGTAATAAAACTCGTTGACATTAGTAAACTTCTAGCTCCCAGTAAGACACCTCTTGATGTTATTTCTCCAAAACCCAAAAAATCGGTGACTTTTGATAGTTCGGTTATTATTTTATCTAGTTCTGATGAAGAGACACCAAAGAAGCACCCTAAAGAGAAAGATCAAAGCCCCCTGAAAAGTGCTATGCGTAAAATATCTTCTCAAAATGAAGTTGACAGTGATTCTGGTAAGATTTTCTTTCTGTTTTTCCTATATTTAAAAATATATGAGGTCAACTACTAGGTTGAGTACTTGAGGTCAGGGTAGTTCAAAAAATTGTTAAAATTTAATGTTAAAACATTCATTTGACTAATATTCCGACAGTATGTCTTTTTCAAAGTCTAAAAATTCCATATACCGTTATCAGCAAAAATTAAATATATTTCGGAAATAAGTAAACACACTGCTTCGAAAGAAAATTTATTTATTAATCACTAAACAATTCACAAAATTAAGTACTTCTTAATACTTGAAAAAAATGGATAAAATTTGGCCTATGTTCTTCACCCCTGTCCAATAATTCTTGGTGTTCTGAATATTATATTATGCTTCTTCAAATTCGCCAAGTGGTGGTACAATGTTTTTCAACTATTTCTCCAAGTATTCTGGTAGGTACTTACTTGGTTTCCATATTCCCCTTGTAACAGAATATTTAATTAATTTTCATTTATTATTTCTCCATGATCGTCATCAGTATTAATACTGTTTTTATATCTACAGTCTTGAATAACTGTTTGTGTTGGAATTCTTCTCTTAATTTATAGTCTTCATTAACTGGTCTGGCATATTTGGAAAATGTACAGAAAACCAATCCTTTACAACCTGTAGACTTTTTCTTCATAATATCACGACATTTGCGGTGATAATACCATACATAAACTATTTTTTTTAGTTGTGTTATTCATATTTACATTTATATTTTATTTAGCAAGTCAATATGACATTAAAAAAAATATTATTTTAAAATTATTTTTGGCAACAATAAAGTCAATTTGACATTGAAAGATTGAATTTGACGGTGGCATGTTTTTTATTCTAATCAGAACCAAGAACCATATTATTTTTTTGTTTAATTTAGTATTTTTGTATGTCGTAGAGCCTAAAAAATATTCAACAAAGTAACTGATAAATTAATTCAAGTGTAACTAAAATATTTTACTGGGTTAAATTGTTTTGCTGTCAGGTTTCCCGGACGCTTTTCCAAATCCGGGCCGGACCGCCCCCTACGCTTCTAAAAATACGGGCATATCCGGATAAATCTGGACGTAGGGAAACCTTGTGACCAAACCATCTCAAACCCCTTTTTATATTCGCTGTATTATTGTTTCTTATGCTGATGTTCGGTTTCTAATTTTCCCGTTTTTCACATTTTAGCTCACTCTAGCGCTTCTACATAAATCATACTCCAACTCTACAGCCAATTTCTCCATTTGTATTCTTCTTTTGGGTCCATATCTCACTCCCATAGCAAAAAAATGAGGCTACCATTGTTTGACCAATATGTCTTTTGTTCTTAATATGAATATGTTTGTCCCATTAGATTGAATTGAGTATTTCTGTCCCACCGATTCCACTTTTATCGACTATAACTATTACCCTTACTTACATATGTGTCTATCTATATTTCTGCCTTGTCGTCAAATAGAATATCAAATTTGGCGTCGGAATTTAATACCAAGTAGTCTGAGTAGAGGGCATCTGCATCAGGAGCAATGAGCAGGAAGTGACGTCAAGCGTAAAAATCAGATAAGAACATGTAAAATAGGCTAATAAACAAGAATAAACAGGTTTAAACAGAAAACAACCGCTTTTGAACTGCTTTGAATCGCTTTTTAGCTTAAAACAACAGACCTGTTCATTTTTTGTTCAGCCCCGTTTATTTCTGTTTTAAAGCGGTTGTTTTCTGTTTATTCTTGTTTATTAGCCTATTTTACATGTTCTTAGCTGATTTTTACGCTTGACGTCACTTCCTGCTCCTTGCTCTTGATGCAGAATCGGTCATCTCCCTCTACTATTATGTTTTTTTTTAACTGACTTCCAGACACCATTTCTGATACTCAGTGAATAGCTCGATATATAGTCGAGATATAGTCTACTGAGCATAAACCCCATGTCAAAGGAATCTTGAGCAAATACTGCTCGATCGTCTGCAAAATTAAGTGCGTCAGCATACGGGTTGTCTCGAACCAGGAGCTAATCTCCACTCTACTGCCTACGTAAATAATAGTAAGTCCACGAACGGGTCGTTTGGCGGTCGACGCGGAGTCGAAGTGATTGATACTATTTTTGCTATTATTTACCTACGAAGGTAGCGTGGAGTTAGTATACAACCCGTAGTGCAACTCGTTCGTGGGCCTACTATTATTTACGTAGGAAGTAGAGCGGAGGGAGGTTCGTTCCAAGTTCGAGACGCTTCCTCTTCGACTTCGAAACGACCTGTGGGCGCACGGTCTAAGTGTCAGAAGATATTCCTCATTAATTGGAATTCCCATTCTTTGACGTGATCTCTTCCACCCCTTAAGAGCTATCTCCACGTAAATATCAAATAAAAGAAGGGATACGCGACAACCTTTCTCGACTTTTCGTTGTATATATAGGTTCCGAGAGTATCTTTTCTTGTTTTATATAACTGATCTTAGCGGTGTACAGTTCCTTGATAATTTCTGTTAGATGTTGGCTAACCCCAATAGTTTCTAATGCCATCCATAACTTATTTCTCGGGACATTATCATACGCTTTGTTTATATCAACAAAATGTAATCTGGATTTCTTTATTTTTTTTTCGGCTGTTGTCAGTATATAACCGACCTGGAGTAATTCTGATCTTTGGATAAGAGTTTCCAACTTCAGGCCTTAAGGATTATTTACGGTACACCGGACCGTACCCGAGCCGGGCACGTTCCGTAAAGTAGACACCGAGCCACGTCCGGGCCTTCAATATATGCAACACCGAGTGGACAACGGGGATCATGTCCGTGCCGATTATATTCTAGAAAACAGTGTTGCCGCAGTGGTACATTTGTACCAAATTTGATACTTTTAATTCTATTTGGTACAGTGGTACTACATTTTCAAATCCAGGATGATTCGGTACAATAATTATTTCCCACGCGCACCGAAAATGAATAGATATTTAATAATTATCGTTGTTGATATTGCATTAAACGCGCTTACCGATACCATTCGGAGACAATCCGCATTAATTAACGACGTATTATAAACGTTGTAATGTCTATAGGGTTTCCTATATTAAATAACCCGAAGAAAAAACTTAAAAATTTGCTGTTTCTAACATGCTTCTATATTTGAGTTTTTTTTTAATAAAATTTAAGTTTTCCAAGTATTGTGTGTAGTATTAGAATTACTTACATTTCTTCAATCTATACATACTTATAATTGGGTTTTCTGAATTTCTATTTCATGTTTTTCGTCTCGATTTGTATCTTTCTCCAGGAAGTTTTTTTATGTAGAAATTTATGAAGAAATTCACAACGACCAAATCGGTTAAAGTCATTTGCAGATGTATTTTGTTGTGCTTTAAAAAATTGTACCAAAGTGGTACATTTTTAGTTTATAATGTGGTACGCGCTAAAAGTTGGGTGCGGCAACACTGCTTGAAAACAGTCGCTATAGGCCCGTAGACGAACGAAGTATTTAGCCGCGGCGGCTCATTTATGTTTGCCGCAACGGGGCCGGAACGTAGCGGATCCGAGGAACAATGTACACCGACATTTCTTGGACGGGGCACGGACGCGTTCCGGTGAAGCTCGGACCGTGCTCGGCTTAGCATGAATGTATAAGTATAAATAACATTTGACAATGTTTGGCCGTGCCTTCACCGTCGCACGGCTCCGGCCCGTCACGGTGTACCGTGAATCATCCTTTATTCTGTTTTGTCCCCAGCGTCTCGAGAAAGTAGCCGTGATACACCTGTAATTATTTGGATCATTTCTGTTTCCTTTCTTATGCAGAAATGAAATATATCCAATTTTTCACTCACTCGGTGTCTTTCTCTGTTGTAAACAATAATTAAACAAGCCTTTAATTCTCTCATATAGTGTTATCCACTCTTGATCATTTCAATTACAATATCTATGAGTCCGGATGCTCTTCCATCTTTGATTTCTTTAACCGCTTTTTCTCTTTATTTGCATTTTTATATTGTTATCTTAATTTTTATTTTATTTGAATTTTTTCTATTTTTTCTCTTAATAGGTAAGTTATGTAATTGAATGGGTCCGCCGAACAACGTTGTAAGCACCACATTTTTCAAATCGGAGATTTTGCGGCAAAAACGTTGTAAACAACACAAGCTATTTTAGGAATATTCCCCCCTTCGATATTTCACGATTGGTAGCATTGAATGACAAAATAACTAAAGCGCGCGAAAAGGCTGTCACCAGCATGTGCAAAAAAAAAGTTTTTTTTTTCGATTTCTGACAAAAATAAATAAATGTCGCTTACAACATTATGCGGCGGAGCCATTCAATTATTAATTAATAACTTCCCTGCTATGATTATATTGTAATTTGTTTGAATACTAGATACCACATGAGTAAGATCGTGTACCTCGTAAAAATCGTCTTTAATATTATTATCTAAGGAGACATAAGGAGCTTACACCCCAATTATCAATTATAATCATATTATGCACATATAATGTAATTTCTACAGATATTATTCTCTCTGATATGTACTGGAAATTCTTTACAAAATTTAAGTGCTTTTTAATTAGTATTCATACCCCGCTTGCTGCATATTGTGCTTTATCGATAGATGAACATAGTTGTCTAAATCTTCATTTCCTTTCTTTTTGGTTTCGTTTAGTATAAGTATATCTAGATTATAGTCTTTTGTATATTGAAATAGGTATTTCTGATATTTTGTTTGAGGTCCCACGTACGTTCCACGTTCCTATTCTCATAGTCCTTTTCATTTCCATTTGTCATTTTACGTGTTTCCTATTCGTTTTCCGAGGCTCGTTTTTGGTGTTTCTAGCAGTTTTGTGATTTTATGGAGAGTGACTTGCTAGGCCTCTGCTCCAACCCCCTTACTAGGAGTACAAGGTTTTCCAGTCATCAGCACACCCATTGTACGCCATATACGTATTATTTACAAATTGTACTCCATATACCCAGAGGTCAAGCGATTAAAGTCTACGTGAACGAGGGACCAGGATTAACGGTAGGCATTCTTCAAGTTTTGTTACAGAGCAAACATCAGTCACCTACCCTGCCTTCAAGGCCTATTGCCAATATGTGACCTCCGTATTTAAAAATCATAATAAATTTTTATATATCTAAGATTCAAAAGAAAATAAAAGCATATCCAGCAAGAAAAGGAAATCCAGAAGTCATAAAGAAGAAGGAAGAAGCCTGAGGCGCAGAAAAAATAACGAAGAAAGTGATAGTTCGCCTGATGAAAGAAATAAGCATAAAGAGAGATATGAATTTAGAGCTTCAAAATCAAAGCAGTCTAAGCACAAAGCGCTCTTTGATAAGATTAGGAGTCACCATAGACAAGTTAAAGATGGTATGACAGTTCTTTTTTTATTTTATATTTTCTAAATAATTTTAATGCAGTTATCAACATAGATAATTCATCAGATGAAGAGACAAATATAAGAAGTCCTGTTAAGAAAAGAAAAAGAACTAAAAATAGTAGTAGTTCATCTGATCATTCTGCTGATTCGGATCAGGAGAGTTTAAAAGGAAAAAGCATACAAAATACGAAAAAAACTAAACTGGATACTACAGAACTTGATTTTAAACGCAAACTTTCTATAAAATTGCCTTCTTATACGTGTCAAGAATTAATAGACAGATATAAAAATGAGTTAGTATTTTATATTTTTTATCTCCTTATTATATTTTTAATGATAATTCTTATTTTAGTTTATCAAAAACTGAAAAAAACGGTATAAAATTAACCCTGAAATTAAATAGAAATTATCAAAAAGATAAAGTATCTGAAAGTTCAGATAGTGAAGTTGAAAATAAAAAATCCAAAAAGAAGAAACATAAGAATAGATCAAAGAAATCAACTAGTAGTGATGAGGACACTGAAACAATTAATCTTAAATCGAAAAATAATAAAACTAAAAACAGTGAATATTCTGACAGTGAAAATGATATTAAGAAAGATAAAAAAGAAAAAAAATCAAAGAAAAGTGTAACTAAATACTCTGATAATGATGATAACACAGAGGAAAATGAAGGAATAAACAAAACTAAAGATGATTCAAAAAATAAAACTAAAAACGGCGGAGAAAAAATAAAAGATAAAAATAAAATTAATAAAAAATCAAGAAAAAATATAACTAAAGATTCTGATAATGATGCTGATAGCACAGATGAAGGAAACCAAACTAAAGAAGATTCCCAAAATAAATCTGAAGAAAGTAGTCAAAAAATAAACGATAAAACTACAACTAAAGATTCTGATAAAGGTGATAACACAGATGAAAATAAAGAAACCAAAACTAGTAGCGATAAAATAATTGATAAACATAAATTTGGCAATACCTCAGCTAAAAATACTGATGTTACTGAAAAAAATTGTGAATCTGATAACACAAACATTAGTGAAAAAAGAGATTCTGATTCTGATAGTGATAAAAATACAGATAATGAAGGAAATGCAGACAAGAATTCAAATAATGAGTCAGATACTGAAGCAAATGTAACTGATAAGAAAACAGAAAAAAAGTCAAAAGAAGTTGATAACAATGAAGAATCTGAAAATAATGAAATGGAAAAAAATGATGAACATGAAGACAATACATCTAAAGAATCCGAAAATGAAAATGTTATTGATAAAACGAAGTCTCAGTCTAAGAAAAATCTTGATAATAATGAAAGTGTTGATGTTGAAGTTCCTCATGTTGATACTGATGAAGTTGTTGATCATACTTCAGATACTGAAAGAATTGATGTGCAGGACGCTCAAAATACATCAGAAAGTGATAAAATGATTGATACCACTCCTGATAATGAGGCGAGTATTAAATTTGTGTATGTATCTGAAAAAAAAATATTTTGATTTTATTGTAGAAGGAAAAGGTTTTGAATGATGAATCTGAAGAGAACAAAGACAGTGATGAAACTGGTCATTCTAAAAAAAATAAAGATGATAAAAAAAATCTGGTAAGTTACCTATATTCACAATTAAGATCTGTTACGATATAGTTTGTCCGACAAGTGAGGAAAGCTTTTGACAGACGATATCCAAAAAATGACAGATCATATAATCTACCTGGGAATTAAAATAACACACATCTGTCACTGTCATGGATCCTCTCGTACAAACTATAAGCATATATTATGTTTTTTAGACATAAAATAAAGCAGGCAATTATTATAAGTTATAGTATTTTACTGGTCGCATATACCACACAATAAAAAAAACGACCCATAATGAGCATGTAATTTTTATTGATTTTTTTGGATAATTTAGAATTTTATGTTTGTAGGATTGTAATTCAACTGACGAAAATGATGACGATGATGTAGAAGTATTAACAAAAGTAAGTATTTTTAATTTATTTATTCAGTAATGTTACATTAACTGTGAAAAATAATCTATTTAACATATAATAAATAAATAAGGAGTCTGATGATGGAAAAAAGAAAAGTAAATGGGAAGATGACAAGTCAGATAGTGATAGAGATTTTATGAAGTTTTCAAAGAAAAAAGACAAATCTCTAGTAGAATTGGTCAGGTAAAATTTGAAGTTAATGATTTTTTTGTACAAACCGCTTAATTTTTTTCTTTCCTGCAACAGCGATGACGAGGTTTTACCTATATCAAGGTAATTTCTATTAATTAAATTTTAGAAAACATTTGTAATTTGTGTTTTTATAAATTTTAGGAAAGCAAAAAAGAATATGAAGAAAAAGGCGGTTTTAAGCGATTCAGAGTCAGAAAATGAAGAAAAAAATGAGAGTAGTGATGGTTCAGATAAGGATAAAAAGAAAAAGTTGGTATTTTTTATTTTTATTATTTTTTGTTTTAAAAGTGAGACTTGTCGCGCACCTCTGCGAAGCGCTGCACGGTGAACCTTGGATTAATTGTATGTATTTATAATGTAGTAAAATGGTTGGTTGGTTGAAGTGGCGAGTGCGACCGCTTGTCGAACTTCAATTAGCAGAATTGTCGTTTTGATACCACTCACTCTGAGCCCTATCCCTAGGGATGGAAAAGTTGGACTGTTAACTGTTTATAACTATTCGGTGGCATTAAGGTAACGAGTGACTTCCGTTATGCTCTTCCCGGAAACATCTTCAAGATTTACAAAGCTGTAACCACCGAGGAAACCGTTTCCCCTTCCTTCGGGTCCTTGCAGCTTCGACAAACTTCGTTAAAAGGGATGCCCATTCTCGCCGCATGTTCGCCAATTGGCCAGTGTCCCCTACATACCGCCGTAAGCGTGTCGATATCCTTAAGCTTAATTTTCATGCATCCGTTATCCGACGACACGTTGATACGATATTAATTTTATTGGTTGAATTTAAACACTTCGATTGGTTAGAAAAGGTTAACCAATCGAAGCCTTCAAATTCAACCAATAAAATTAATATCGTATCATCGTATCGTCGGACAACGGATGCATGAAAATCAAGCTTTACGCGACTTAGTTATGAGCTCTCCCGATTTCTTAAGGTTGTATTTGGGCCAAGCTGTCCTGCAGGTGCTTAAAGTTTTCCATCTACTCTTCACCATAGACAGAAAATAGTAAATGTCTTTTTTTGAATCTAGCTCAAGGCACGATCCTCGCCTTCAAGTTCATCAGAGCGTTCGCTCCCTTCGATGTTCCTGTGGCCTGGAACTTAAAGCAAGGTAATATCATACCTACTTACCATGTAGGATAACTTGTACGTTTTTTTGACTATTTTGGAGGATATGGTAGACGAGCTCAGCGCTGACATGGCTGCTTGGCCGTCAGTGATTATTGCAGTTTTCCGCCGATAAGGTGGCTCCTCGCTCTATCTCTGCCTGGAAAACACTTGATCTATCCGGAAGCCAGTAAGACCCTGCGATGTCAAGACCCTTTGAGAACACCCCCTAACCTACACCTGAATCCATCTTGAATCCGTTAGTAAATAGAGCAATAACAAATTCTTTCAGTAGTTTGTGAGCCTCCCACTCCTTTCTGGTTAGAATTCTGACTAGAAAGTGCTTGCCAAGTTCCAACATAGGTGTCAGATCCAGTCTGATGGTCCAGCACAATAATATTCTTCGGTAATCTTCCAATAATACTGCTGTGATCGTAGAGTTTCTCCGTCCAGCAACCAGTTTCTCTGAGCCTGATTGCACTACTAGAGACCAGATTTTTAATATGAAGATCTAATGGGAGGAGGTGGAGGAGCACATTTAGAGGATCTGTGGGCGTGGATCTTAAAGCTTCTGTAATGTACACACACGCACTCTGTACCTTTCCAAGCTTGGAAATATTGGTTGTCTTCTCCAAAGCTGGCCACCATACCAGGGATCCATATGTGAGGATTGTAGATCCACATACTAAAGCGAAGTAACGATAGTCTGCGGATATGCATTATAATACAATAATTAATCGCTAGCGCTTCGTTCAAGTGCGTGACAGGCTTAACACTGTTTGCTTTTGGATTTAGGAAAAACACGAAAAAAGTTTCATCATCAGATTCTGGCAGTGATGTTGATAAAACTAATAAAAAAAGAAATTCAAGCAGTTCTTCGAGCTCCAGTGAATCAGACCAGGAGGATGAAATACAGAAGTAATATTATATAAAACGTTTTATCTTTTGAGTGATTTATTGATTTTTTTTGTTCAGGAAGCCAACGAGAAGGAGAATAAAACGAACCAATGATAGCAGTAGTGACGATGACGATAGATCCACCAGGAAGCATATAAGAAAAGTGAGTATTTCATAATCCGGAGTTTAACCATAGTTTTTTGTTGCAAATAATTAATCTTCATACAATGTTTTGACACCCGTATTTTTTATTTTACTTCAATTTCATCCCATTTAAAAAAAAATCAATATTAAGAATTTCATGTTTACACTTTTGCAATCTCTGACATCACCTATCAAAAGTGTCACGATTTGAAATCTAACCAGGAACCCTCGAACGCCCCGAACATCCGAACAACTTTGATAGTGTTTAGTGCTTTGATAAAAATGGCAGTAACTTGTTAATTATAAAAATTTAAGTTTTAATTTCTAGTAGTAAAAAATATAAAAGTAAATTTAATATTGGGGTAATAAAGAATAATCCCACATAAAAGCGTATTTTTTAACGATCTTAATAAAAATAGAAAAATCTAACGTGATTTTAAGATATATGGTGTAAATACGGTAGCAGAGAACTAGATACGCCATAATATTATTCTTCAGAGGCTCGCGCCCTCTGTCAACTAATCAGTCAAATGCTGATAGGTGACGTCACAATTTGACTCTTCTACGCGGCGTTTCAAACCAGTGAAATTTGTATTGAATTTGATTTATTATTTATTCCTTAATTGTAACTTCGTTGCATTTCTTTTTGTTTTGAGGGAGTACTCTTTAATCAATTCAATTGAATTTTATATTCAAAAAATAACAAACATTTACTATGGTTAAACACCGGATTCCCTGTCAATACAAATTTAAGTATCAAACTTGATAATAACAGAGTTTGAAATTTTGTTATTAACGAGTACATGTTCAAGAATATTTCGGCTCTGGATTTATTCATTCATTTCCATTTGACATGGTTACATGTATCAGAATTGTTATATAGAAAATAAAAACAAAACAGAAATATATGTATAAAAATAAAAAACAACAAATATATAATAAAACATAAAGTAAGCACAAAATAATTATAAAACAAAACAGGATGAAGCCCAACAATAAGTCATTTATAAGATAGTTCAAAAAATAATAATATGGAGACTGTGCACTAAGTAATTTGTTAAACAAGACAATTCAAACATATCCAAGTAGGAACATACAAGCAGAGATACAAGTTATAATTAAAAAATTGGCGCCGGGAGGCACGTATAGCGGCTAATACTTGATATTTTTTTTTATCTCAAAAACTGCGACTTTAACTGATTTTGATGTTATTACAATTTTTTTTGCAAATATTATTCCTAATCTTAAATTGAAAACGCATTTCGCTAGCTACTGTAATTTTGGAGTTACGACTTTTTAAAATTTTTAACCCCCTCCCATACCCCCTTACCAACCACCCACCCCAATCAAAAACCAATGGCCAGATTCCCGGGTGCCACAATATTTTTGTGCCAAATTTGGTTAAAATCGGTTTAGCGGTTTTTGAGTTATCGTGTTACAGACGGACAGACAGACACCATGAAAATATTTTGTATTTAGGTCATTTATGACCCAAATGACTCATTTTGAGTGAAATTAAAAAAAAACCTTTTTTTTGCCGATCTTAATAGCCTACCATACCTGTCGGTATCGTTCTGCGTGCGTGTGATTACGTTCGTGCGTGCGTGTGTGATTTTGTTTCCGTTTTCTTTATTAAAATTATGGAGTGGATCAATGAATCTTCGTTGTTATTAATTGAAGAATATGAAAAGTTGCCTATATTATGGGATGTTAAACATTCTTTGTATTATTAAAAAATAAAAAAAAACGCATGGCAAGACCTTGTAAATAAAATTAATATTGAATATGTGGATATTAATGAAATTGCTATTCTAAAATTTGTATCTTTTGTTCGTAATTTTTGGTGTTATTAATAGGTAAGTGAAGGGTAAATCGGGCCTGGTCATTCTTGTAAAGTTTTTAAACTGATCATAGCCCTCCTCAGACACTAAGTTGTTGCAGTAAATTATATCGATTTCTAAAAATTTGGGTTTGCCACCAGCGACGATGTTTTCGATTTTTCTCCTTTTTAATAATTAAGCTGTGCATAACAATGACTGCAGCCTCGACTATTTCTTGTTCGTCCATTATTTTCGCCAACACAACTCTGCTGTGCGCGCACAAATGGATCACTTCATTCATCGAAAAATAAGTTTTTAATCTGAACGGAGCCGAGAGCGCGAACGAATGCCGTGCGCGCATGCTCAGCTTGTGCGTGCTCAAGTCTAAACGCACCATTAGAAGAGGAAAAGAACATGAATATGTAAAACATTTGGTGAATTAAGACAGCCGGTGAAATTTTTTGAATATCTTTGAATATCTCCATCATCATTAATATATCCCAAATAAAATTAAACCTGGTATTCAAAAATATTCAAATTTTTCGGAAATATATTGGGCAGAATATATTGGGAAAAAAAATCGAACGCTCGGATGTGCACGTTTTAAAAAAACAAACCAGTTTGTTTTGTACATAAACCAGTTTGTTGTCGTACGTGCACGAACGCGCAAGTAACCGCCTGCGTATACCATTTGTTTGTTATTTTGCTGCGTGCACATCCGAGCACGTACGACCAAAAAACTTCACGGAGACGCATCCAATGTAACCACGGGCTACAATTCATTTTGGACTGACAACTACTCTGTCGATATAGTGACGCTGCCATATAGACATTACAATATATTATATTATTTTCTTATTTGTTGTGATCTTTTTTTGGCACACTGCTTAAGAAGTTTTTTTTTAGGTCATTGGTCGGGATTCTCTGTCAGAAACTACAAAAAAGGCCGAACAAGATGAAAAAGAACGGAAAAATCGAATGTTGGAAAAACAGAAAAAAGTTGGTATTTAAAAAACTTTACAAATCTTAATAACGGAAAAAAAATGTTTTCTATTTCTCTATACAGTATAATCAGATATTTCAACTGAAAGCCGATGCAACTGTCGATAAGATAGTGCTGGATTTTGACGAGAAAAACGAAAAACCTCTTCTAAGCGTTAACAAGAAACTTGTGAAGCAACTGAAGCCACACCAAGTTCAAGGGATCAAGTTCATGTGGGATGCCTGTTTTGAATCTCTGAAAAGAGCAAAAAAAGACACGGGTTCGGGTTGTATCCTGGCACATTGTATGGGATTGGGAAAAACTCTACAGGTAATTATAAAAATACTAGCGTGTACCCGCGACTTCGTTCGCGTCGAATTAATCATTCGTAATGGTGATGATAAAGCAAAGCAAGTAGTTCCAAATTTTTCCATTAACATACAAACTGGATAAAATGTTCTCACATTTATGTCAGCATGAGAAAAAACAATATGGCGATAGTATTATATAGTAACTTAGTAATATTTGAGGGGTAGTTTCATCTCGTTGGAATTTGACTTTCGAAAAATAAGCTTTTTACGTCAAGCAGTTTAAGCAGAATCATGGTTAATCAATTAGCCAACTTTTTGGAACACCCTGTATGATTTTTTTTTAAGTTTCAAAATTTGTACAAAAACAAAATAAATTATGCGTCTCCAAGCGTTTTGCCGAAAGACTAACCGTTTTTTAAATAACAAATATGGTAATATTTGAAGGGCGTTTTCATCCTTTTAGAATTTGAGATTCGAGAAACCTCTCCTTATTGAACCTCTACACCCCACAGTCAACCCGTTAGCCAAAAATCAGCTTTAAACGTCATCAGTTTAAGCAGAATTGTGATTACTCAATGGTCATATTTTATGAAACACCCTGTATAAATTTTTAAAAAATCTTAAAATATATAAAACAACAAAATAAAATATACGTGTTTAAGAGTTTTTCCGAAAAACTCACCGGTTTTTAAATAAAAAATATTTTAATATTTGAGGGATAGTTTCGCCCCCTTAGAATTCGAGTTTCGAAAAATCCCTTCTTATTGAACCTCTACACCCTAAAGTCAATCTGTTTTCCAAAAATCAGCTTTTTACGTCAAGCGCTTTAAGCAGGATCGTGACTAATCAATGACCAGATTTTTCGAAACGCCCTGTATACATTTTTAAATAATTTTAAAATATGTAAAAAAAGAAAATAAAATATACGTGTTTAAGCGTTTTTTCGGCAACTTGACCGTTTTTTAAATAAAAAATATTGTAATATTTGAGGGGTGGTTTCACCCTCTTGGAACTGGAATTTCGAAAAATCCCTTATCGAACCTCTACACCCTAGAATCAACCTGTATGCCAAAATTGAGCTTCTTACGTTGATTGGTTTGAGCAGGATCGTGATTAATCAGTATGTCAGTCACTTAAGGATTTTATATATTAATATAGATAACTATTAAAAAAAATCAAAATCAAAAATGAAACAAAAGATGAAATTATTTATTCTATGCTCAACTTTTTTAATAGGTAATAACTTTAACACACACCCTTCTCACGCAAAGCGAGAAAACAGGAGTTGAGAAAGTCTTGATTGTCAGCCCTGTCAATACAGTGCTGAATTGGAAGAGCGAATTTGCCAAATGGCTTCCTAAAGAAGAATTTGAGGTGAGAGGTCCACTGTACCATCTCTTTATTTTACTAATTAAATATTTTGTATGTAGGTTTATGAGCTTGTCTCATGCAAAACGTCATCAGTGAACCAGGAGAGGGCGTACAAGGTCAGAGAATGGCATGAAAATGGAGGAGTCTTAATTATTGGGTATAATATGTTTAGGACCTTAAGCAACCCTGATAATAAGACAGTTACTAAAAAACTAAGGACATGGTTCCAGGAAGGACTCGTTGACCCAGGTAAAAATGCCAAATTCTAAAAAAGTGTCGACAGATTCACCAGCGGCGTGCATATGTGATGTGATATCACTGGAATATTTTGTCCATTTCCATCTCTTTGATGAGTTAAACGCAATTTTATTAATCACAATTAATGAAATAAAATTAATAAATTATTTATTTAATGTATGTTACTAAATTTCATTAAAATTTATAACACTGGTGGTATTTAAGATAATTACAAAAGGCCTATTTTTTAAAAGTTTTCCGCACCCATGTTTATAGGAACTTTTTTATTTATTTTTTGATGTGGAATCAATGAGTACTTATTTAACATTTTAGCAAGTTAATAACATTACAAATTTTTAAAGGTTGGATTAGAATAATTGGATATGGCAAATTAATTAAATTGCGTTTATCTCATCAAGGAGACCGAAATCGACAAAATACCAAGAGACAACTTTTAATCAGCAATTAACGCTCTACACAATTTTGCTACCAAAAGAAAAAAAAGTCAATGGCGCACATATTTTTTAGAAAAATATTCCAGTGATAACCCATATGCACGTCCTTGGTGCATATGTCGACACTTTTAGCAGCAAAATGTCGCACTTATAGTAACTTTTATCCTCAAAATTTCATTCGAATCGTTAAAAGCAAGACCAACTTAGACCAACTGCAATGGTAAAGAGTGGTTAAAATTATTTTAGGGCCAGATATGGTTGTGTGCGATGAGGGACATCTGCTCAAAAATGAAAAAACCAGTCTCAGTATTGCTATGAACAAAATAAAAACGTCTAGGAGGATAGTTTTGACAGGTACACCTCTACAAAACAATCTAAAAGAGTATTGGTGTATGGTACAATTTATCAAACCAAATCTGTTGGGTACTTATAAGGAATATCTTAACAGGTATTTATTATATATTATTTTTTAATATGTTTTATGTTTTATTTTTTTTATAGGTTTGTGAACCCTATTACAAACGGCCAATACACCGATTCAACTGATCACGACATAGTGATTATGAGGAAAAGATCACACGTTTTACACAAATTATTAGACGGTGTCGTTCAAAGACAAGACTATGATGTTCTTGCTCCGTATTTGCCACCCAAATACGAGTTTGTTTTGTTCCTCAAACTTACAGATGTTCAAGTTAGTTTTTACCTTTAACGAATCGGCATTAATTTTATTTTTATTTTAATTTTACTTTAGGTAAAACTGTACGAACATTACATGCAGAATTTAGCAAGAAAAAATCAAGGACTGGCGAGGACGTCATTTTTGTTTAACGATTTCCAGGCCCTTCAGAGAATTTGTACTCATCCAAGAGTTTTGATGGAAAAAAGTGCGGAAGATAAGGAAAAAAAGGTAAATTTAAAAAAAGGACTTTTTAACCCTTTCGACACTGCGGGATATATACATCCCTATAAAGAGTTTCTATACAGACGAATATCAAAAATACGCTTTAAAATGCATTGGGATGGGACTATTCAGTGTGGCTCATGTCTTGCTCGCCGAGTTATACAGGGTGGTCCGAACTGTATTCCGGAAACTACGGGAGCATATTCTGCAGATAAAAATAAGTAACAATGTTCGTATAGATGTATGTCCGAAAATGCTTAGTTTCGGAGATACAGGGTGTAGAAGTTTCATTTTTATTTCGTTCTGCAGTAACGTCAATATTTGGATTAAAATTGGTGTCTGGGAGTTTTTTGACATGAGAAATTTGATTTTGATGTCAATAGACTCCTACTAGTAGAGGGCGCCACCTACGTATTTTTTAACTGGTTTGAAGAGTAATAACTTTTCGTCCGTACCTGTATAAAACTACCGAGTAAAAAAATAGACATTTACGACGCTCTTTACGTAAAAAAGGTCTCTTGACAAAAATTGCTACGAATAATGGTTTTCGAGATATTTGGAATCGAAATTATCAATACCTGTCATCACTGACATAAATTAAACATGTTATTAGACTGAGATCATAAATTTGAAATGTTTTTGTACCTAAAGTTCACCAAAAACTGTTTTATCATCATTTTTTTGCAGAAAAAATATGATTAATATAAAAAAAGTAAAAATTTCCAAAATTTATTATTTCAGTGAAATAACTATCTACTCTACGTGTTTATTTTTCGTCAATAATGGCATGTATTGACTATTTCCATTCTAAATATCTTGAGAACGGTTGCTCGTAGCGATTTTTACAAAGAGATATTTTTTACATAAAAAATCACAGAGATGTATATTTTTCCCCTCGGTAGTTTTATACAGGTACGGACAAAAAGTTATTACGCTTCAAAACAGTTAAAACACATGAAGGTGGCGTCCTCTACCAGTAGGAGTCATATTGACATCAAAATCAAATTTCTCATGTCAAAAAACTCCCAGACACCAATTTTCATCTAAATATTGATGTTACTTCAGAAATTATTTGGAAAAAATCGAAATAAAAATGAAATTTCTACACCCTGTATCTCCGAAACTAAGCATTTTAGGACCTACATTGATACGAACTTTTTTATTTATTTTTATCAGCAGAATATGCTGCCGAAGTTTCCGGAATACAATTCGGACCACCCTGTATACTTTTTAATGTTTGTATTAAATGGAACATTGCTAGGCTGTTCTATATCGACAAGTACACGTGGCTGCTTGGAATTTTAGAGAAAAAAACGTGTAAATTAGTGAAAATTGCTATGGAATAATGCTCTACCAGCATCAGTAAAAGATAAGTATACAGGTTGTTAACTGGACAGTTACTTATAGGGGAACAGAATGGCAACAGTGCCTATTGAGAACGCATGCACTTATAGGGTTTTCTGCCGACTCGTCCCGTCGCGTCGTCTATCGACGAGCGGGCCGAGGCTGCCATATTTCAACTATAAAGCTCTTGCCGCGGGTAATAAACAAATTAACAGCCTGTATAAGTTTTGTACGATAGTAACATGAAAAAAAAATGTGTTGCTGGGATGTATTTGTCCCACAGAATTATAATGCGGTATATATTTATCCCAGCAGTGTGGTAACGTCGGATATAATTATCCCTGCAGTATGTAAAGTATGTGGCTGGGACAAATATGTCCGACATAATGAGATGGCTTTTTCCTGACGAAAGTTCAAACTAACGAAACTTTCGTGTAGTATCGGGTGCGGTCGCGTGCGGAGCCGACTGTAAACTGTCTTAACTCCTCCTCCTTTCTTCGTTTAGGTTATGTCTAGGCCGAAACAGAATAAAGACCTGTTCTTTCAAATTTTTGGGCAAATAGACAAAAATTTGACGTTTATCCCTAGATCATATATATAGAAATACATTTTTAAGATATTTGTATATAAATTATATATGATCTAGACATTTACCAAGATTTCAATTTCATATAACAATAGGCTAGATATGTTCCTAGTGTACCCAACAATTAATTTGAGCAGTAAAAACCGAAAAGTATTCAAATACCCAAAAGTCGTGTCGAAAGGGTTTTAAATGGAACATGAAACACTTGTATATTAGCCTCTCATTAGCCTTGTATATTATTGCATTTTTGGCTTCCTTTCTGTTCACTTTACATAATCCTAAGATATTAAATATGTTTCGATAGTTTCAAAGATATTAATAAATAAATAAAAAAGAAGTATCTTTCGCTTTATAAAGGAAATATTAAAAATACAAGAAACGTTCTGAAATCAAAAGTATATTAGGTGGTTACTAGGTAGTTACTTTAGATGATCTGTACCGATCTGTACTTACTTTTCTATAAATATCGTAATCTTAAACTACACAAGGTGTTCAAAACTCTATACCAACCTTTCTAAAATATAAAATCATTTTTCGTCGTTTTTTTCTAAATATATTAAATTTTTCTAAATATATTAAATATATATAAATATATATTTTTCATTAATAAATAATATTTTCTTGCCTTTAGCTGTGTCTCCCGTCAAAAGATGGTAAAGAGCGTTTTTCGGCCCGCTCAAATATATATGAAATGAACAAAATTCTTACAGCTTTAGTGTATATTAATAAATAATATTGTCTTGCCTTTAGCTGTGTATTTTTTCTAATTTCAAAAATCGAAAGTAAGAGAAAAAAAATAAAAAGTAAAAAGAAAATTGTTTTGCTTGTCGTAAAGAGGGGAACCAAGCTCCACTCCCACAACCGGTTTCTGGGCCTACCCTTCATCAGGTGGGCTGTCCAGGAGCTGGTTCTCACCGATGCGGCAAGCAAAACTTTTTCAATATCAACAGACGATGTCGTAAAGTGTCGGTGAGACTTTTACTTTTTATTTTTTAGGACTAATAGTAATAATAACTAATAGTAATAATATTTAGTAATAAATTAGGTAAAATAATTGATTTATTAATTTCATTTTTATTTTAATTTTATTAACTGTGATTAATAAAATTGCGTTTATCTCATCAAGGAGGCTGAATTCGACAAAATATCAAGAGATAACTTTTAATTGGCATTAAACGTCCTACACAATTTTGATATGAAAAGAAAAAAAGTCATTGTCGCAAAATGTTTATTATTAATTCTCCGTCTAACAAAGGAATAATATACAGGGTGTTCCATTTAAAAAAATCATCCCGATCCACTCACACTTTTTTAAGCCACCCTGTAGAAGTTAAAATATTTTCCTGAAATACACCCTAGTATATACTTTAGTTTGGAACTTATACAAAATTCCTAAGTGTTTTATTATAGGAGCTATACAGATGCCCGACGCACTGTTGGCGGGCTCGTAGGAAAAACTTTGAAACGCGGCAACCCCTAGTTGCGGCAAGCTTTTGATAGGCACCCTGTGAAAAGTGTATTCTCCTATTCGTAAATATACGTAAAAATTAGGTTTTGATTAAAAATACGATTAATAAGCATGCAGCCGGATCCTGTATTATAAACAAATATTTAATTTTCTTGTTTAAAACGTAAAGTAGTTAGTTTTAACATTATATTTTTTTCTTTTATTAGATGATGGAATCAGATTCAGAAGGTTCACTAAGAGATTTCATCGACGATTCAGAAGATGAGGCCAAAAGTACATCAGAATCTGAAACGTCTTCGTCAAATTCAGACTCTGATGGTTCGCAAAGGGCTAAGAAAAAGAAGAAAGGAAGTTCTAAGTCGACTCTAGTGTAAGTATTTCCCGTGTATTTCCCTCTGGTCTTTTCACACCTCTTTGAATAAAATGGTCAATTTTTTAGGAAGAAAAGGGTGACCAGAGCACAGGCAGCTCAAAATCGAGAAAATGGTGATAGCGAAAGCGATGTTGAATCAGTGGGTCCAAAAGAATGGTGGCAGGAGTACATAGATGGTGATGAATTGGACAATTTGGATCACAGCTCGAAAATGTTTTTGTTGTTCCAGATACTTAAAGAGTGCGAAGAGATTGGCGACAAAATGTATTTTTTTAACAATTTTCTCTTAATTTTATCATTTATTTACACATTCTTTCCTTACAGTCTGGTGTTCTCTCAGTCGTTATACACCCTAAATTGTATAGAGTATTTTCTTCAGAGGATAGATGAAGCAACTCAAAATGGCGAGACCGATAAAATAGGTATGAATAGCGATTGATATTTATTTTCGAGATATCCATTTTTTTTTTCATTTTCTAGGTGGTCATTCTGGATCTTGGGCTATAGGTTTGGACTACTTTCGATTGGATGGTTCCTCTAGTTGCGATAACAGAGCTACCTGGTGCGACGCGTTCAATAATCCAGAAAATACCAGAGCGAGGTTTATCCATAACGTTTTTTCTCTCTGTTTTTTTTTAAATTTATATAATTTTTTCAGGTTATTCCTCATATCAACTAAAGCTGGGGGATTAGGTATAAACTTAGTTGCAGCCAACAGAGTTATTATATTTGACGTATCTTGGAACCCCTCGCATGATATCCAAAGCATATACAGAGTGTACAGATTCGGTCAAACCAAACCCTGTTATATATACAGATTTGTAACTTATGTAAGTTATGTTTTATTTTTTTAGTTATATTTATAAAAAAATAATTCATTGAAAATGTTAAAGAAGAAATGTTGAATTGTGTTTTTTGTTTCTGTAGGGAGCTATGGAAATGAAGATATATGAACGCCAAGTTACTAAGCAAGCTATCTCAAAGAGAGTAATAGACGAACAGCAAATTGACAGACATTACAGTCAAAACGATATTCAGGAACTGTACAAGTGAGTTTTAAAAATTTAGCTTATTAATGAAATTTTCAGGGTAAAAGTTATTATAAATGCGACATATTTTAGGGCTAAAAAAGTGTCGCTATATTCACCTGGACGTGCATGTGGGTTATCACTGAAATATTTTTCTAAAAAAAGCATGTACGCCACTGACTTTTTTTTCTTTTGTTAGCGAAATATTGTAAGCTGTTTAATGCCGATTAAAAATTGTCTGTTGATATTTTGTCGATTTCGGCCTCCTTGATGAGATAAACGCAATTTTATTAATTTGCCTTGATCCAAGTCTAATAGCAACCTTTAAAAAAAATTATTATCGTTGACTTGAGTAAGTTTTAAATAAGTACTCATTGATTCCTCATAAAAAAATATGAAAAAAGGTTCCTATAAGCATAGGTATGGAAAGGCATAGTTTTAGAGTTACAGGATGTTAAAACTTTTTAAAATCAGATTTTTTGTACTTATCTTAAATACCATAATTTTATTATTTGAAATTGCTGTATGTTGGACTAATAGTAATAATATTTAGTAATAAATTAGGTAAAATAATTAATTTATTAATTTCATTTTAATTTTAATTTTGTTGACTGTGATTAATAAAATTGCTTTTATCTCATTAAGGAGGCCGAATTCGACAAAATATCAAGAGATAACTTTTAATTGGCATTAAACGTCCTAAACAATTTTGAGATCAAAAGAAAAAAAGGCAGTGTCGCATATGTTTTTTTTTGAAAAATATTCCAGTCATAACCCATATGCACGTCCCTGATGAATTTATAGGCACTTTTTTAGCATTAAAATATGTGGCACTTATAGTAATTTTTATCCTCAAAATTTCACTCAAATCACTAAATGTACTTGGAAGAAAATTATAATAAATCTAAAAATGATTAAAACTTAACACCCTGTAGAACGACACAAAGCAGAATCGGACCTATGTTGATATGAAAAATAAATCTTATTTTTACGTGAGGAATCTCCCCACTAGAGATGGCACATTTTTTTTTGAAACACCCTGTATATTAACTACTAAAGCGGGTGCGTCTCAACCGTGGCTCACCCCTATAACTTTTTTATTTTTTCAGATAACAAAACGAGATTGGGTATGTTAGCATATGACATAAATTAGGATTGGTTGACGTATTCAGTTGTTTTCTGTCACTTCCTGTTTCACCGGAAATGACTAGAACTTTTGATTTTTAAATGGCACCCTCAGTATTTTTTTACTTTATTCGATAAAAATGACACTCTGAATCGAATGACAAATCGCATCTCTGAATCGCTCAAAAACAAATTGTATTTTAAATTTCAATCTAGAGTGCCATGACTGTGTTAAAAACACTAATTTTTAATCAAGGTGCCTTGGAAAAATACATTTGATCTTCTAATGTTTTTAGCGTCTTGTCCTGGCCGGTTGAAAGATGCCCAATCGTATTTTTGATCACATCTCAATTTTTTCAAATGGAACGAGGGTGGCTCATTAGCATATTTGGAAAAAGCATTTTTTTACAAATAATTTGATACCACACACTTGGTATTTCGAGTCAAAAATTGTCGTTATGAACAGCATGTTATAATTTCAAATAAACCATATGCGAAAATATCAAAACTTGACATATGATATGTCATTCTATTCAGACTGTCATTTTCTATTGAATAAAGTAAAAAAATACCGAGGGTGTTATTTAAAAATGAAGTAACCGAAAACAATTGAATATGTCACTTAATCCTAATTTATGTCATATACTAACATACCAAATCTCGTTGTTTTATCTAAAAAAATAAAAAAGTTATAGTGGTGAGCCACTTTTGAGACGCACCCGATATGAATTGTCGCCTATACCTCCAATGTGTTGGAATTGAAGCCAAGTCAGTAACAACTAGATAACCAGTCCATGTATATTTCACATAATTTCATCTGTTAGGCAAGCCCTGGCACAATAGCGCAACTCCAAAATTCCGAATATTGATTAATCCTTACCCTGAGGATTAGCCTTTGCGAACGGGAGCGCAAACGAAAGCCGTACGAATGAACAACTGATGTGTCTAGTTATCCGATCGATAATTCAAAATCCAGGCTTGCGCACTACGTTTGAGCTCGCCTAACTGAGCAACTTATGAAAATTCCTTCAGAAGATTTATATATACCCATTTCACCGGTTCGGCCTCACTCTTTGTTGATTATTTGTATTATTTCATTTTTGTAAATACCTATATATTTAAAATTGAAACCCTAAATTTGCCCGTCTATGTCATTGTTTATGAACGTCCGAATTAAGGTTAGAATTTTTGTTTATGTCTCCAATTTAAATTCGAATGCTTTAAAGCTCCGAATGAAGCTTTACAACACTAATTAGTGAAATAAATTAGTGGTTTCAATTACACTTTATACTTTTTAGTTTACGATCATTCACAATGTTTAAAAAACACAATTAAAATTAATAGAATATCCTAGCAACAGCTTGCGTTAAGCTTGATTTTCATGCATCCGCAAGAAAGGTAAACTAATAGGATTGCTCATCCTCATAAGACGTACGTTCGCCTCTTCCCGCGCTTCAGCTGACAGTTGTGACGTCATTGTAGTCCTTGTCATGATAGTGTGTATTATTAGTTGCCTATGGTAAACTTATAAAAATAACAGCTGAGAAATTTTGAGTTAATTATTTTGTCAATTTTAAATGTGAAAAAGGTGTCTTTAAAGTTTTTAGAGCTATAGAGTGTATAAATACGTTTATTTTGTGTTGTGGATTATGACAAAGTGCATACTAAGTGCCCACGATTTTGTTTATTAATTATTTTAAAGCAAAATATGGAAGTACTCTAAAAAGAATGCTTGCAAAAGGTGATGCTGGCAACTGCTGTTCTTAAAAATGCATTATCCGAATATTTAATACGATTTATACAGTTAATTTTCTCTACTGCATACATATAAGGTGTTTAAATAAATAAACTAAATAATGAACGTTTTGCATTCGGCAACCAATAATGCACGTGTGTATATTATTGGTTGCCGGATAAGGACTAATAACCATGACAAGGACTACAATGACGTCAATAAGCGAGTAGTTTTCGCATGCACCTGGCGGACACTTTTGGCTGAATGAGCAGTCCTATTAGGTTAACTGTTCTTGATGCATCCGTTGTCCGACGATACGTTGATACGATATTAATTTTATTGGTAGAATTTAAAGACTGATTGGTTAGAATATAAAGCAGTTTTTAAATTTATTGCATTTTCATGCCTCCGTTTATCGGATATACGTTGGTGTCATTTTATATTTTCGTTTCCATAACGATTTTGCTATTTTACTTATAATTTTATTAAGGGTGTATTCCGTTGCTTACCTTGGTTATGGTTTTATGTTCCGTTTCTATCGGTTTCCTGAAAGTTTTCTTATTACGGAACACGGTTCCTGAATAATTCGGTTATAACTGTCACCAAAGTAACCAGCGCGAGAGGGCTGGTTTTTCTGGTTTTGTTTGTCAATCAATGTCATTTATGTGACAGAAATCAAGCAAATATTGGAGTGAAATTCTCATTTAATTTCTAAAATTTGTAAAATTTTGTATTTACATCCAAAAAGCAATGGAAGTAGGCAGTAAAGGTAAATAAATTTCATTAACTAAATAGAATGACTTTTTAGGACCATTTAAGCTTATCATGCAGCCATTGTTTCTTAAAGTCAGGAACATTTAAAGAAAAGATGATAAACAAGACAACAAGTAATCGTGAATGTTTTGTAAGCTATAAAAATATAAATATTGATTACATTTGTTTATTTATTATTGATCTGTTTTAATCTTTGGTTTTAATATTGGACCTGCAAATCTTTACTTGAGCTGTCTAACAGTTTGAGTTTAACAGTTCATTAATAAATTACTTTTCAATATTAACTCCATTGAAAAGAAGAAGCAAACGTAAAAGCAGAGAATAGTTACATTAAAAATGCATAAAAGATAAATTTTATAATAGAGGTACATATTGAAATTTAGAAAACGTCAACTTTTGACGTTTCCAGTATTTTGCCAAACCGTTCCGTATCAAACCGATGTTTTTCAGGAACCGCTCAAGACAAAAAACTGCCGTCAGATCTCAAGACAGTCTTCCATTTTGACTGCTAAAACGTTTTGTGTTCACGGAACTTTATATAAATAAATAAATAGAATAGGAATATATAAACTAATTTTTAATTATTATCCAGGACAGATTTAGAACCTACAGACCGACCAATACCACTGGTTCCAACGGATGTCTTGCTGGGTGAGATGTTGCAAAAGTACGAAAACACTATTTTCAAGTACCACGAGCACCAGTCGCTCCTAGAAAACAAACAAGATGAAGAATTAAACGAAGAAGAGAGAAAATCTGCTTGGGACGAATTTGAAAATGAAAAAGAATTGCGCAAGACGCAGTTAAATAATTTTGGAATGATGGGAGCGGGTGCTGCGGCTGGAGGTAATACATATCATAAAAACGCATAATCTTTAATTAATGATATACAACATATTCAATAATTTTGCATTTATATGGAAAGGTTAATATTTCTTCTATATTTATAATCTCTGCAGCTTAAAAAACACCTTGTATTTTAACCTTCTGTATTTTTTTCAGCTGCATTTTTAAACAATATAGCCAATATAACGCCGGAACTTGTAAAAATCGCTCTGGGAAATATAATGAAGAAAGATCATCCAATATGGTCTGATGTTCAGATAAGTGGCGTCGTATCAGCGCTCTATCAACAGCTTCAGGTATTATATCTATACGACTCAACTCATTGATATTTATTATCTTTTTCGTATTTTTCAGGTTCAAGTATCAGAGCATAATTTCACCATGTGGAACAGGGTGCAACAGGAATTGCGCCTGATGCAATCCATACAAGCGCAGCGCATGCGCGAACAATATATGCAAGAGTGGCAGATGCGCCAGATGTTGCAAAAACAACAGATGGACAATCAGCGACTAGGCAACATGGGCATAGGCCCCGAGGAACTGCGCATGATTCAAATGGCCGCAGCGGCACAAAGGGCCGGAGGGGGAGCTGGTACGTCGGCTGACGTCATAGAGTTAAACGATTGACGTTATTGGGGGCCGTAAGTCATGTTTGATTTGATCTATACATAAGGATTTAGACAGTTTTGTCGAGGTTTTTTGAACGAAAATTGTAAAACCTTTCTCTTGTGTTTTTTTTGTATTATTTTAATTATTATCTCAAACTATTTATTTAAAAATATTATTTTATATAAAAAAACTAAAACTCTTTCGAATTCACAATTTTGCATTCAGGTTCAATCCTAACTTTTAAATTAGAGTTGGTGGTTAAGAAAAGGAAATACAATTTCTGAAGAGAATACATACTGCAGCTCACTGATGGTTCCTTATTTTAAATTATAAACTAAATATTTAAAAAATGGTATTCTTTTAACCTTTAAGATAGTGATTGAAATAAATATGATTAATAACATGGTTAACAAGGTGATGTATTTATTTGAAAGAGATTTAGTCTTCACATATCATAGTGTACTTGATGCAGAAAAAGTGCCCTATGATAAAAAAGACATTGTATTAGGAGTTGAAATATTTCAGATTTATCATAATTTATATGTCTCTGGAAATGTATTTTAACATGTTTTTTCTTTTAAATTTTTTAAGCCTATTTTTATATAGTTATTTTTCTTGAATTTACGTCATTACATATTACATTTTATTTCCGTTATTGCAAATTAGAAACAAAACAAATTCAAAAGAAAAAAAAACATTGATGCGTGATTTTTTTTGTTAATGGTGGTCAAAAAATTTGGAATAAGAGCTAAAACACACCAGGCGGTTCATGGGTTAGGTTGGTTAGGTAGGTAGCCGCATTCTCTCCCTCCAAAACATGCTGCAACGACGTAGCTTTTGCTTCATGCTACGAGTAGGAAATAGACGCTCGGCGATCGACGCTGACCATACACCGTCTATTTTGTATCATAGAAGTCCTCCACTAAAACACTAAACTACCTTGTGTGTTTTCGCTCTAAAACTATTATGTAAATATTTTATTTAGTAGGTTAAACTGCTATTTTTTTATTTATGTTTTTTAGGATAATCCTTGTGATTTCTTTTTCTATACTAGTTAAAAAAATAACATCGAGGCGTCTCTTCGGTGTTGTAAATAAATTTGTACTCGAAAATTAACAGGGTTTTATTTTTTACTTAGGTATATAGTAACATATTCTATACATGCCTGAAAAAAATGGGAATACCATGGAATTAGAGGTATATATTATCTTTTGGTTGTCTGTTCCTTTCTGTTATATTCGTCCAGCATAGACGCCACTTCCATTCTTTCAGCAGCTATATGCTGAATATTTGCTAACAAATCTGGATATGGATTTATGGCCTTCACGAAGTCTTTTTGATCTAGACGGTAAATTTCTGAAACTTCCACCGCTATAACTGAGGCAGTTCGCAGTGTGTCTTTTATAATCAATGCTATTTCACCAAAATGCGAACCGTCTTCTAAATGACAGATCTGTATCATCAAAAATGACATATAAAAATGTAGTTAAGAAAAATAATTAAATACGGAAAATCGATTACCTCTTTGCCAGATTTAGTATAAATAGCTACGGTCCCTGTTGAAATAAAGTACATACTAGTGCCAGGAGTGTTGGCTTTTATTATTATGTCGTTCACTAGGTATACTTCGATTCTTAAGCAAGATATGATTCGAACCAACAGGTTTAGGGGCAAGTTTCTAAAGAATATTACGTTCTCTACTAATTTTCGGCAAGCGTGCATATTGATTTCCTAAAGATCACCAAGCAAATATATTTATAGCAGAATAGAGCATTTTCATAGTAACATAACTTAAATATAATTTAAACCGATATAAAATTATAAACTGAGACAGGTCACAATAGGCTTGGAAATTTTATTTTAGTTGATCTTTAGACCCCATTTAGTTCACATTGAGGGATTTAGTCAGACGCCTGGTTTCGTATATTTTAATTGGAGTGTGATGTGTCTGCACTAGGGAATGCAATCCCGCACCAAAATCTCAATCCCGCAAACCCGCGGGATTAAAGCAATCAATCCCGCGGATCCGCATAATTGCGGGACTGTAAACAATAGTCATACATTTGGTCCTAAACGGTACAAAAAGCATTGTACATTTTACATGGGCCCAGAATATATTGATATAGCGCAAGAACGGTAATCTAATTAACTGGTTGACCTATTAAACTGGTTAACTGTTCTTGGATATAGCGTGTATCTTAAACTAGCTGTACAGAAATTTGGACCGATGTATACAGGGTGTTCAAAAAATATATTTAATATTAAATAAACTTAAATTTTATTATAATGTATCTACTTATTTTATAAATAAAAATATTACCTATTCTGATGTTGAATTTTTTTTAACTTGTGTTAGTTATCTGCTTTTAGATACACTCTATATCAATAATTTTTTGGCATATGCAGAATGTATTATTTAGGACCATACGTATGACTAAAAATGCATATTTTTCGAAAAAACGTCGTATTTTCCTTAAAACAAAAAAATTAAAAAGCCGATCAAATTGTTTTTTTCTAATTTCAATACGGATTAGTCGTACTTGGTAAAAATTTCGATTTTTTTAAAATTGTAAATTTGCGGTAAAAAAGATTCTTAACCAAATTGTCACACTCTTATAAAACACCCTGTATACGAGAATTCGCAAAATATATTTTCGAAAACCACTTAGCATCTTAATCACAATAGATGCATCTAATACCTGATCCAAACCGCATCCCAAAATCTTTTTTAGTTCAAGAGATATTCAACTTTAAATTTACCCCAAATTTTGCTTGTCCCGATAATTATGTCCGGCAGTTTATTTGACGAAATTGTCCACAAATACTTGTTAAACGCTTTTCTTCACTTACACACATACGCCAGAAACATGCCAGAAAGAAATCTAACCTATTTAACTAACCTGTTTGTTTCTTAGGTTTGTTTCACTTATTTTTAATGGCTAAGCCATAAGGGGAATCCCTCGGGTTCCGAGCGTCGACGCAACGGCCCGGAACGAAGCGGTTTGACTTCGATCGCCATCGATTCGGTTACCCAGTAGTAATGTGTCGATCCCGCGAATCCCGCACGGTAAATCCCGCAACTTTGACCCCGCGGAATCTTAGAGGGATCCCGCATTTGCGGGATTGCATTCCCTAGTTTGCACCGCAAACGCTGGGATGGATTCTCACTATAACGTACCGTCAGGTCGAGTCATCGCGCCGCGCCGTCTCGACATAAAACAGGAAGTAAATAGGAGATGGACGTTGCCACGACGCCGACGCGACGGCGACATTACGGGTAGTTACGTTATAGTGGTTATAGTGAGAATCGGCGCCTAACTTGTTCCAACCAGGTATTCTGCTCGCTGCCAATACGAATGGTACCGTTCACACTGTTTTGACCTCTAATTAGAGGTCATTGTATCGTTCAGTTTATAGTTCAATCAGTGAAGGCCATTATAGGCCTCTGCCATACAAAAGGTGGTGCAGTAGTAATTTTTTAATATGTTGTTAAGGTTTAGGTCTCCATGAAAAATCCGAGTTTTCGACCTTGGGGTGCGACCGCCATCTTGAATTAAAGATACAAAAAACTGTATTTTTCAAAATATATCCGCAGCGGTTAATCTTATGATCAAAATTTATTATTATTTTTTTATTTTTATTCAACTTCCAGAAAGTGTGGAATTCGGAGATAACCAAATCATTTGCACAAAGTTGTATGGCACAGGAATGATTCAGTTGCGCACATTTCCGAAAAGTACGTTCAATATGTACGAAATCACTACGGTTCACATGCAGTCGTTGTTTTTGATGGAAATCCGAGTGATGGAGCCAAAAGGAATACCAAGGCCGCAGAAAGACTTCGCCGATCGATGAAGCATATGTCTGCGGATGCTCTCTTCGATGAAACAACGCCCGTTCAAGGTTCCCAGGAATTAGTTTTAGCCAACGAAAATAATAAAGGCCGTTTAATTTCGATGCTCACCAAACAAATGGAGCAGGCTGCTATTACTGTCAACCAGGCGGAAGAAGATGCTGATGTGTTGATTGTCAGAGCAGCGATTTCCTTGTGCCCAAAATTTGATGCTGTTTTCGTAGTTGGCGAAGACGTTGACCTTCTCGTTTTGCTGACAGCATTGGCACCGTCTCAAGGAAACATCTACCTCCGCAAACCAGGAAACGGCAAAATTGCTGAAAGAATATATTCAGCTAATAGTTTAAAACATGAAAAAGTAGCTGAGAACATTCTGTTTCTCCAGGCTTTTAGTGGCTGTGACACGACATCAATCTTCAACCAAGGAAAAATGAAGTTTTGTTTGCTTCTCCAGAAAACAGCAGGACTTAGTGACACCATTGGCATTTTTAAACATCAGGATGCAACAGGACATCGCAGATGCTGGAGCACGCTTTCTCGTTGCTTTGTATGGTGGCAACTTGGAAGAAGACACCTTAGAAGAAATCCGCTACCAACGTTTTGCTAGATCAACCACAAAAAGTAAATCCAATCTTGCTTCATTGCAACCAATGAAGGATGCTGCGCGGTATCATTCTTTCAGGACATATCATCAAGTCCAGAAATGGTATGGAATCGAGAAAAAACCTGAAGACTGGGGCTGGAAACTGGACAGCAATGGGCTTGTTCCACTCACCATGACAAAACAAGCAGCACCCGAAAACTTATTGAAATTCATTTCATGCACTTGTAGAAAAGGATGCGGCGCAGCATGTGGTTGCAGGAAAGCTGGGTTGAAGTGTACCGTTGTATGTGGCTTCTGCAGTGGTCAGTCATGCGAAAATGTCCCAAGACAATACTCAAAACGTTATTAATAACCGACTCGGACCCTCAGAGAAAAGAAAACGCTAATAAATCGCCATGGCACTACCTTATTTTTCAGTTTTTTTTTATGTTGTGCGTTATATTTCAATGAGACATATGAAGGTTATAACATATCTTTTTCGCTCCGTGGCACCGTGGACTATCTCGCCAGCCGCTGCCGTTTATACCTATGTAAAAATAGCGAGAATTTCGGAAAAATTACAAAATTGGGGAGTTTTTCTATTTTTTTGGAAAATATGTTCAACGTCACTGTATCTTCTATCCAAGATGGCGGTTCGAGTGGTCCCACCCCAAGGTTGAAAACTTGGATTTTTTGTCAAGACCCAAACCTTAACAACATATAAAAAAAATTACTACTACATCACCTTTTGTATCGCAAAACACCCCACTGACTGGACTATCAGACCAAGCGGTGCCAGCGCGGCGGCTTGGAAAGTATGGTCTTTATGAAGATTGGAATCGAGTCGAACGAGACCGAGTGTGCGTGACGAGCCGACAAAAATGTCGACTCGAAGTTACTACTAGCCTTGCTACTAGTGTGAACCGAAAGTTCGACCGTCGAATAGACGTCGCGTCGAACATTCGCGGCTCAGTGTGAACGGGATCTTTCTATTTATTGATCGCTGACTTTACTTGTCTTAATTGCTCAGAAATAGTGTCCAAAATCTCGTTCTCTCTAAAATAGCTCTTCTGAAATCTGAATTCGTAATACGTCAAAATCCGACTCCTCATAATCATAGGTAGCTGTTTGTGACGCATGTAGTCTTTTAATTGTTTCTCCATTTCGACGTATTTGTGGGCAGCAGACGTTTTACCCTTCATTATTTCCATTATCAGTGCTACGAGAAAATACGTTGGTTTTTCTTTTCGTTCTGCTTAAAGTTAGAAAGAATGACGTTCGTACCTAGTATGTATATAAAAAATAAGCTGGAGGCATACCAGCCGAACCATATGAGCAATACTTCAGCCTCTGTAGATGGTAGATCAGTACCGTAGCTAGAGTTATAAATAATCAAAGATCCTCGATAATAAGCACCTATAATTGCTCGAATCTCTGGATGAGTTTTCGATATGTCTGACCTACAAATGAACCCTAATAGCAATTCCAGAAAAAATAAATATATAGAATCCTTAGAACCTACCAGAAACTGTGCATAATAGTACGGGCATATTTAAACATCAACTCTTTACGACCTCCCGACGATAGATGTAATCTGAACAACATCAACAAGCAACACACGATATGCCAGTAGAATAGAGCGCATATAACAACCAAGGCTACCATATACTTGTAATAATTAATACTGAGCACCTGAAAAAAACGTCCGAATATTCATTATACAAGTGAATATAGAATACAATATTCAATTTTTGGCATTATTGAGCCCTGGCGATCAATAACTAATGGGTAATTAATGTACGTATAGAACCTATATATTCTTACTTCTGCACAGAACTTGAAATGCTTATAAAATCTTATAACTACAAGAAACTTCACGCAGTTCAATAACTGCACGGTTTTTTTATCCCAAAACCAAAATAAATAATAAGATGCTTCTAAAGGAATAGTAACGGTGAGATCTAGTATGAAAAATGTCTTAAAATATTCGCTAAAAAGGTACAAAAATTTTAGGAAGACGTTTTTTCTTCAATTATGTATTACCTGGCAATTTTTGTCGAATCCAATACCACTTCTTGATTGGGTTCATCATAATACCCGGTAAAAAAGTTCAAAATTACCACTAATCCGAAGAAGGCATTCATTGCGTATCTCAGGATGCTGAATATATATAAGTAGACGAATGAAGAATTCATACTAAAGAATACATAAGACAATGCCAACGTAACTACTTCTATGAATATTACGACTAGCTGTGTTAGTGACCAAATTAAGCTAAAATTCAACGATGTAAAGGAGTTCATATGACAAAGTTATACAAAACTTACTTAGCTTTACTGAAGGGGTGTATTCTGAATCCATAATTCAAAATTTGCCGTTGGCGTTCCTTGACTATAGCCCCAAAACTTCGAAGATGTTGAGTATACATTTTACTGGATTCACTAACTACGCACATTCTGATTATCCAGCGTTTAATAATACTAATACAGCCACGATTAGGGATTCCTTTATATTCGTATTCTTCGGGTAATTCGTCCAACGTACAGTCGTGACCGTATTTGGTAAACTAGAATACCAAAATATACAATTTTTATTGGTGCCATTAGAAAACAATCATCCGCTTACCACACTCTTTAACTACCTTGTCTCGTTTTATATCCATTTTTAAATGATATATTAGAGAAATAAAACATCAAAAACGTCTATATTATGCTTCACTTTCAAAAAAATATGACAGATCTGGACAGATATGCCTGGATATGCTCAATAAATTTCAAATGTTAGATACAGATAATAATAATTAATTGCTTTTATATCTAGATTTTGCCTGCGAACAGTGGCGTAACTAGAAATTTTGGGCTCCCCCGCAATTTCGGCTATTTGACTCCTCGCCCCAGTACCTCAATGTTCAACATGTAGCCCGAGATCCTCTATCTGCCTTTATATCAGAGGGCCCACCGCGATTGCGGGGTTTTAGGGAAGGGGCTACATCACTGCCCGCGAAATTACCCTACGCATCTACTTAATTTACAACACTTTGCTGCAAAGTCCGGAGATTAGTTAATTATTAATATTAATAATAACTTATTAATTAATTAATAATAACAACAAAGCATAATATATAATATATATTATGCTATATACAAAGTATATAATAAATTAAATTATTTAATTTATTATAATAGGCAAAAACATACAGGTTTTATGAAGTTCTAAAATAATTAAGCTTTAAGTATAAAATTTCAGAAAAATTGAGTTATTGAATGTTATTGCACCCAACAACCACGTAATTGCGCTTTCCCTTACGTTTTAACATTTTTTGACAGCTTTATTAACATTTGAAATTGTCGCAACACAAAGCGACGCGACGCCGACGCCCAGTTCGGGTTCCTTTTCACTTAATTTTTACTACCCGAAACAGCGTTACATCACACAAACCTCTAGTACCAGCTAGTACCTACCTGAAAGTTTTATTGTTTCAATATAATTGCACTATTAAATACTAAAATATTAAATATTATGACAAAGCCACGATTTTAATATTATTTTAATGCAAACAACTCTGCGTGAAATACAGGGCCGAAAACTTCTGATTTCTGCCGTATCCAGCGCTGCGGTCGGAATTTTTAAAATCAGCTGAAATGCACCAAGGCTATATATTTCTAAGTACAGGTGCGGTTTATCAAATTTTCGTAGCCTAAAACAAATGTTTTCCTTTTTCCAGAAGTATGCGTATCTAATAAATTAACCAGAAATATAAATCTAAATAATATAAATAATTATTTTTTGATACATTTCTGGTTAATATTTAATGATTTTCGATAAAATATTAGTTACATGATTACTAATAATTAGTTACTATTGTTAGAATACAAACAGAAGCTAGCTTGCAAATCGCTTTTTCATTTTTTTACTCAGAAAAAAAGTGTATAAGCGACAAAAAAATGCATAACGTTTTATCGAGGCGTGCGCAAAAGTTGATTTAGTGGCAAAAGTTAAAAACAATACATTCTTATGGAGCCGATCGGCCGACTGTTTAGTTGCAGGTGTGGAGCCGTTACAAACTTTCAACTTGCAACTAAATAGTCGGTCGACTAAAAAATTTTGTAAGTGCACGGACTAAACACCACCAACCACCACCTCCACACAAGGCTATTCAACCGTTTCTAATATGGCGGAGATAGAAGTGCTTTATTTGGCACGTATTTTAAACCCTGTTTTATTTCCAAATAGACATTTTTCACACAAATGTCGGGTTAGATTACGTAATATTTCACTAATTTTTTAATATACAGTTCGTAAGTAAAACTTACGCTTAGCTTAGTTTTCTTTACTCTTTCTCTTTACATAGGGCATTGTCTTTGTGGTAAAGACGTCATTCCTTTTTTTGCATAGTTCTTCAATAAAATATTGGATATTCTGAACAGGATGGATTTAATAATAAATTCTGACGTATGTGAGGGACAATTGTGACCTAAAAAAAGACTTACATCCAGGCCATTTATATTTTCCTATTTACATATTCCATTCTTAGCAAATGTTGTCAATATCTTTCTGTGTACTTTTTGATGTAAAAAGCTTGATTCTTCTTCCAATATTTTACTTATAGTGAGGTAAGCAGTAGCCATAACTACATCCTTACTAGGGTAACAGAGGCTTTGGGGCCTTTGCAGGGTTGCCACAAGAACATTTTTGAATGTGCAGAATTTGACCATAAAAATGTGTAGCATTGTGTAGCAATCCATGACCAATAATTGTAAACTATCCAATAAGACCAAGAATAAGACGTAAAATCGCCAAATTTTAAAGCATAATTACGAGTCTCGATAAGAGTCTCACTTCCACTCGTTTGTATACGTCAATATATTCATTTCCCATTTCATTTCTTCTCATGCCAGCAAATATTGCAAGGAAATTGTGGCAGAACTTAAATTAACAGTGACACTATCGCGATTTATCGAAAAAGACTCTAAAATAGTTGGTTGTGTAGCGTGCGATAGATCTCGGCAAAAATCGAGTAAAATAATGGAACAACTTTTCGCTAGTAAGTGACTATATAATATACATACGTGTAGTAAACCGATCATTTATGAAATTCACTTAAATTAACTAATTATATATTTTTTCTTGCATTTTTGCTTTTATTTACTACTTGTCAAAGATTAGATGTCAAAGAATTTAGATACGTCAATTTGATTTACCAGATTTACCTGCTTCAGTAGCGTATCGGATGTTTGTGTTAATAAATAATTATTATAACTTATCTATTTTTATTAGAATTATATATTTTTGTAACAATTTTAATAACTACCAACATTTATTCACAACGTCAAATAAAACAACATATTATTGAGTCTCCCTACATCATAGTTTTACATTTTTTAAATAAAATTAGAACGGCACTGATAAACCGGAATTTAAGTCGGCCATATTTGAGGCCCATCGCGGTGGACCTAAGATTTTTGATATCCTCCTTCCTTAGTCTTCTTATTCAAAGGCCTTTTTGAGGCATATTTTATGCACTTCTTACCCGAGAACTACTAGTAGGAGTGAAAATATCTCTTTTAATAGCAACAACCATTTTTTACGAAGCTCGTCATTTTTGGGGAATATAAAAGCAGAAACCTTGGGACCCCCTCTATAATTCCCGTGACAATTTGGAACAGAGCATGTAAAAGGCATGCTACAATAAAATGTTAACCCTTTAATACCTATGTTTTGATTATTGTAAGTAACCATTATAAAGTACTATGCAGACTGGCGGTGAAGGCTTTTTTAATAATACAGGAGTACGACAAGCATAAAAGTTTGAAGTTCCCTATCTGGAATGATTGGTTTGGATTTTTATTACACTTTTATTTTATCACAATTTTCTGATCACACCATGCACTGAACACTAAGAACTAAACAAACGTGTTGCAGAAGCACAACAAACTAGAGATAATTAATTATTTCTGGTATGCAATCGGAACGAGAAACCACTATCGGCTTTTCAGGTTAATTGTAAACAATTTAACTTTGACAATTTAATAATGCGCTGCCTTCGCCGCCATATTTACCTTGCCCATATCTTGTTGATTGGCCTTGAGTTGAGGTGGTGCTGGCTTAAAGCAAAAAGTTTAACAAATGTTTTATTGGTTGCCTATACATACCCATCATAACTAAAAATTACTTTAAATACTATATAATACGGAATGCCAGTAATTTAATTTTAGTGATTCTAAATTTTTTAGAAATACTATAAAATTATACCCTTGAGTATGAAAATTATTAAACTTAAAAGAAAAAGTGAAAGAAAGATTAAAGATTCAAGCAAGATTCAAATGAAATTTTTTATGATTAGAAGTGCCAACCCAAACAACTTCAAAAGTTACTAGAGAATCTACGTCTTTCACCATTTCACACTGAAAGCTGAATGTTTTCGTTTTATGATTTTTATTTTGGTTATGTTATCTCTTAATATTCAAAACATTACAGTTAGAAAAATATGTGAAAGAGTAAGAATTTAATAGTTATCAGCTATTCTACGTAGCGAAAATGTACAGTGGATTGTAAACACTGGAAAAACACGAAAATGACTGAACCAAGCCTGACCATAAACTTGGCTTTAGAGACTATCAAAAGCATATCCGTACCTTTTAATTCGACAACAACAGCTGAAGATGTATGTATTACTATCTGCAAACAGCTTAATATAGGTACTCTTGCTAGACACCTCTTTGCACTGCGTGTAACTGGCAAGCAAACCTTCTTATCACCCTCAGAGTTTGTGTTCAGAGACAACCTGATTTTGGATTTTCGTATACGTTTTAAAGTCGATCCTCTTAAGAGACTGGATAAAATCGACATAAACGCCTACAATTACTATTTTCAACAAGCTCGTATTGATGTACTAGAAAATAAAGTACCCGGACTAAGTTATGATAAATACAAAAAAGAATTGGTGGGTTTGGGCATCACTGATATGTACAGGGTGATTTTGGAGAAAGGAATTTCCAGGGATATAGTTGCAAATGATTATAAAAAGTACCTGCATAAAGATGTTGTAAAAAAACACGCTTTGTTTATTAAGAAGCCTATTATTGAACATTTAAGGAAGCTAGAAGAACGTGCTGGGGAAATTAATGTTTTGTAAGTGTTGCAACATTTGAAAGTAATTTTTTTTATTAAATTGATGATTTTTAGGTTTGTAAAAGCACAGTATATGACACAGCTAGATATTATTGCTCCTGATTATTTGTTTGAATCATATAAAGCAGTAACTGACCTGGATGGACAGCATCCTTATTCCATTACTGTCCAAGTTGCTCCTTTCGATAAAGTTGAACCAGGTTTAAAATATTGTTTAGAGTCAAAGAAAAATGTAAAATTTCACCACATTAACAAAAAAATGGTTTTGTATTAAATAAAATTAATTTTTAGCAATGGACTTTAATATGTTCCATAGAAGATTTAGGATTTATCTCGATTAGAAATGACGGTGCAATAGAAATAAGTAGGAAAAATGGTATACCATTCTACTTAAAGTTTCAGTCAATGGAGAAAATGTATTCTTTCATAAGCCTAGTGGATGGTTATTACCGGTTGACTTGTAAGTGGACTTTTAATGTATGTAGAGAAGTTTCAACTCCATCACTTAAGAAATTGCATGTTATGAAATGTCATGGACCAGTTGGGTAAGTTTTTTTTATTAAATTAAAATGTTTTTTGCTATTATGTTATGATGAGAAATTTTCCCTCTATGTGCGCTTTGTATTGTTTATAGTATTTGATGATGGAAAAATATACAGGGGGCTACAAATTAGGGTTCCCAACTTTCAGATTAAAAAATAGAGGATGAGAGGGTAAAAAAGCGCGACAAGCGAAACATTTTTGAAACTGCACCTAAGTGTTGTCAAGAATTGACCCAAAAGTTATGTAAACATTATGTGGATGATGGTCTTTTTATCAACGATTTTCTACAAAAAGTTTTATTTTAAAACATACATAAATAAAAAAATCTAAACAACTAATTAAATATTTCTTTTTTATATTATATTACATAATGTATTTTGTAATGAATGGGAGTAACAAAAGACACATTGTTCTGAGATTAACAATTTTATTAAGGATTAGACTATTATTTTTTAGATGTAATTAAAATGAACTAACTAAATTAATTTAAAAACTGGTAATAAGACCAAAAAGATGACTGTCCTCTGGGATAGAGGACAGTTGGCAACCCTACTACAAATATAGGGTACAAGCATTGCTATCTTATAAGTAATAGATACGAATATGGTTAAATTGGGGCAAAGTTGTGTATTGGTTAAGTTTGATGGCATGTTCACCAACATGCCATCAAACAAGTTTCAAAAATTACAAGGATTGCTGACTTTTTTGAAAAAAAAACGGATTTTTTGGAAAATCAGTTTTATTTTTTCCTGTCGTTACTTTTCAGAAAATCTGAAAACTAATTGCACATTTCCATAGCTACTTTATCAGGGCTATCTGATCTTATTTTTATATTTTCAAATCTGCTAATAGTTTCTGAGATACATAGGCCAACTTATCTTTTTGTAAATACAGATAATTTTTAAATTATTTAACTTCATTATATTCATCTTAACAATATTGATGAGCGCTAATTCATTGAATAAAGAAGATCGAGCCAATTGAAAGATTCAAATAAATAATATCTAGATCAGCAATTTAAAGATATTATTCTTAATTTTTTGTATTATGAATTTGAAATCTCAATGTATGATCTAATAATATGCATAATATTAATCGTAATTATTATAAATAAATCAACTTCTACAAACTAGTTTCTAATGTTCTAAATGTTCAAAAGGATTACCACTTTACCTAATGCACAAATTTAATATTCGTTTAATTTTATGTATAACCCTTTCAACAGATCTTATACTTCAGAATGCATTTTGTAGTCTTTGTTGTAAATGTTGAGATTTCACTTTTACAAATAACGTCAAGTAATGCCTCGCAAAAGTGTTGCATATCGTTGTATTCAAAAGATCGAATTCTTTTAAAACCTGAAATAAAAACTGCAGGTCTGTATTTTAAACATTTAATTTGGCCTATGCATCTCACAAATTATCAGCTAATTTGAAAAATCTAAAAATACTATCAGGAAGCCTTGATAAAGTGGCTATGAGAATGTGCAATTAGTTTTTGGATTTCCTAAAAAGTAACGACAGTAAGAAAAGAAATCGATTTTCAAAAAAGTCAGGTTTTTCTAAATAACTCGGCAATCCTTGAATTTTTTTAAACTTTTTTGATGGAATCTTGGTGAACATTTCAAGGCGCAAAGTTGCCTCAATTTAACCATGTTCCTATCTATTATTACGTTTTCCGAGATAACAATGCTCGTGCCCCGAATTTGTAGCACCCTGTATGGGCGTCCCATTTAAAAAAATGCATTAATATTTTTTTTTTAATTTGGGATACCGAGACTGAACATAAAGAACCGTTTTGTAAATAATTACCTGAGATTTATTTAATTTACCTATATTCCATAAAAAATGTTTATTACTGATTCATTTTTAGTGGTGAATTTTCCTATGCAAAATTAGAATCGAAAAGGTCTAATAGAGTGGGCTGTTTTATTATAAGGGAAAGTGAAACAAACTATAACATTTATTATATAGATGTTTGCATGAAGGATAGGTAAGTATAAAAATATTGAAAACACAATAAATAATAACTATTGTTTTTTTTTTGTTTCTTAATAGCCTTAAGCCAAAAACATTTAAATTAGAGAAAATAAAGGAAGAAGGATATATATTTAATGATGATCCAACCAAATATAAAAATATACACCAACTTATGCATGCTTACAATGATCAGAATGGTACTGTATACCTACAGGAGTGCATACCACCTTCTGAATATGGTACTTTTTTATTAAATATTATTACTTTTTTTATTTATAATCTCTTTTAGATATATCTCCATTGCTGTTGTGTAGGAGTGAAAGTGTTGTTGGTGATGCATTGACTGACAGTTCTTCTTTAAACGTCTTGATACCTCAGGGACCAGTTTGTATTAATTACAAAGATTTACAGGTGTATAAAGGTAAGTTTTTTTGTTTTAAAATATATAATTTCTGAGCTGTTTTAAATGTTATTTGACACTTGTGACTTGAAGTCTAAAATGAATAAAAAGCTAACATTAATAATTTCCCTTTTTGTGGTATTTTTACGAGGGTTTCTTAGCGAATTGCCTCCAGGTAATTTAACCGATTTTTCGGTATGTAAGGTGAGTCATTTGGGATTGGGATATACAGGCACTATTGCCAAGACCGAGTCTAGGGTAAGATGTCAGACTTGGTCTATGGATATGCCCCACAAAATCGATCAAAAAATTACTGACGACGCGTTTCCTTTTGGATCTAAAAAATTTTCTAAAAACTATTGCAGAAATCCAGGTAAATAATATTATTTAGATAACTTATTTGAGTTGAATAGAGAGTTATTTAATAGATTTCTTGTAGATAGAAGGGTTGATGGACCTTGGTGTTATACCATGAATGAGGATTTGATGTATGAAACCTGTGCTGTACCTTTGTGTTCATTTTCAGAATGTAAAATTACTGGACCTGGTAGTGAGTATGGAGGAAATCATAATAGAGGTGTTTCAGGTACTTATTATATGTAGGAAAATATTTATTAATACTTTCTCAGAAATATTTATTCTTAAAAAAAGTTTCTAAGATGGGTAAACTGCGGATAATAAATTAGTATTTCAAAAAACATGTGTCATCTCTCGTGGGGAGATTCCTCATGTAAAAATATCATTTATTTTTATTATTCAACTGTACATGACATAATATATGTTAGAAGCATATTAGAGTATGCATCAGTTGTCTGGAGACCACATTACCTGAATAGTATTTCTTTTAGAACGTGTGCAAAACAAGTTTCTTAGATACCTTGGGGTGTTACCATTGGTATGACCACAGGAATATATATTTTTAAATTATTCAATACCATGATAGATAATCAAGGTTTCCTATTGCGTGTTGGGTTGATGGTGGTTATAACACGCTGGTGCTTTCAACATTTTTCGTAGCTGCGGCTAACACAACCTATAACTTTTAGTTGTTAACCTATAGCTGAAGGGGGTTAACGTTTTAAAATAATTTTAATTATTAATTTAGTTTTAGCGATTCTAATGAAAATAAGAGAATAAGTTAATATTGAGGATAAAGTTACTATCAGTGCAACATATTTTAATACTTAAAAAGTGTCGACAGATTCAGCAGGAACGTGTATATGGGTAATCACAAATATTTTTTCTCAAAAAACTGTCCGCCACTGATTTTATTCTCTTATTAACACAGTTGTGTAGGCTATTTTATGTTGATTAAAAGTTGTTTCTTGATATTTTGTCGATTTCAGTCTCCTTGATGAAATAAACACAATTTTATTAATTTGTCTGAATCCAAGACTGATCTAATAGTAACCAATTTTAATGTCATAATGTTATAATAATAATGGCCATAGTGTTCAATAAGTGCTGATTCATTCTTCATGACAAATATGTAAAAAAGGTCCTATAAACATTGGTATAGAAATAGTTTTAAAGTTACAGGATGTTAAAACTTTTAGAAAATTGTTTTTTTGTAATTACCTGAAATACCATTATTTTTTTTCATGAATTTACTGTACGTTATACTGAACATCAGTTTTATAAATTTGAATAATAAAATAGATTAAATAAACAATTTATTAATTTTATTTTTCCTTTATTAATTGTGATTAATACAATTGCCTTTATCACATTAAGGGCCGGTTCTACAAAGCAAGTATATACCAGGTATTTTACCAGTTATAATAAATTCTTGGAATATCTATTAAAATTTCCGTTCAAAAAGTATAAAATGTTTGGAGTATAAAATGTTCCGTATTTATACTTGCTTTGTAGAATCGGCCCTTAGGAGATCGAAATCCACAAAATACGACGCGACGCAAACGCGACGCGACGCTCCACGCTCTCAGCCTGAATGTACCTTTACACAAATTTGCTAACAGAAGAAAAGTCATATTTGCTACTTTTTTTTAAATTTTCCCGTGGTAACCAACATGCACGTCCCTGGAGAATGTGTCGACACTTTTTTAGTAATAAAATGTGTAACACTTATAGTAACTTTATACTCTCAAAACGTCATTCGAATTGCTAAAAAAAGGAAATTATAAAAAATCGAAAAAAAATTAAGATTTAAAAAAAGACATTAACCTCCTGTAGATACGAAATAAAGCATAATCGGACCTATATTGATATGAAAATTAAAACTCATTTTTATACGAGATGAATCTCTTTTCCACGAGAGATGGCACATGTTCTCATTTTTTGAAACACTCTGTATGTCGGCCTCATTGCTGTCACTAATGAAATCCATCGTTCCTTGAAATGCCTACTCGTTTGATTTTACACTCTTCCGACAAATGTCGTCATACTGTTTGACCAGCGGATCTGAAGCTACGGAAGGAATGCGAGAAAAAAAAATCGACATTGCCACGTTTATCTATAAAATTGCAAAATTGCCAGACAGGAACGATAAATTTAATATATTTTTATTATATATAATGTGTTTAGCATATATTCTGACGTATATTACTAAGGAATTTTAAAGTAGTTCATATTGTTCGATATGTTTATTTAATAATTTCTTTCTTTCATTGTACAATCTGCTTATTATGAAAGTTCAAGATTTTTCAACGATATCATGGCGCATGGCCGCCTATTCATCGAACATGATTGGCGAGAGTACGTTACAGGATTTGTTACCACACGGTTGCCATGGCTTTTACGCCTTTCCTATTCGCTTGCTTTATCCCCAACTTCACGGTCTCTTCTGAAAAGAGTAGGAATATTGAATACTATTGAAATATCCAGTGGCGGTGTCATTCTTTTGATAATTATTACTTTATTTCATTATTTTATACCGGTTATCCTAAACTTTATTCCTATATTTTTCGTATATTTGATAGTTAAGTTGTGTTTTATTGTTTTGTTACCTTGTTATAATGTTTTTCGTTCGTAGTTTTTAATTATTAATATCAAGTTTGATCGTATATTTGTGTTTTAAAATGAATAAATTTGTTAAGAGTAAGACGCTACATAGCCAGACAAGAGAAATAATAGCTAATTTATATAGGTAAGTAGAATAATAATAATATAATTAGAATATTAAAATTAAATATTGGCTAAAATGAAAAGCACACATTTTACCTAAATATTTTAGCTAAACTAAAATAAATATAAATAAACGTGGATGAAATCTCATTTGGTTTATTTCCTTGTGTTCATAATAGGGTTTGCGACGAAGAAGCTACAGAGAGTTCGCTTAAGTTGCCGCTTAAACGTAAACTTGAGCGGATATTTCTTTATACCGGAGTTAGCGTATCGGCTATAAAAAAAAGATTGCTGTTGAAACGCTCGACGACTTTTTCCAAGTGGTGAGGAATTTGATAAATAGATTTTATCTCGAATTCAAACTCGTCCCCACAATTAGAAAGCTTTTGCAAAAATTGCAGGAAGAATCGAATTTTCCTTTGGCAGGGAAACGCTAAGGGGGTTATTAAAATCAAATGAATTTTTTGGCGTAAATGTCAAAATAACAGATAAATATTAATGGAGCGGCCCATTAGATTGCAGAGAGAGATATAAATATATACGCGAAATTCGAAAATATAGCCAAGTATTATCTATTTGGATGAAACATATGGGTAGACAATGACCTAACCTTTAAAAAGTGCTGGCGGAGCGATACCATATCTGGTGTAATAGGCAATATTGGATCTACTGGTGAGTAAAATTATGTTTTGTTTGCGCTTCCAAAGTTAACTATTTTCAAGATTTTTTTTTTGCTGGAAATAGTTATATCTAAAATTATGTATTATAAAAAAAAAATAGTTAGTACAGATATATAAATAAATATACCTCAAGACTCAGTCTTGATCATCTGCTGATGGCAGACATGGTTAGCGAAACCTGCGTCCAGTGTAAAATTAACAGTGTTTTGGTGTATTGTACTGATTTAGTGTTTTATTTTGCTGTGTAACACCAAAGGTTCCAACCCCCAGCTGTAATTATTTCTTCTATTATATTAACAAAACATAATAATAAAATGATTCAAAATATTTAAGGGGGCTTTAATAAAAGCTTTTAGTGTTTATCTGCTAACTCAACAGTAACGATTCAAACAGCATAAGTTTTTTGAAAAAATTATTAATCCAAATATTATATTTATGATACACATTATTATCATAAAACACCGTACGCCCATGCCTATTTTATGAATGAAATTGGGCGTGTTTTGTTTACAACTGCGTTCCCCTGCCGATACCCCGTAGCTACAGATCCGTTGGTCACACATTACACCTTGACAATATGTACCTTTTTTATTTTTATTTTTTCCTTTTAAAGAGTAATTTTTTACACTTTCCCTGTTTAACTAAGAAGTACTGGAACGACTGACTCGAATAAAACAGCGCGGTATATGTCCATACACTATCGGGTATAGGAACAAACGAGCCAACTAATATCTGGCGAAGATAGATATTGAATGAACAGGCAAAACTGGATCGAACACACTCATACACTGGCGTTTATATCTGAACGGTTAATACCGGACAAAAAAACCTAAGTGTTTGGGGGGCTTACGAAGAAGACTATCCTTTACCATATGATGTTAAAATTTTAGATGAGCTTATATGGGATTTTTATTTTAGACCGAAAATGTTTGAAATGGAGTAAAGATCGTTCAAAAGTGATGTCGAACGGTAACTATACGAAGGTTAAGAAATTTTCTGATTATCTATTTCCGGATGGTAGTGCAAATAAAGCAAAAAACTACTGTAGGAATCCTGATGGTGACATTGGCAGGTTTTTTTTCTAAAATAAGAATATGTTTATATATCTCCTTGAATTTGTCTAGGAGGACCGTGGTGTTTTGTAGAGAACGACGAACAAAATTATCTAGAGAAAGAATACTGTGATATACCATCTTGTGACGATCCAGAGTGTTCAGTATTCACTAAAAACTATGAAACTTACATGCATTATACAGATTTTAATGGTAAATTCAATATATTGCTAACTGAACTTCCTCAAAATTAAATAAGTAAACTATAATTTTAATTAGGTAGTGTATTAACAAATGTAAAATTCGGTATTAAAATTTGGAATTCAGACGAATTTAATGAGGCCAGTGCTCGTCTAGTGCTTAGTGTGTTAGCATTGCCTCTAACTGGTCAAGAAATAGAAGATTTAGGCATAGGAATTGAAATATTTATATCTAATAATGGATCGACTTTAAGGTAATAGAGAATTCTCGTTAATTCGACAATTTCTATTTAATACAAAGATTTTTACACATTGTATGAAACAATTCTTTCCATTAAGGTATGGTAACAAAGACAAACTAGAATACGAACCAACACCTGGCATACTCAAATCAACTAATTTCACTACTTTTACCCTAAATTGGGATCATGGGTTTATTACTTTCGGCCTAGAAGGCCAACTTAAACCTATATTTCTCTCTGAAATAAAGGCCAAGAAGAACTTGATGGGTTTCCAAAGAGATAAATTTGATTTTTATTCAGTGCAAGGCACCAATGTGATTTGGAATTTTCCATTTTGTTTGGAAGATGGAGAATGTGATGTACATACAACAACAGGTGGTCAGTTTCAACAGTACTGGCCTTTGAGACAAAAAGACATTGGTAAATAAGGGTTATACACACTCCTTGGATGTTGATGTGATCTTACCTTTTAGTTTACGATTTGTATGTTTATGTTAGAGCTTTCCATCATGCTTCGATATTGGTTCAACCATCGCCCGCAGTAGACTATCCCTGTTTTAAAATTGTTTTTCTTGGTTCTAATGGTTATACTAGGTTTACCATTAAAGAGTATGAAGGTGCTTCAGAGATAGTACTAAAGGAAATTCAGATAGAAGATATAATAAGCTACTGGGAATGGAACGAGTTCTCCATATCTTTTTTCGCAAACAGTTTACAAGCAAGTAGTATTGGTTTGCATATTAAAAAAAACTTCTAGGTTGTTTATTATTTTTTGTTATAGTCTTACATATTTTAGATTTATATGAAAAAAGCTATAGGTATGCATTCCATTCTTGAAACCAAACACGATATTTTCCGCGTTTTAAGGTGGTTTAGCGTATGTTCCTCAAACTCTGTGGCCCACTGGAGCTTCTTCTGCGAACCACCAGCTTTTGCCAGTCCTCCGCAAGCGCTGTTGCCGGAATGCGCCCTAAATACTAACGAACCCGAGTATAAAGGGTCTCAGGTACGTTACCTTAACACAGTTTTTCGTTTTTTTGCCTAAATTAGTTTTCAAGGATATAACTTTTTTGGGACTGCCCTGTTTACCATGGTCGGGATATAAAATGATTTCTGACGATGTAAACATGTTGTTTTCGAACGAATCTGATATTTTGGCTTCGAAAAACTACTGTAGAGATCCGAAAGGCGTTGGAGATGGTATTTTACCCGATTTATATATAAAATATAACAATAAAATGCGTTTTAGGTACTTTTTGCTATGTTTTAAATCAGAACGCGTCGAAAAAGTCGGTGGAAAAGCAATATTGTCGTTTGAGAAATTGCAAATCGCAACTTTGCAAGATGGCAGGAACAGGCAATGACTTTATAGGGCAAGTTTCAACTACTAGGTTAGGCCAGTGTTTTTTATTATAATTTTTTAATACATTTGCATGTATTTTTTGTAATTTTATTAGGGCTAATAGAACTTGCGATAGTTGGGATCCTACAACAAAATCGGTTCATTTGAACTACATGTATAACTTTAACGGATCACTTTTTGCCGAAATGAATCCATTGGATGCGAAGAACTATTGCAGAAATCCGAACAGGGATATATCAGGTTCAAAGCCTTGGTTTAATTTCAGACCATTTTTTTTTAATTACATCTTTCTTGGTTTTGACACGAACTCAAGGTATCAAAAAATAATTGATATATAATTTAGGTAGTTGGTGTTATACCACTGATCCAGAAATTGTTCAAGATGTTTGCGATATTAAAGATTGCGATAGACCTGAAGAGTGTATCATTGTAGTTTCAGATATTTCGAAGGGTAATAATTAATAACTCAAAAACTTGTATTTTAAAAAAGTAATATTTTATTATGGATAAGAACTGTATTATTATAGGAAGAAAGATTTTTATTCTTCCACAATGGAAAGAAGAAGGCGTCCATGGTGGCTTAAGATTTTCTCTAAAAGAATGGAACCCAGACTTGCTTTCCGGATTTGCCTTTTCATTTTTTTCCAAGAGCAGTTCTGACGAACTGGAACTTATTATTGGTATAATTACAAGCAATAAAAAGAAACACACTGTATTTGTGAGATTGTTTTTAAGGGGCTCAAATGAACGAAAAAGTGGAATTATATTTGAACGGGAATCTTCTAGAGAGGAAAACGTTTCCCCATTTGATATCGGCAGGAAAATGGACCGATTTTTGGCTACAAATTAGAAGAGGTATTTATGATATTAATATCACAATAATTTTTATGTAAAACATCTGTATATATAGTGTAGTAGAAAATAGCCATCAAATCACTCATATACAACCTGTTATAGTTTCTAGACTATAAACGGTTATACACACAGTTTAAAATCATTATTTTAAGGCGAAATAATGTTGGGTTTCAAAGGAGTACCGACAGCATTATTCGAATGGAGGGAGAAGAATACTGAAAAACCGTTTGAACCGATGTTTCTTTCGTACCGTACTTTATATCCGTCGATGCCAATAGGCGTCTTTTTTAATGTAAAAACTTGAATTTCAAAAAAAAATATATATATATTAAAAATATATTTTCTATTTTGAAATTTCAGTGCGAGGGATGTCAAACCGAAAACACCACTGAAAATAACTTTTTAAATTTTGTCCCCGTTGGTCTGCATTCTTTAGAGGAAAACAGTCATCATAGAAACCTCAGTTTAAAATTGAGAGGTAATGGTATTGCCTGGGTATCTTTTATGTGGGTCACCAATAATTTAAACTCTTATTTATTCAAGTTGGATGCAATCAACGGTATATAAGACCAGTTCAAACTTAAAGCAGACAGTTTTTATAAATCTTTTGATGTTTTATAGGTATGATAGGGTGGTACAAAATCGAAGCACCTCCTAGGGCCGCGGAAGGTTTGGTTTACCCTTTGCTAGAGATACAGTTTCAAATTCCAATGGTTCCAACCACTTGGACTGAGTATAATTTTAGTTGGGGGCAGCGTATTATGGAGGTCAAAAGAAATAACGTGACAGTGCTTCATCATGAAAACGATAAAGTTTTGTTACTTTATTGGTTCTCTGTGGCTGCTGCCGAGGGGTGGGTAAGTATTAGTACTGTACTAAGTACGTACTAGTACTAATTTAAAGCCGTTTATATGATATATAAAAATATTAGGTTACTTGGAGCGCCAACTGTGAACCTCTAGATCTAGATGGTCCCCCCATCGATGGAGCATGGTCAGCATGGTCCCCATGGACTTGCACTGTATCTTGTGGAGGAGGAGAAGGATTTAGAACAAGGACATGCTCGAATCCCCATCCAAACATTTTTGGAAAACTTTGCCAAGGGTCTCCACGTTTTAGAAACTCGTTAATTAACGTTATCATGTTATATTTTTTTTCTTTTAGGTCGCCCACTGCAACAGGCAGGTGCAACGACTTTCCTTGTGGCGATATAAGCCCAGAAACTTTGGATACAATCCGAAACAATCTCCAGAAACAAAGTTATAGTCTGGTAGTAGACGAAGACGATCGAGTTTTGATCTTCAACGAAAAAGACTTGTTGAAAATAGTGAAAAATGAATCTCCCGAAGCTTATTTCGAGTGGACGTTAAATGGAATATTTATAAACCAAGATAAAAGAGTCAGTTTTGACGGAAACGACGTACTGATCAAAAAAGCGAAGTCTTCAGACTCTGGAACCTATGTGTGCATGATCTATCGCATAAATCGGCGTAGAGTGGTGCTAAAAACCGTTTCTTTAGCTGTAAAATCGAAAACATTTGACGTAGATTCCAGGGAAACTTGGTACTATACCCTGCAGTGCCACGCAGTAGTTCTGGGTTACATATACACCGATTTAAGTCTAAAACTTGTCATTGATGAGAAAGTTTACAAAGATTACGGTGTAACTACTTTGGCAGCTGTAAATTCTTATTTTTTTGATCCACTTAATCGGTCTCACACCGGTTCTTGGAGGTGTGTGGTGGAACAGAAAGACTTGGGTTTGAAGTGGGTGACGAATTATGTGAAGATCAACGTGAAAAAACGGCCTAATTTTTACACGAACTTGATGGAAGATAGATTGACGGCTCCGATCTTTGGAGGACTTAAAGACGAAAATGCCGTGTTTGTTGTAGTTCTTTTGTTTACTGTTTTTGTTGTTTTTTGTGTGGGGATATTTATATATTTATATATGAGGTTTTGTACTCTCAAATCTCGTTATAAAAGAAATAGAAGGCTGTAAAAAGTTAAATGTAATTTTTTACTTCCTGGAAGAATTTTATTTACTTTTCTGTACATATACCCTGCTGGCAAGCGAAACCTTGGGTCGGCGTTTACATGTGAATCGCTATGGGAATCTAGTAAGTCAGAGACTTCTTAAGGTCAGAGAGAACAATAATACAAGTATTTATTACATAACCTCTTAATCTGGCGCTAGATTCCATGCGCTTGGGAAAGTACTTTCCTTCTGTCTTTATTCAGTACATCTTATTTTGCTAAGCGTGTTGACTGTACTCTTCGTACACACAAAAATCGGCACCCAAGACCAGAAATGCCGGCCCTACTATATGTATATAAAACAACATTTAGAACAGCTCAAAAACAACAATTTTTTTTCTATTTAATTATATACCCTGTATAATTTTAAATACCTGGACAATACAATGCTTTGATAATGCTTAATTATAAAATCATATATTTCCAAGGTCAAGGCAAAGAAGGTCACAGGGGCATCACCCTCATATACAGAGGAATGTGGAAAATTGCCAGGGGCAAAAAGATGGAAGTTGCCTTAAAATTACTTAAGCAACAATCATTGGAGAAGTACCTGAAGGTAACAGTTCTTTAATCGACAAATTAACTATCATCACTAATACAATATTTCTTATAGGATTATTTGAACTTGATAGGGCAGTGGGCGTTCTTGAAGTCCAGCGCCGTAGTCAGGTTCTTCGGCGTGGCCCTGGCGGTAAACAACATATCGCTGGTCACCGAATATTTTAAATTGGGCCCTTTGGATCAGTACCTTCGCGATAACAGGAGCAGGATACAGAAAGTCGATCTGATTGAGGCTGCGAGCAATCTGGCCTCGGCCGTGTGGCATTTGGTACGTCAGATTGATTTCAGTTTTGCATAATTTAATTTTCGAATAATTGTAGAAAGAAAACGACATAGTCCATGGAAAAATTAGGTGTAGGAAGTTGATGGTGAATTGTCATGAAGAAAATACGTTTACTGTCAAATTGGCTGATCCTGGTTTGCATACGAACTATGAAACGTCAGAGTAAGTCTATAAAACTATTTGTTACTCGTAAAAAAATATATTTTACTCGTAAAAAACTACTTTTTACGCGTAAAAAACTATATGTTGCACGTAAAAAAATAGTTTTATGCTTAAAAAAATAAAAATATATTTTTTAATTTATTACTTTTTCAACATTTCATGTCCTTCAAATCCTTCAATTTAATAGTTGTTAGTAAGAAGTTTCACTTCAAATATGCGCACATAGTGCAACAAAAAACTTCAAATATGCGCACATAGTGTCAATTTATTTTATATATCTTTATTTCTATGTTTCTTAAATATTTTTATGTTCTATAGTGTTCACTGGATACCTATCGAATGTTACACTACTCTAGATTACGCCAAAAGATCCACAGCTGCCGATATTTGGGCTCTCGCAACAACCTTTTACGAAATCTTTACCTATGGTAAAGTCATGCCAGTTACAGACCACGTACAAACGATGAGAGTAAGTTTTTTACTCTTACTATTTTTTGTCTTTATATTATGTGTTCTATTTATTTTTTAAGTGGTACATGAGTGGTAAAAGACTACCCCAACCTCAAGGGTGCGACGACGAAATCTACACCTTGATGATGGAGTGTTGGCATTCCGATCCTCATCGTCGAAAGCAACCGCAAGAGGTCAGTCGAGACATCAATCAATTGCTCTACCAAGTCTACAATTCTAGAAAGAGACATCCTTATGATACCATTAGAAACACCACGTCGAATACGAGGTCTACATATAGTCTAAGTTCAAACACTACAGGTGAGAAAACATTTTTAAAAGCCCGTCTACACCTACAGTTTTACCTGTTTAGTTATAAAGTATAATACAATTAAAAAAAGACGAAATAATTTTACTTGAAGTGAGTAACAGAGTAATGACCAGAGAACTGACGGGATAGTTCAGTTTTACAACAAACCCCCGTTATTGAATAAAATGTAAGTAAATTTACAAAAAAAAATAACGGATATTTTAAAGCATCTTTAATAAGAGGCTTTTAAAAATCTTATATTTGGTTCGTTAATTGGCTATTATATTACATTTTTCTTGTGCTGCTATTAGGTGAGCCATATCATGCGCTGGGACGCTTCTATTTGCATTAAGTTACACTTGCTGTTGTAACGTTTAAATACTTAAATAGATCGAAAAATAATAGTAAAAGATAATATACAGGGTTGTTCACCACATACGACAGGGAGTATTGTAGCTAAACGATTAGATTTTCACAAATTGTAAGTTTGGGTTCGTTGAAGGTCAATTAGAGCTACAATTTAAAAATATTTTTACAAGATAGAGTGTCCGAAATAAGTAAAAAATATTATAGTTATATTTTTTTAAATGGAACACCCTGTATATTATTCTATTTTTGGATTCTACGATTGAAATAAAGGTAGTATATATATAGTTTCAGAAAGTAATGTAATTTTTTCAAAATTGTTTACAGATTGATTATTACCGGGTGCATATCAAAAGTGGCTTACCCCTATAACTTTTTTATTTTTTAAGATAAAAAACAAGATTTGGTATGTTAGTATATGATATAAGTTAGGATTGATTGACGTATTCAATTGTTTTCGGTCACTTCCGGAAATTACTAACTTTTGATTTTTAAATAGCACCAAATAAATTTTAAATAGATTTTTTTTAAAAAGAAATCTTATTTTAAATTTCAATATAGAGTGCCGCGGTTGTGTTAAAAACACTAATTTTTTATCAAGGAGCCTTGAAAAAATAGAATTGATCGCCTAATGTTTTTAGTGTCTTGTCCTGGCCAGTTAGAAAATGCTCAAATCGTATTTTTAATCATACCTCAATTTTTTCAAACGGAACAAGGGTGGCTCATTAGCATATTTGAAAAAGCATTTTTTTTTGTACCACACACTTATTTCGAGTCAAATTGTCGTTATGAACCGCATGTTACAATTTCATATAAACCATATGCGAAAATGTCAAAAGTTGACATATGGTATGTTATTCTATTCAGAGTGTCAGTTTCTATCGAATAGAGTAGAAATATACCGAGGGTACCATTTAAAAGTCAAAAGTTGTAGTCATTTCCGGCGAAACAGGAAGTAACTAAAAAAAATTGAATACGTCAATCAATCCTAATTTATGTCAAATACTAACATACCAAATCTCGTTTTATTATCTAAAAAAAAATAAAAAAAATATAGGGGTGAGCCACTTTTGAGATGCACCGGTATACAGAGAACGATTGTTACCAAACGATATTATTTTCTCAATTAACAACGTGTTTACAAATGGAATTTAAACTATAAATACAATTTTGTAGTAAAATTTCATTTTTTTCTTTTCAGCTTCGTTAAACTCAAAAGGATAATTCATAAAACCGCTGGTAAAACTTCCAGTGTATATGTTTTTAATATATAGTAATAGTTTATAATCCATTTTCCTGACAGGTAAAATGTTATGTGTAGTCGGAGCTTAAAAAAGAGGGAGAAAATGAAAAAAGAGAATGCGAAAGAAATATTTTTATATATATTTCAAATACAGGTTTTCTAGATACTACTGAAATTAACTATGATGAGTTGATTTCTGCTAACGATCCAGAGGTGAGTTCAAACCGGTCAGAGAGCAGTTTTTCGAATGCTTCCTCCCAGCACTGGCTGCTCAGTTCGCAGGATTTGGTCAATTTCGATCCAGGTTGGTATAGTTTTCCAGAAGTCAAGTGGAATAAGGACTCTTCATTTTGGCACTCTCTTTGTCTGCATCGTCTGGACAGACGAATCAAGAGTCCGAGTATTTCCAATTGACTTCGGAATAATATAATATAACACATTATTAAGATTTAATAATTATATTTTGGATCAAAAGATTTAGGTGACTCGAAGGATTTCTCTAAGCTGTTTTCGAACTCGAACTTTACGATAAGCACGTCTGTGGACAGTTTGAACTCGATGGAGGGTATTTTTGAACTTGATGACGAGTGTAGCGTTGTTCTGCAGGGTAGGATAGGAATGGGATTCTATGGAGACGTATATAGAGGTTAGTGCAGCATCCTTACATAAAAAAAATCACAAATAAAATTAACCCATGTCCTTGGTCGTTTATAATAAATTGTAAACGATATAAGTAACAAATCTAGTCGTTTGGTAATAAATAGTGTTGTAAAATGCTTGAGAATTTATTTTTGGAGAACGTTCCCCGAGAACGGATGAGAATTTATAATTATCGCAATGAAACGTTGACAAATCAATTAGACACTTTTAATAATGAAGTTTTTTAATTTCATTATTAAAAGTAAGCATTCTAAAGCATCATATTATTTTACTAAAAAAACTAAAATAATAAAATATAAAGAAATTACCTGTGATGCAATATTATCAAGAAATTATGTTTTTTAACTAAAAACTAAAAAAAATCCCCAAAAAATATCTCATGCGTGTTTACCTCAGCGTGTTTCTGCGGTTGACCTATACTACCAGTTAAAATACTTGCACTTATTTCTGGGACCCCCTGTATATATAGTATCCTGGTAAAATCGCCGAACTCGCAACCTAATTTCGAACATAATTTTCCCGGTGTTATAACATAGTCGCCCGCTAAATGCTAAATGTGTACAATATGCTGTATTATAAATACTATAGAGAAAATATACTATTTTTGTAGAAGCTTAAAGAAATGTTTATAGGGTACGTTCCCGCGAATGTTCCCTCGTCACGATTAAGGGAATGTACTCTCTATTACAACACTAGTAACGAACTATATAAAATGAAGTTACTGAATAAAAAGAAAATTAATTTTGATTTATTTTTTTTATCATATTCTTCATTTCTAGGCACACTGGAATATTTCAATAATCCTGATATTGAACCCAGGGTGGTTGCAGTAAAGAAATTAAAATCTTCCGCCATGTCATCAAGTTGTTTGGCAGATTTTGAAAGAGAAATCAAAATAATGAAGGTATTTTTTAAATTCTATTTTACGGTTATATTGACATTTACATATATATAACGTGTGGTGCATTCAGGGGTGGATGGGGAAGTGGAAACTGGCCCGGGAATAACAGGCAACCGGCCCAAATCCACAAAAACAAAATGACCATAACGAAGAAATATATTTTATTTATTAATATAAAAGTTAGCGTGTTTTTCGCTCCTGCGAAAAAACTCTTTTGCCTCCGGTTTTTTAAAAAAATTGAAATTGTCTTGATCAAATTTTCACTAAGATCAATTTTATAGGGTTCTACTGTTTTATTTCCATTATCGATAACGGTAATTTGATCTTGCTAAGATTTTGAGTCACGATTTTGAGAAACTTTAAGACTTCCTGATTCATTCAGTTCAGCTGGCTCATTCCTCTGTGAAATACATTATTTTTAGCTTTTCAGGTATATACTTTCTTACTCTTCTTTTGTAGAAAGAAGTTTTCTCTTTTCTGGTAGAGCAGCAGCTTCGTCGTGTATACGTGTTTTTAACTGAATGAACCGCGGTCGCCATTAAAACTGCTGCATTTTTTAGGTTATTATATTAGTTCTTATCACTTTTCCTTTATTCTTTTCTAAATTTGGCATCTTGTATGATAATGCCATGATTCAAACGAAAAAAACCTAGACCTAGGCAGTGGATATAAATGTGTTCTATTTGTTATGTTACATTCTATAATAAGAATATTTGGATTTTGCAGACATATTAATATTTTATTATCTAATCTAGTTTAAACCTTATTTAACTCTTCTCTGCTGTCTCAGTAATTTTTAGTAAATAATTTTAGCAACATTTTAAACAACAATAAAATTTAGACTTGGCTTTTAGTTCTCAAGCATAGAGATAGCCATGACATGTTTTCTCTGTCAACCGCAGAGTTCGCGTCAAATTCGTCAATCCTTTTACAAAGGGGAGCTCGAAAAATATTGCACCGAGGCCCCCAAGTGTATACTATTCTTAGTATACACTTCGATCGAGACTATTTAAATTTACCTAATAAATGCTATTCATTCTTTGTTTTGCCGCAAGTCAGTCATATTTATAAGTTATTAATAAAAGAATAGTGGTAAAACTATACAGGGTGAATCTTAAATAAGTGCAAATTTTTTCAGGGGTGGATATTTCGATCCCAAAAACACGTCTATGAAGTTTCTTTGAAATTTTCCTGTATATTTTAGAAAACTTTTTAGAATTTCTTGTTCACCGCAAATTTTCCCACGGTATAGTTACTTAATCTCTGATATTACGGCACGAAAAGAAATGCAAATACCGAAAAATTGGGGTGGCTCAAATTTTTTTTAAAATAAATATTTTTTTTTAATTTTCAAACTTTAATAACTCGGTTGGACTTATTTGAAACACGGTAAAGAAAATATAATTATGTTTCTTTTACTGAGATCTACCAGCACTGAAAATATTTGCACTTAAAAAGTCACCTTGTATAATAAAATTCTTCAGACCGAACAAACAAAACAACAGATGTTTATTAAAATTATAAGCGTCTCAGAGAAAGACATCTTACAATAGTTATTTTACAAATTGGTGTTTATGTTTAAAAGTAACTGACGATTATACTGATGCAAATTGATTAGTTAGTTATGGAGTCTCTAAGAATCTTAGGTCACTTTAGTTAGAAGATTAACCTTTTAATTTTGCTAATCCAATCTTTTTTGGGCTCTGATCGGGACCGGCCGGCTCACCAGCCCATATTTCCACCGGCCCACCGGGAATTTTCTCGTTTTCCCATATGGCCCATCCACCCCTGGGTGCATTGGGCGTTGTATATTACAGGAAAATTCCATGTAAATTTTGAGCTGTTCAAATATTGGCTCCCCATATATTGGCTGAGAACCAAACCAAACGCCGATGCAGCACCCGGTATACAATTTTATCTAACCTGATTTATTTTAAAAAAGGCATCCATTTTTCTCAAAGAGACCTGGTTCAGATTAAAAAAGGTAGAAAAAAGACTCAAAGTCTCGGTCTCAACGTTTATACAATGTTAAACTGTTACACGTGTTTCGCTCATATACGAGCATCATCAGACCTAACAAGAAAGAACCTAATAAATAACAAATAATAAAAAGGTCGTCATAACTTACAAATACAATTAAAATTAATCCAAATACACGTTCACATTTTACAATTAAAACAACACTGGGACGAGGCTGAAATGACCGGCAAATATTTGTCAATAAAAAACAAACAGGAACAAAAAATCAAACAAAATCAAAAATAAAATAAAAAATAGAATAACCCAGCGGGATTTGAACTCTAGCCTCCCGGGTGGGAACCAGAGAGCAAAGCCACCAAGCTACCGTACTACTGAAGTAAAGATTCAGAACTCAACAATAATACACGGCCCACGATGTTACATTAAAAGAGAATATCTGTTGTATATTAAATATATTTTTCCTAATAACAGGGCCTACAACACGACAATATAGTCGAAATTTTGGGAGTTTTACGAAATCCAGAAATCCTACTGGTTATGGAATTTGTTCAGCACGGGTCTTTGCAGAGTTACTTGAAAATCAACAAAGAAACGTTACAAATTCCACAGTTGTTAAAGTACGCCTCCAATATAGCAGAGGTATGGCATCAGATTTTTTTTCTTTCTCTTATCTAATTTTATTTATTTTTTATTTAATGTTATTGATATATTTTTTATAGGGGATGAAATATCTAGGATTTAGAAGCATAGTTCACAGAGATCTGGCTGCCAGAAACATACTTGTTGTGGATGACAACAAAGTCAAGATATCCGATTTTGGTTTGGCACAGTTTACCGGTACCAGCGACTATTACATACTGAAGAGTCCCAACAGGGAATTGCCCATAAAATGGTACGCACCGGAAAGCTTGGCCGAGGGCAAATTCTCCGTTAAATCTGATGTATGGTCGTACGGAGTGACCATGTACGAAATGTTCAACTACGGAGAGGAACCGCCGACAATGGTTAACATAGACAAAGTACTGGAAGGGCAGGAGCAACAAGTACTTCTTTCTGCTATAATGAGCGGCGCTAGGTAAATAAATAAAAGTAACATGTTTAGGAAAAGAATTACGACAGTAATTGTAATTATAATTTAAATTCAAAAGTGGACTGTTTTTTTTTATAACATTTTTTTGATGTCTTCTGTCGAACTCATATATTCTGTTGCAAAATAGAGACTCTTTAATAATAAAAAAAAATATTATAATCATACCTAAAGCCCCGTCTACACGTAACAATTTACCTGCCGGTTAAAACAGAAGACCGTCTAGAGAACTGATGACAGTTCTCTAAATGGTTCTCCGTCTAAACAACGTTTTATCTGTCAGGTAAGACAGATTTAGAGTAACGTTTACACTGCGGTTTTAAATTAATTTTACCTGCGGTTTTAACAATTATAGAACATTGTCTAAATAAATTTAAAAAGAAATGGGATTTTGCTACAAGAGGATATTCATGGTTTAAATTTTATTTGTAAACACGCAAAGTTAATTCTGGAAATAATATTCCTTTGGTAATATTTATTAAATCTCTTAAAAACTATACCAAACTATGCAAGAAATATTAGATTTTTAAAAGTCGTTTATTAAAGTGTAAAATTGGGTGCGTCTGAAAAGTGGCTCACCCTTATAACTTTTTTATTTTTTCAGATAAAAAATTGAGATTTGGTATGTTAATATATGACATAATTAAAAAATTACTACAACTTTTGATTTTTAAATGGTATCCTCGGTTTTTTGTTGCTTTATTCTATATAAAATGATACTCTGAATAGAATGACATATCATATGTCAACTTTGATATTTTCGAATATAGTTTATTTGAAATTGCAACATGCGATTCATAACGACAATTTGACTTGAAATACCAAGTGTGTGGTACCAAATTATTCTTAAAAAAATGCTTTTTCGAAATATGCTAATGAGCCACCCTCGTTCCATTTGAAAAAATTGAGAAATGATTAAAAATACGATTTGGACATCTTTTAACCAGCCAGGACAAGACACGAATAACATTAAACGATTAAATATATTTTTCCAGGGCTCCTTGATTAAAAATTAGTGTTTTCAACACAGCCATGGCACTCTAGATTGAAAGTTAAAATTCAATTTTGTTTTAAGCAAAAATTCCAAAAGTTGACATATATGATTGTATCATTCTATTCAGAATATTATTTCCTATCGAATAAAGTAAAAAAAATACTGAGGTTGCCAGTTAAAAATCAAAAGTTGTAGTCATTTCCGGCGAAACAGGAAGTGACAGAAAACAATTGAATACTTCAATCAATCGTAATTTATGTCATATACTAACATATCAAATCTCGTCTTTTTTATCTGAAAAAATAAAAAAATTATAGGGGTGAGCCACTTTTGAGACGCACCCGGTATATACGTTATTTTTTTCAGAGTAGGCAAAACGACAGTTTTGTTGTAAAGCTGAATGATCTTGTTATAGTAAACGCCACGAATGTTTGGGAGTGATTCATCGGTCGCTACCATGTGAACTAATCTGTTCAAGGTTACATAAAATTTAATTCCAGTGCCGTGGTGTTTCAAGTCATATAATAATCAATATATAATCCGTTGTAATTTGTTGATTTAACTGTCAAAGTCTTGTCAAAACATATATTTGGTTATAAATATAAAATCTAAAGGTTATAAATATAAAAAGTCTAAATAAATTTAAAAAGAAATGGGATTTTGCTACAAGAGGATATTCATGGTTTAAATTTTATTTGTAAACACGCAAAGTTAATTCTGGAAATAATATTCCTTTGGTAATATTTATTAAATCTCTTAAAAACTATACCAAACTATGCAAGAAATATTAGATTTTTACAAGTCGTTTATTAAAGTGTAAAATTGGGTGCGTCTGAAAAGTGGCTCACCCTTATAACTTTTTTATTTTTTCAGATAAAAAATTGAGATTTGGTATGTTAATATATGACATAATTAAAAAATTACTACAACTTTTGATTTTTAAATGGTATCCTCGGTTTTTTGTTGCTTTATTCTATATTAATTCAGTCCAAAAAGGCCTGTTTTTTTGTCCACACACTAATGTATATTCGATACCAGTTAATTTTAGTTACGTAGATTCCTTTTAGTTACGTAATCAAGGGCACGACTTTCAGATTCATTGTTGCCAACCATGGATATATTTGTCGTCGCTCTGACTAATTGGAATTTAAATTTCCCCCGGGGGATTCAGGTGGTAGCTCTGCTGTAAAAAATATCAAGTTGCCACATTTATTTATTTATTTACTATCATTGTCATTCGTTTTGACACTTAGTTTTAGATCGAGTACTCGATTATTGAAATAACCGACGTCGCGCGATTATGAACGAGCGAGGCAAGAGTAAATTTATGTTGGACCTGCGATAAACGATAAAAGCAGCGAATTAGCGCTGCTCTTGTCGTTGCTCAACTACCAACCGTGTCTCGACGCGTTGCTCCAATATAAACACCTACATATAAATTAATATAATAATATTCTTTGCTTCGCTACTATCGCTGCTCTTATCGTTTATCGCCGCTCCAACATAAATGCACCCTAACCAGTTATGAGCGACGAACGCAAGCGATCCTAGAATGAAATAAATTGAAATCCAATTTTAATGTGACATACTCAATAAAAAGCCAAGCGAATTCTCTACACACCCGTTGCACCCGTTTTAATGACCCTTTATGTCCCTTAAGTACTTTTAAGGAGGTGAGTTTTGTTGATGTAAATAATAACCGTTTATATATTCATAATTAATCTATTTTTGTTTCCTAAAGCATTTTGATTAAAAGAAAATATGTAAAAGTGGGCAACGTTGTGCCGTTCAAGCTTAATTACATGTCTAAAAGTTTATTTGATATGAACTGTACTGGATACTTTTTGACAGAACAGATAATCACATGTAAAACGTTAACGTGTAGAGGGAGCTTAAGACTCTGTATTAACTAGACAGGTTCTGTCGTTGTCATCCTGTAGCTAGCGTAAATAATAAATAAAATTATTGTTACTTTGTGACAAAAAGAATAGTATCTAAATCTGTTGTAGTTTTTAACTTGAACTTGGTAATCGTTCTGATTTTATTTCTTTTGTAGATTTCCGTGTCCTCCAAACTGCCCTCAAGCAATCTACACTCGTTTGATTTACCCTTGTTGGCAGGCTGATCCTCACTATAGACCCTCCTTTGAACAGTTGATAAAAGAAATCAACGATCTCACCACACAATACTAAAACGTGTTGTGATTTTGCTTTAAAAGTGTTTCGTATAGTTTCGGACCGATTTTAAGCTTTAATTGTACCTGTTGTAAGTGAAGAATGCCTTGGGATGAACCTCCATGAGACATGTCGACTACGAATTTTTGAAACGAAGACTGTTTTTAACGTGTTTGTAAATTGTTGATTTTGGAACGACTGTAAATGTTTATATAATATTTGTTGTTGCTCATGTTCAAAGCATTTGTGCCATTTTTACTATACACACTTGAATTTCCTTTTTTGGTAACAGATTGTAAATATTTCTATTAATTGTTGATATTTGCAGATATTGTATAAAAAGAGAATATAGTATGGATCTATATTTTGTTTTATTGCTTTTAATTTTATAATCATTTTGGGTTATTAATATTAACCCCAAAACAAAAAGAATTACTACCTAGATAATACCCTGCTGGCAAGCGAAACCTTGGGTCGGCGTTTACATGTATAGTATACCGGGTGCGTCTCAAAAGTGGCTCACCCCCTATAACTTTTTTATTTTTTCAGATAAAAAATGAGAATTGGTACTTATGTTAGTATATGACATAAATTAGGATTGATTGGTGTATTCAATTGTTTTTGGTCACTTCCTGTTTCACCGGAAGTGACTACAACTTTTGATTTTTAAATAGCACCCTCGGTATTTTTTTACTTTATTCGATAGAAAATGACATTCTGAATAGAATGACATACCATATGTCACCTTTTGACATTCTCGCTTAATAAAAAATTGTATTTTAAAATTCAATCTAGAGTGCCATGGCTATGTTAAAAACACTAATTCTTCATCAAGGAGCCTTGGAAAAATAGATTTAATCGTCTAATGTTTTAGTGCCTTGTCCTGGCCAGTTAGAAAATGCTCAAATCGTATTTATAATCATTTCTAATTTTTTTTCAAATGGAACGAGGGTGGCTCATTAGCATATTTTGAAAAAGCATTTTTTTACGAATAATTTGATACCACACACTTGGTATTTGAGTCAAATTTTCGTTACGAACTGCAAGTTAAAATTTCAAATAAACCATATGCGAAAATGTCAAAACTTGACATATGATATGTCATTCTATTCAGAATGTCATTTTCTATTGAATAAAGTAAAAAAATACCGGGGGCGTCAAAAATCAGAAGTTGTAGTATTATTATTCGTTGTAGTATTAGTTATTCGTAAAAAAATACTTTTTCCAAATATGCTATAGCCACCCTCGTTCCATTTGGAAAAATTGAGATATGATAAAAAATACGATTTGAGCATCTTTTAACTGGCCAGGACAAGGCACTAAAAACATTAGATGGTCAAATCTATTTTTCCAAGGCTCCTTGATTAAAAATTTGTGTTTTTAACATAGCCATGGCACTCTAGATTGAAATTTAAAATACAATTTTTTATTAAGCCAAAATGTCAAAAGATGACATATGATATGTCATTCTATTCAGAATGTTATTTTCTATCGAACAAAGTAAAAAAATACCGAGGGTGTTATTTAAAAATCAAAAGTTGTAGTAATTTCCGGTGAAACCGGAAGTGACCGAAAACAATTGAATACGTCAATCAATCCTAATTTATGTCATATACTAACATACCAAATATCGTTTTTTTAACTAAAAAAATAAAAAAGTTATAGGGGTGAGCCACTTTTGAGACTCACCCGGTATGTTACGGTTAAAGTCCGATATCCGGTTAATGTCGACATTAACATGTTAATGTTTGGGTTAAATTATGTTTTTGGTTATTTTGTTGTGTGTTATTCTCGAGATTAACCGGTTAATGTTTGGGTTAGGTTATGTTTTTGGTTGTTTTGTTGTGTGTTATTCTCGAGATTAACCGGGTAATGTCGACATTAACCGGACATCGGACCTTAACCGTAACATATACATATTATAAGTATTTCTTACACAATCACTTAATCTGACGCTAGATTCCATGCGCTTGGGAAAATACTTGCCTACTAACTGTCTTTATTCAGTACATCATATTTTACTAAGCGTGTTGACTCTCTCTCTCTTCGTATACACGAAAATCGGCCATATCAAGACCGTAAATGCCGAGCCTAGTATACTAACATATCAAATCTCGTTATCTGAAAAAATAAAAAAGTTATAGGGGTGAGCCACTTTTGAGACGCATCCGGTATATGGAGGTGGAACATGTATTAAAATCATAATAAAAATAAATAAGCTTTAGAATTTATTTCATTAATTCTGTTATATACATATATGTGTACTGGAATCTTATAAGTTTTTTGTACTACAAAAAGCGATGACTTAGTTCTATGTGTGTATAATATCTGTAGTGTAGTTTAAATTTTATAGGTGAAAAAAATATAATTCTTTTAAACTGAGTTGTCACTGCAAGAATCTGCTTTGGGAAAATGTTTTTTCGCTAGTATCTTTTGGCTGACAGGAAGAAATGTTTCGGGATCTAGGCGAATACAGGGTGAGCCGGCATCGGCAGTTTGTGCGAAATGGTGCGAAACAATGCTAGTGGTAACTCCAAATGCAACATTAGAATTTGCAATTATGATGATGATTTATTTGAGGAAGAAAAGTGGTAAAACAAGATGCCCATTTTGGAGTAGAGAAAATTCTTTGGAAATCTCACTATAGAAATGATGACTGTTAAATGATATAAGAGATATAAGATACCTTCTAAAGATACCTTTCCGCGGATTACTACACAAGACTGAATATCAGAAGCACCTAACCGCTACCGGTAATTGGCTATTCAGCAGTTGACACGAAGTTGAACAAATGAATTTTGTTTCCAACCTTCTAAAGATACCTTTAGAAACTTTCCGCGGATTACTACACAAGACTGAATATCAGAAGCACCTAACCGCTACCGGCAATTGGCTATTCAGTAGTCGACACGGAGCTGAACAAATGAGTTTTGATTGCTTTGCTTTCAACCTCTTTTTTATTGATTCTCTGTTTTTTTTTTAATTTTAATACGAATTTCATTGAATGTCTCGATTTTGAAAATTAATCTTTATGGTACAAGCCTTGAATATGAAGGGTATGTCTTTACGAGGCGAGATTTTTTCGCGAAACAGATTCGCGTAGTGACAAACCAACTTTTATAACTAGAAAAAAATAATTCATTTTTAAATAATAGATATAATTTCTAAAGTAATTATCGGAAACAACACAATAAATATACTACTGTATTGGCAACATACATTCCTTTTTTCTTTAGTAAAAAATAGAATAGATAACAAATATACAACAGAAGTCTTCCATGAACCAGATAGTCTTTAAACGCATAATTTACAAAAAGAATCCAAAAGTAAAACATGTCTATCCCAGAATCCAGAAAACTGTTACATTTACTTTTGGTATTGATTTTCTTTAAAATTTAAATATTTATCTAATCGAAAGACTGAACAAAGAATCTTTCAAAGTAAGTAAGCAAACCCTGGAGGCGTTTTTTGACACGTTTTTGGTCATCTAAGGTGCACCCTAACAGGGCAGATTCAAATTTCTTATCCATAATTCCGTCTATCATTATAGATGAGCAAGCATTAACATAAGACAGACATCTGTAAAATTAGAAATATATTGTTAAGAGGATGAAAATATTCAATGAAGTTGTAGATACCTTTGTCTTGCTGCTTCATGATCATTTCGTAGATCCATAACTAAGATATCAATTAAGTGATTCACCTGAAACAAGGCTTCTTCTTGCATTTGATCTCTATGAGTCAAAACGTGAACTTCTACAGTTTGACAACGATTAGCAATTCTATCTCTATAACGAGTTATATCATCGGCATCATCTAATGATAAAAATATATATACATATATTAACTAGAATCAATTTCATATGAATTCTAAACTTACTTTCATCTAATTGATTCATTAAGTCAGCATGTCTAACAGAATCTAACGTGGCAAGTAACTTATCTCTCTCTTCTTCCAGCAGACTGGCTTCTTTCCTTAATTTCTCTACCTTGCTTTCCAGTATATCAAGTACTTCCACTAATCTTTCTTTAGGAGGCTTGTTGTCCATGGTATTGCTTTCATCTATCTTGGGCAGAACTAGTGCAGTAGCGAACACTAAGCAAATCACTTTCTTTAATGTTCAAAATAATTTAATATGAAGGGTTATGTAAAAAAGCAGGTAAGTAAAATAAAATAAAATAATCTTTATTACATGCACAAACAAAAGAGTACATATAAAGGTGGAAAGTACCGCAAAGCATATTTTAATAACTGTAAGTCAATTTTTTTGCTATATTTAAATATTCAATGCATTCAGTTCAGAGTGACTGTAAGCATCTTTAGAAGCCGCTAAACTGGGAAAAAATCAGCATAGTCAGAAGATATTAAAGCGTCAAAGTTATACTATAAAGGAAAAAAGCAGACAAGTAAAGCAGTATTTTTTTAACGTTAACATTAAGTTGTACTTTTCTCCGTTTAGGGAGAAATTGACTTACCTGCTTTTTTCCCCTGACCCTTTATATATGTGATGTGAAACCCTATAGCGCATCTTAAATAAAATAATGTACAGGTGGTTTTTGCATAGTCTAATTCTGCAAAAACCAACATGCGAGGGTGCGAGATAAAAAGGACATAATGAGCGGCGTTTTCACACAATAGATAAAGTGTATAGGAAACGAACACATAAACATTCAAGCCGCAATCAACCCATTAATAAACAACTAAAGCTTGGACAAAAGACTTTACCTGCGGAAGATGAAGGCTGATCAATGTCCATAATTTTCAAGTAGCTTTCTAGACACTCTCCTGTAATCGTTTAAATATCAAAATCAATTTGCAAAGATTTCAGACATTTAAAAAACTTTTCCACTGTATTTTTCTAGAAAAGTTTGACAATTCTGTCAAATAGATATGTCGGTAAACAATGTTTTATTAGTTGCCTAACGATGGAGGAATAAGAGATAGGCCCATAGGCGGAGATAGGAAACTTTTCTATATATCCTTGCTATATCTTTATATCTGTGTCAATCCGTGGTCTAATCGTTTGGTTATGGACTTGTTATGGAGGTTTTGGTCTAGTCAGAGAAATAGAAGGGATAGAGAATGAGCGTCAACATGCGCAGAAGGTCTAATCAAGTTGGGCGCCATATTCCAGGTCTTCCTGTCATTTTGTATATAGGTGGTAATCTATAAGTAATCAAATATCAATTTGCTGTTTTCAACCATACGGGGGGCAATTTCAATTTAGTGAAATTCTATCATTTATTATGGTTAGTTAACATTAATATGATTTATTTAATTATCAGTTTCAAAACTGCGTACAATATTGGTATATAATACACTAAATATACGAATATTCTGACAAAAGACGCTACGGACAGATGACCTTTTCGTCGTTAAACACTCGAAATGATATTAAATAAGTATTTACAATATTTCATGTTTACTTGTACTGAATTACGCGTTTCAATTTAAAATTTTTGCAAATTTGGTAAAAATTGTTCTAAACACCTTTTTGTTAAAGTTGTATATTCATAAAAAACATTTGGTTCATAATTATTTTTGATGATAAACCTAGAAAAAATATGTTTTTGTTTTATTTTTTTTTATTCGTCCCTTCAAATTGTGTTTCAAAAACTGTTACATAATATGTCCTCTGACAAATATTTTCATAATACATAAACATCATTGATTTTATTAAGGGTATCATTATTAGTATTTATCCTGGTTTTTGTCGACAATAAAAACTCAATCTTGTAATAGAACATCAATTTTATATTTCGTAAAATTATTTTGATACAAATTCAATTTGTCAAAACTCAAGTCATTAATATATTGATAAACAACCCAAATTATTCCTAAATATTTTATTATAAAAAAAACTGTTACCGGTAAGTTTGTAAAACACATTATGGTTTATCGTAATACTAGAAAAAATCATTTATTTTTGCACAAAAGAAGCTTGTCGATCCTTATTTGTCCATAACAAAATTCTGTATGTACAACATACATATACCTAATTTATTATTAAGAAAATTAGATTATATGATCTCAGAATTTTAAGACATTTTTTTTAAGATAAAATAGTTTCTTCTCAACTGTAATATTGTCAACTTTGGCCTGTATTTTATCTATTTAAAAACATGAGAATGACAATCCCCTTACTAAAATACATACTGGAAGGTACCGATTAAGTTTCATTGCATCAAATACCTTTGCTATAAATCCTGGCTCACAATTGCCATTGCAAAATGCTTTTGAACTTCATCATAGATTTTACAAGAATAAAAGTGTAATATTGAAACAAAGTAACATTGTAAGCTTCATGACTAATAGTCTCATTTTTAACACTCTTTAAATATCATCTCGTTAACAATTATGAATATTATATGATTTTTCTCAGTGATTTGTAGCACAGATACAAATTAATATATGCTCCATAACAGTTTTTAAATAAGAAACTTCTGCCTACAGATTTAATTTTCTTATTGGCATAATACCCTTTCTTCCTATATAAATCTTGCCATTTTTTCAGTCCAATGTTCCTTGTATTTACAGTTGTAGGAATACTAAAAATGTTGACTATAGAACTTGATACTATGTTTGAAAAAGCCTTCATACCTGTAACTGTGCATAAATCTAATTAACTGAATTCTCCTCCTCTTGACACTCTGAACACTGCTGCTGCTAATGTTAGAAACATTTAGCACAAAACTACAACTACCTACAACAAACTTTACAATAAAAATGTTAAATTTTCGCTGTTCAATTAAAATACCCTATCTTATGTTTTCTTTTCCTCCAAATAATCTTCTTGTCAAGTAAGGACCAATCTTATTTGACATATTTCTGGTACACTTGAACTTGTGCTTTCATGGACACTATAAGAGTGCACTGTTTTACAGAAGCACGAACATTGATTCCAAGTATCTTCTTCCTCCACACGTAATAAAAACATCCTCTTTAAATGGCCACATCATACACTTATTTTTGACCATTCCCAATTACAATCACTATTTTTACAAATCGCCTTTAGGAAAACTAAAAATAAACAGTTTTGGATCATCTGTAAACACGATTATGTTGTATAAACTCTTAGTATAAACTTACACATGAAAACTAATCATTTTTCCCGGCGTATTAGCTTTCTTAGAATGACTATGACAATATACAATAAGCCTGTTTGAATTAGTGTTTAGAATAATTGAGACTCTGATTGATATAATAATAAATTTTAACTAGATAACAACACGAACGAAAAAAAAACAAAACAAACAGATGTCAATTAAAGAGGGGAAGTGACAGCGAGACCTGGAAGATGTCTGCCATCTTGCCGTCGACAAAAATTTGGATGCGCATTCGTCGAAGCTCATTCTCCCACTTCCATATCTCTGGGTCTAGTCTGGTATTATGGTTTATGGTCTGCTATGGTCAGCTATGGCTTTGGCTCTTTGGCTATGGTTGGCTTCGTTATGGTCCTGTGCTATGGTCACAGATTACATACACAAGCTATGGTCAAGAACGCTAAACTAATAGTGTTCTTGAGCTATGGTCATGGTCATAATTTTTTGTGCGGTGTGCGGTTAGGTAGAAACTGGTAGAAACATTCTATGGGTAGAAATTTAAATTTTTAATATAAACAGATATAAATACTTGTGATAAATACTGTAAAATCAGAGCTAGTAAATATCTAATCATTCAAAATGGAAACGATTCTAAAAATAAGAAATATAAGCGATATAACAAATAAGTTAACTCCACATAATAGTGATTTAACCAAGACAACACGAGAACAAGTATAACATATCTTTGTATGGGGCTTACTTTTCTTCTATTTCATACAAATGTTTTTCCAGGTAACTGTGGAAAAGCTAATTTTAAAGAAATTCGAGGACCTACATTCTTGTTTAAGGGTGAATCAAAATTTACCGGAGTTATTTAAGGAACAACATATAAAATATTTGAAGGACAATTTATTTTATTTACCTTCGAGTTATGAGGTAGGAATGTGGAGTATACCGGAATGTGGTTTTAATTTTAAGTAATTATAATTAAACTTGAGTTTTGTTTTAGTCCTTAGATGCCAGCCAAACTTGGTTATGTTATTGGATAGTACATCCTTTGTCATTGTTAGGTGTAAAATTAGAGGACAGTGATAAAAGTAATATAGCAAAGTTTTTGGGAAAGTGAGTAAGGGTATAGTATATTTATTATATTATTTATTAGAATTATTTTTAGATGCCAAAGTCCAGAAGGAGGATTTGGTGGGGGTCCCAGTCAAATTCCCCATTTAGCAGCAACATATGCAGCTGTGAATGCCTTAATAATTTTAGGAACAGAAGAAGCATATAAAATTATTAACAGGTTAGTTGAAATTTGATACAATACAAATTATTAAGAATTTTACTTATTATACAGGCAGAAATTGTACGAATTTTTACTAAGAGTTAAGCAACCGGATGGAAAGTTTGCCATGCATACCGGCGGTGAGATTGATATTCGAGGAGCTTATTGTGCAATATCTGTAGCAAGTTTAACAGGAATAATGACCAAAGAGCTTGTAGATAATACAGCAGAATGGATTGTGAGGTAACATTAATTTAATTTACTTAATGTGAATGTTGTTGTTTGGTTAAATTTTAGTTGTCAAACTTACGAAGGGGGGTTTGCTGGATGTCCAGGATCAGAAGCTCACGGGGGCTATACTTTTTGTGGTTTAGCAGCTTTAGTTATTTTAAATAAGGGCCATCTATGTGATAATCAAGCCTTATTGGTATCCTGTTCAAAACATAATATAGAGTTATATTTGAATTAATTTTCGGGTATATTGTAGAGATGGCTTGTACAAAAGCAAATGAAAATGGAAGGTGGTTTTCAAGGTAGAGCAAACAAGCTGGTGGACAGCTGTTACTCTTTTTGGCAGGCTGGTGCATTTCCTATTATTTATTCCTTACTAGCAAAAGGTTTGACTTTTTCTGACCAAAAAACTTAATCAATTTGATTTTATCAGTATTTTAGATGGCCACATTCTCCTTGACCATTTGTTTGATGAAAGGGCTTTGCAAGAGTACATTTTGATTTGTTGTCAGCATCCCCAAGGAGGCATGCTCGATAAGCCAAGCAAGCCTAGAGATATCTATCATACTTGCTATAGCATAAGTGGTTTGTCGATAGCGCAACATTTTTTGAATGAAAAGCATGTCTTGGGATCATACAGAAATGAGCTGGTATGTTTGCTCGCATATGCCTTATGATTGAAATACAAAATACCAAAATGGCTTCAAATATATATATTATTGATTGCTTTTGAAACACAAAATGGCTTCAAGATACTAACTGGAAGTAGTTTTTTTTTCGATCATACGGTATTTCACATGTGTAACATTTTCTACTAAATTATTTTCCAGGTTGTCACGCATCCTTTATATAACATTAGGCCTGATTTGGTTGCCAAAGGTTTGATATATTTCCGGAATTTTAATTCAGGAGGTTCAACGTGACGTTGGTGTATCTTAAAATTTGTTATACTATAGAACAAGAATTTGGATTTCTATGGGGCAAGAATTGTAACACTAAATTGTAACACTATATTCCTTTATTTCCCTGCAAAATGATATTTTTTAGTTTTTAAGTTCTATTGCATTGTTTAAGTTTTAAATATACTCATTAAGGAATTTTTAAAATTTTTATTTTTGAGTGTTAAAAAGAAAGTTTAGAAGCAGGTCATAGATAAAGTTATCTATGGTTTTAATCCATATTCTAATCGCATTTGAATAAAAAGACTAATTTAAAATCTTTTTATTCAAAGTGCAAAACACATTGGCCTTGGACTTTTTTCGTAAAAGCAGGCAACTAGTTATACATTTTTCTCCCACCATACCAACTTGGCATTAGCAATTTCAAATTCTGTCAATGTCAAAAATGGGCGATTAGTATTTTGTATTTATGCAGTCAGTTTTACAAGACGTTGAGTGTTGTGTGCTGTTGAGGCATTTTCCATTTTTTGCAATTTTTATCAAACAATTTGCAATGGTGTTCGAAAAGTGAGAATTTGGTGAACTTGCAGGTGATAGTGAGCGACAATCGCGCGCGAAAAATGCAGTTCAACGGGGAGATAATAGGCGATGGGACGTGGAACTTGAGGGTTTTCGTCACGGACCTACAAACGGAGAGACAAATTCGAGTAAAGGGAGATGTACACATAGGAGGTGTAATGCTGAGGCTGGTCGAAGACCTAGGTTTGTTATTTTACCTCTTTAACAGTGTAATAAATACGTATTTCGTAATCAAGCGATGCCTATTAAGATATACCTAATTAATGCTGCCGTAATAACGTGAGTCGTAAAAATAAAACATTTGTTTTGGCGTATTATTTCTCTCGTAAACTCGGAAATGCCTGTTCCCTGTCCGCAAATAGCAATGTAAAACGATCCATGTAGGCGGCGATTATTGTATTATTAAATGTTTTCTCTGAAAAATGTCCCTGAATTCATAATACCCACTTTCTAGTTAATAGTTTAGCTATTTGAAAATGTGCTTATTAAGCTTACAAAACCGTAATAATTAAGAAACTAATTTAACTCTAAACTATTTAAATAGATCGTTTTCTTTCTAAAATTATCCTGTCCTAAAATAAAAATTACCCTGTTTTGTTTTTGGGTTGACATTTCGCACAAGGTCGTATAAGTTTTGCAATATGCCCATATAAGACCAGATGATTATGGTGCCTCTATTTTTATATGTCTTGTTTATGCGATTTCGGTGGTTTATCTCTGTTTATTTAAAAATGCGTCCTCCAGAGCTTTCCGTCGGTTGGGTATTTGTACAGATGTTTTAACGGATAGGGACTTATTTTCGAACAATTTCTAGGAAAAGAAAATGAACTCAACAGCAGTTGGTTTTATTTCTACGGTTTGTTCTTTTTACGCCTCCAGTGTTCGATTTTTCACGACCGTCTTTTAAATCGGGCGTAGGACGTGTTTTTAGCGTAAAATCTATGCCAAAGGAGCTGCGTAGGGTTTCCACAACCTACGTCGATAAATAAACTATCACTTTCCATTTATTCAACGGTAAATTAGCGTGAAAAATCGCTGAAAAAATAGTTTTCGGTCCATATACATTTAAAACTAGAGAACATTTAACGTGTAGGTGGAAAATTCCATTTATTTCAAAGGAAAAATAAATATTTGGATTATTCGTACACAAACAAACCGGTGGTGCGGTTATTTTAAAAACCAAACAATTACAAGTTATTTTTCATTTTTGGAGCGACGAGTTAGCTCTAAGCTCGGCTCTAAGTTTAGAGGTTGAAAATAGGTGCTTTGTGCTTGTTGATGTTGATCATGATATATTTATGATACAATATGTATAGTATTTCCGAAGTCAATTGGAAACAGTAAACAGTGGGACTCTTAATTCTTTCGTCCATACCTTGTCCGTACGATACCGACAAAGACAGTGCCGATGCCGAATGGTGCCGAAGTTCGTACCAATCACTTGCACGAAAAAGTGTTTACACAGTGCACAGTGTCACTACCATGTCAGTGGCCAAGGTTTTTTAATAACCTTGGTCAGTGATGGCGTACCACTGAAACTGGCGCCAACTACTGGATACTTGTGTAAATTAGCGTTAAGGGTCCCAAGTCCCAACCTATTCCAATTGACTTATTAAAATTGATTATTATTAAAAAACTATGCCATTATATAATTTGCATTATCAATATCAATATGCACGTGAATTATTGGAGAAGTAAAAATGCATATCGCATCTATAATACCATACGATTTAAAATACGGCGTCAGCAGCGATGGCTATGAAATGAGGATTTCTGTCATTTTATATGGAAAATTATATGGGGAATGTGGTCGATCGTCATTTTTAGGCCAACTGGACGCCGTTTTTTTTTTCGATCATAGGTACAGTATTATATTAATATAATGATAATATCGAAATAAAGTATGAAGAATAAGAAAGGATCGATATTTGAGACGTACCTATCTATACGATAGACACAGGGGTCGATAGGGCACGACGATCACAAGGGTAATGAAAAGGCAGATGATATGACCAAACAAGGCTCATTAATGTCATTCATAGACCCAAAACCCTTCTGGGTGGCCAACAGATCTCTAGAATGGTGGAAAAATTCACCTGGGCAGAGACGAAAAAGTTCATAATAGAACTTCGCCAACATTCACGCCAGACCTGATGAGCAAAGACAGAAAGACAGTCAGTCAAAGCTGTAGCTGTGGCTGTGGTAGGTCTACTAACAGGGCATTGTAAGCTGAATAGGCATCTAAAGCTAACGGGATTGACGGACGGAGCCATGTGCAGCTTCTGTCAATCTGAAGAAGAAACGACATAACACATTTTATGTGTTTTATGTTGGTTTTATGTGTATGTGAGCGACAGCCTGGTAAATGTGCGGTTGTCTGTAATAGCCATTGACAGAGAGCTAGCTATATGGAGGGTTCAGTCTCCAAATTGCTAGACTTTTTGAAAAGGATAGGACTCGAGAGGACCGGACTGGAGCGATTGACAAATAAAATAGACTTTTTTCTTTCGATCAGGTTACGGAACAAATGACCATCTTCTGACAGTCACGGTCCTTAAGGTAAGCGCGCATCGGACTGACGTATCGGACACACGGAACGGACGAAAATTATTATTTGCCGAGTTATTACCGGATCGGACGCATCGTAGACACAGAAAGCCGTTCAGAATAATTAGAAAAAATTAAATCTGTATATACGATGCTTGCGGATTACGTCATTCGTAAATTCGATCAAATGTGCGATGTAAACAGGAATCGACGTGCAGAATTTGATTTGTTTTTAACGTTATTTTGAGCACGTGCCTAAAAGAGTGAAAATGGATGACGGACTATTAATTTCTTTAATGCAACTATATAATGAACTTAAGCGTAGTTTACACGGGCAAGTAAATTATCGCAGGTATATGTCTGAGAGCACTTCTACCAAACTTGCATAATGTAAACAGTATCCGAAAGCACTCTCCCAGCAAGTCACAAAACTGGCGGGAAAGTGGTTGCGACGAAAGACGCTTGCAAGTGTAAACACGTTGGGAGAGTGCTCTGGCAAGTTAAAATTTATTTCCGTCTTGTTGAAAGTTTTTGGTGCAAATGATTTTCGAAGACGCGTTAAATAACGATATGTTATCGACGCCTATGATCCTTATGATAGGCAGTCATTTTCACGCCGTGCCTGCACCCCGTGTCCGCTGATGTTTGCAAGTAGCGGAGTGGTAGGCTTTGGAAACAGTTGAAGGTCGGAGATTGTTGATTTCGGCCCAGAGAAGACATTGTTTGTCAAGCTAGTTAGAATTATATTTTAAAATATCAATTTCTGTTAAATATATTAATCTCCCGATTACAGATATTAAAATGGAAAAACGTATGTGGTCGAAAGAAGATACCATCACTTTGATTAATTTATTTGAAGGATTTCCGGAATTGTGGCAAAAAATCGAAATTTTACAGAGATAGAGCTAAAAAGCAAAAAGCAATCGAATTAATAGCTGACAAATTCAACACAACTGAGGCTGAGATTCAGCGGAAGCTACATAATATTCGTACCCAAGCAAACCAGGAGTGGAACAAAATTATAAAAAGAAAAAGTAAAATCGACTTCTGACGTTCGCAGAAAATTGTTTAAATGCTTTGGGTCTTCATTTCTTATTTTTTTAATAACATTGCATAAGCTCCAAGACTAGGCCTTCTGGCAATCCATTCTTTAACCCATATTCTTTTTCTAGATTTTCTTGACTGTCTGCGTAAAATTGCAACAAGAAGAGCAGTGGCTGCAGCTCTCTTTTTACGGCGCGACATTTTTCTACTAAACAATATACTTGTGCAATATACACCATACCGTGTATACGTGTATGCAATTTCTTGCTCAAAGCATATGCCTAGAAAGTACTTGTTGCAAGAAATTGCTTTAAAATTTGCTTAAATGTAAACACTATCGCAAGTTACTCTAGCAAGTTCTATCGCAATTTTCTATCCCGTGTAAACTACACTTTAAACAAAGTGCTAGTCTTTCAGTCGACCCGATCGATTCCCGAAAAATACTATTTTGCTTTTCGATGGTGGGGCGTAACAGATTTAAAAGATTACAACATTTTTCATAAGTCATTCGAAAGTATTGGAAAAATTTTGCTTCATCTCTTATCAAGTCATCAAACAAGGTATGAAATTTTCCATACAATTCTCGTTTTTTTTCTTGTTCTTTTGTTCTTCCTCTTCAAATGCACATGCAATTGCAAATAATTTTTCATCAGCTCATTTTAAATTTGGGAAGCGAACGTGAAAACCAGAAGTTTCGTATTAGCCCGTTTCGAGAGGATTGCACTAAAATGAAAATGCGGGAAGAAAATCCGAATATAATATGTGATGACAACAAATTATTGCGATTCGTTCGATGCGTCCGTTGCGTCCGGTGCGAACAAATGCGCGCTTACCTTATCGAGAAATGCATTGAGTATAATAGACCACGAATGCTTGTCTTCGTGGATTTTGAAAAGGCCTTCGATTCAGTAGACCAGTGGAAGCTTCTAGAGGCACTAAGTGAGACGCACGTCGATCATCGACACTCCGCAATCATAAATCCGCAATCATGAGAATGCCACCGCAAACGTCAGAATATCGACAAATCAATGCACAGACAAATTCAATATCGATCAGGGGTAAGGCAGGCGACACACTCTCCCCTAAACTATTTAGTGCTGTGCTAGAAAGTGTGTTAAAAATGATAAACTGGGGATTCATCAGGAATTAACATCGATGGAAAATTGATAAATCATCATCTCTGTTTAGCAGACAATATTGTTTTAATAACAGACAACATACAGGAAGCACAGAGTATGCTGGATATGCTAAATCATGCTTCGGAAAAAGTCGCTTTGAAAATTAACTTATCAAAGACATAATACACTACAAACGTAGTACTGAGTGATAATTTAAACATTAATAACATACTTTTGGAACAAATGCATTATATAAATAGTTAAGACATGAGAACGGTATTGAAGGGATAATGAATCAGACGCAAGAAATCCTACAAAGAATAGGCTTGTCGTGGGCGGCATTCGGTAAACTAAAGCATATACTGATATCTGATATTCCAATATGTTTAAAAAGAAAGGTCTTTAACCAGTGTGTCTTGCCTGTCCTCACGTATGGAGCTGAAACACTTACTTTGATAAAAAAGGACATACATA